TTCTTCTTTAATGTAATCAGGTTTCTTAGCAAGTCACGCGATCCCATGAGAAGAGCGTGACTTTATCACCAAAGGCACAATTACTGAGAATTGTTTTTCAAAAGTCTTCAGGTTTCAATTTTCAAGAGGCACTTTTCACGCTTTCTCATGTTCACGTGTAACATATTGTTATCTTATCTCAGCAGGCGACTGTTCTTAAAAAAAAATTTTGCATGACTTTCTGTTTGAATTTCGAATTGTTAACTAAAAGTCACGGAAGAATCGTTAGACTTTAAAGAAAATCAACAAACATTTCTAGCTTTGACATATCAGGCAAGCATTGCTTGTAATAAAGAAGCTCTTGTGTGTGCTCTAATTGTTTTGAACTCGATGTTTCAGTGATCTTTTACTTGAGTAGAGCAAAAAAAAAAAACAAAAACAAATCGTTCCGTTCCAGATAGAGCTCAAATTAACGGAAAATGGTATAGAACCGATCAAGAAATGTTGCACGTAACCAAGAGGGTTGGAAATGGAAAATCACAAAACAATTTCGAGCAAAAGAATTCTAAAAAATTGTGAGTCGCTCGAGTTCTTAAGCTGTCTTGAAAATACTCTTTCTCATTACCTTTAAAACGAAAGGAAACTTGATGATAAAATTGCTCGATCAGACAGCTTTATGCCAAGCAAGTGAAGTGCACCTGAGATCCTCTCGCTGTCTGCTGACAGTAAATGGGTAGAACGCGGACCCTGATCTAATCAATGATCCTTGACAACACGAGATCACAAGATCCTCTATGAATTTTGAAGTGTTGTGTCAAGAGCTTTGTCGTTCTCATCTTCTACAGACTTTTTTAGGTTAAATCAAAAAGTTAAAGCTCTTATTCCCGGATTTTTCCTAATATTTCCCTCAATTAACCTCGTGTTTGCTGCAAAAAAAATGACGACTCTTCAAATAAATGAAGAAGGGGGCTGTTCGTAAAAGACAAGAAAAGAGCGGAACTATGCGAAGAACTTAAGCATGTCAACGCTTACACAGACAGAATTCTGAAGTAGTGCATAAATCATCATTCTCGAATGGTAATGAAAATCATTCATCGCGAAAACTCATGTTGCGAGACAATTTGCAAAAATTTGCAAGTCATTCCTGAGTTTCAGTCCATTGTGTTCTCGCCTTCTTCTTATCAGAGCAACGCCGATTTCCCGACTAACTCTTCCCTCCCCTCCCCCCCTAAATTGACCACATTTTCGAAGGGGGTTAAGTGCAGGTTGGGCAAGTGTCCCCTTTCACTCCCACTTGAAACTGATCGCAGGGAGTGAAAATAACAGAGTGAGCACAACAATTCGCGACAGCTGAGAGATTTTGAGGTTTAATATTTACTTTGACAGGAGCCCAAGTGATGGGCTCCTGTTGTGACAATGATACATTACAAATGATTTCTTCTTTAGGTCATTGAGCCTATACTTTATCATCTTTAATTTCTCCCTGGTTTAATAAAAATTATAGTTGCTCTTTTCGTGCATTTAAAATATGTCAATCAATAGAAGCAATAAAAGATATATGCATTGTTCACCACGCTTGCTCGGTCAATGTGGCTGGGTTATTGGCCGAATTCTTTTTTACGTTCAATGGACCAAAAGGAGATCGAGTTTCATAGAAACGCAGAAAAAAAAAAAAAAAAAAAAAAGGAAGGAGGCCAAAATCCCCCATCTTGACCGAACAAGTTTGGACAACAACATGGCCGAAAAAATCGCTTTAATAAGAATCAAGAATGACTTGTTTCTTTCAAGAAAGCCACCTGTGTTTATAGTACAGTAAATCCATGTGAGTCTTTTATGTTTTCTTTGTATTGACTGTCTTCTGCCGCTTTTTGCGACTCCCCTGATCGCCGGCATTGTCCGAAAGTTGCGAGCTTTGTAAGACCGCTCCACGCAATTATCTTCTTGCGCGGGATCGAAGCGGGCAGTACCGAGCGGGCAAGCTGGCCCACATTGCCCGCTCAGGTAGCCAATCAGAACATAGCATTTACTTCGTTTTGCCCACGGACGCTGCCAGCTATATAACAAATGGAAATATATAACGAGGAGACGAGCCACCCGAGGGGACAGAGTAATGTCAAGAGAGGATAAAGTTTATGCTTCATTCTCTCTTGGTAATGCCTAGATCTGGAGCTGGCCGTTCTCAAGACTGTGTTAATTCAGCAGTTTGCATAGAGGCTCATTTTCACACGTAAAAGCAGAATTTTACCGTCAAGCTGATCGTGGGTAGGGTTGTCCGTTCACAAGAAGAGAATATTGATATTCTCTTGTTGACGAGAAACTGTAATTTTTTCCATATAACGCGCGCAAGAAAAAAAGAAATGTCTTATATGTTTCTCTCAAACTCGTAGCGTCATAGCTTTGTCTCCCACTATTCATCACTTCATGAACTTAAGACATTGGCAATTTTTCAAAAGGGGAATTATAGCCGTTCATAATTACTGACCGGTTTTACAGGATATTAAGTTGCCAGTCTGTAATATCCGGATAATGGCGCACGAAAGATGTGATATCATGAGCATCACTTTATCTTACAAATGATTAGTACTTTAAACCAAAATCGACCAGTTCAGCTGTAAATGAGAGACTTTTAAAATCTGTTTTTACTAGTAACGAAGTTGTTCGGCGAATCTAAAATTCGATCAGAGTAATAATAATGAAAAAGCCAGCTTAATGTTCGTCCAACTGGCACCTGTCTGTCACCTGTTGAATGCAGTCTGTTGGTTCAGTAATGAATTATTCTTCAGTATTCAACAGGTACCGATCAACAACTCTATAATTCATTACTAGTCCTGCTGAGTAGAGATCCGTGTTATATGCAGGTAGACAATTCGTATTCCGCTGCGATTCCATTTGTGGCGCAGCCACAAGAAAACAGCTTTCAAATTGGTGTATCATTTGTTAGCACATCGGCTGATTGTCCTGCTCGTAGGGGAGGTTTCGAGTTTCATTTGATCGCGGCTTTTTCTATTTTATGCATGATGGTGTAGATTCATTTATAGCAATTTTACAGTTAAGTCTTAAACAAGAGAATATCAACTGTTGATATTCTCTTGGTCTTGAAGGAATGTTGAAATATTCCATTCTCGACATGAAAAAATTAAATTTTTGGTATTCAATCGATAATAGAAAATAAGCAACTGAGAAGTGTCAAATAACCATCTTCGCATGAATCCGCCGGAGCCGTTGAGTTTTATCAATCGAGTTCAACTCGTGTGAGAAACTTCCATTTGGATAGCTTTCTGCTCCAAAAAAAAAAAACCGTCAAAAAAAAAAATGGCTGGGGAAAATTAATAAGATGAATTAACACAAAAATATTCAATGGGAAATGCTCCCACAAACTTCATCCCCTCCTCTGGCTCACCTTTAAAACCATGGGCGTCTCCTCTTTAATTTTTGGCCACAATTCAGTCAAATTTTCACACTTTTACCGGTTGTTTAAGTTTTTTTGCCTTCAGAAATATCTGCAAAATGGTCTTGATTTGCATACCTCATAACGTATTTTAGAAAAGAAATTTTCCAAATTTCGCAGCGAGTTTGGGTATTGCAAAAAAAAAAAAAAACTTTCCCTCCGTTCCGTGAAAAAGAAAAGTGCAATTGATCCTTAGGGCTTAAAAAAAATTAAAAGGAAGAATTTTCAGTGTTTTATCAGTTTTCACTATAATTATTCAAATATCGATCTATCAGAAGATCGAAAAAAACACCTGTTGCATTCTCTTGTTTTGGCTCGAAAGATGAGAAAAATAAAATAAGCCTAACATATCACGTAGAGAGAATTGAAAGAATCAAACAATAAAACTTGATAATTTGCCAGCTTCATTTGTGTAAGTTTTGGCGAAGTAATCCGAGAAAGCATAAAAAGGAACTGGAAAAAACGAATAAAATATCGGAAGGTTTGAGACCGGCGCCGTTACAACACGAGTAATCCTCGCCTGTGCTATTCAAAAGTTCCTTTTGTATTCAAACACATTTGCCGAGCTAAACTTGGCTTTGAAGTAGGACCCCTTATCGCGAGTTTTCATTCGGTGGCACGCGCATTTAGAAAGGACACACTTTTATTGAAAAACATGGTGCCGCGACTGTTTTTTTTTCGCTTTGTTCAGCCGCGAGGTTCATACCGCGAGTGTGGCAAAAAGAAGAGCGGCTAAAGTGCAAACATCACGGCGGTTTTTACGATCTTTCTCTTCTGTTCAAAGGTACCGAATTGTCTTCAGTTGTGGCGATTAAATTTTTACCTAAAGGACAAGATCGACCGGTAAACATCATTTAAAAAATTAAGAATACACAAAAGCATGAAAAAATCTTTAGGATTGCCTTATTTTTAGCATTACGAAGACCGTTTTTTAAAGCATTGTTTTTCTCGAAATTTCGCAATCTCTTCCTCTTTCTCACTGAGGTTCAATTCCTTTCACTGACTCGGCGAACGCGCGAAACTAACGAAAAGAAAAACTCCTAGAATTTCCCTCGAAAATATTCAATATTTGCTGGTTTTTTCGTTACTATGGTAAACGTCGACGACACACAAGACAGGGATTTGGACGATGAATCATTGATTCAGCAGAGGCGGATGACGATTCCTAAATTCGATAATTCTCTTAACGTATCCTAATTTATTCTTATGCAAATCACTTCGGCGCGAAAGAAAACGTGGGTGGGGTCGGCTGTCAACATTCCAACCACAATACAACAAGAAACGTTGATTCGCTCTAGTAAGCACGGATTTCCGTCAATTGTATTTCATTTCAGCAGCGAAAATATACACAAATTAAGCGCGAAATGTTAACTAAACGTCGCAAGTTACCGGTCAAGGCATCTGACCGTGCAGTACTAGTATTTTAACACATTTGCGTAGGTGTTCTTTGCGCGAATTACTGGTGGTTGAACAGATCATACCGAAAGAATTTGTAAGAACCGAAAGTAGTAACTTGGCCATATATGGATCAGACCTCAGGGGGTTGTTTTTCGTGACAACCAATCACTTAGAAGACCGCTTGAATTCAGCCAATCAGGACTGTCTGGTTCGTTCGATCCGAACAGCCAGTAACTGATTCACATCGAAGTAAAGTTCTGTTCTCATCATTCGCTTGAGAAAATTTTTGAACTAGTTCTTCCAAAATGATGAACAGCTTTCAACAAGCATTCTACGATACTCCGGATTCGCTCTCGCTGCACGAAATGGTGGATTGCGATAGCCGGGAAATGGATTTTAATTTGAACGATCCGTTGTTTCAATTGCAGGAGCAGGGTATCTTTCAAGATATACAGCAGTTGACAGTAAAGCATGAAAGGCCCAGAACGGAATGCCATCCCGCGGCCGATTTAACAAACTTGCAATGGCTACAAAGCGTTAGTATACCCATGGAAAAAGGCTCTGCAAGCGAGAAACAAGTTATGGTTGATCCTAATACTGCTTTACCAGTACAGTGGCCGAATCAGCAACAAGTTTCCATGTCCCAAGTACACACTCAAGTCAACGTTACTGCAGTTCCACCTCCTCAGATTTTGCAGGCACGTGCGACTGATTCGAAGCCCAAAATCCACCAGCACAACCAGAAAAATGGCTTGAAAGATAGCTTAAAATCACAGGATAAAGCCTACCCGAAGCCTCTGTTTTCATATTCTTGTTTAATCGCTATGGCTTTGAAGAACAGCGATTCAGGCACACTCCCAGTCAGTGAAATCTACAAGTTCATGATGTAAGTTTCATTTGGCGCCTGAAATGGAGCATGGCAAATTATTAGACTAATATCCGCAACGGCTTTTGAAATTTGCTTTGTTTTGCTTTCTATAGGGGAAAATTTCCGTATTTCAAGACAGCTCCAGATGGATGGAAGGTGAGTGTTAATGTTTTTATCGAATCCATTCTTCGCATGGCCGGTACCTGCGAATTTTGAATTTAAAAACATGGAGGTTGTAACGGTTCACGTTACACAACTACAATCGCTTTCCTTCTGAGAAATTCTCTCCAAAAATTGGTCTAGCTTGTGATATTTGTAACGTCAGATAAAATCTTCGGAAGCTCTGGGCAAACTTCTTAAAAACTTTTCTGTCGTTATCTCAACGGTTTCCTGAAATTTGGCACTTGAATGGTTTTCTTTGCTGCATTACAATGGGTTCCGAACAGCTGACAGCGATTGAAGTCATGTACAAAATATTACCTAGTTGTCGATCGTTTTGCGAATTAAACTTCGATTCTCAAATGTGTTCTTTCAAAAAATGGAATTTTCAACCAAGAAGGAAAAAATTTGACAGCGGTGTGGTATTTTCATTGCATTTCATTCGCTTTCATGACACGAGTAATGCTAGTGTTTATTGAGTAGGATGTAACACAATGGACTGAATGTTGTTCGACTAGGAAGTGTTGCAACTGAGGATTGTGGCCAACGTAAAGTTTGCTCGATCGGAGTTCTATTTATGGGTGAAAATTCTGACATAACTAAATCAAGGCAAAGTAATGAATTGTTGAGGAAACTGTTGACCAAGAGGGCATGTCAAAATGAATTCAGAATGAACCTTCATCGCGCGCCATCCTTGTAAAATCAGATCGTGAATATTATGAACCTGCGTAGAAATTCCTACCCGATTATTTCACAAATATTGCGCCTAGGTTTTGCGATAGATGAACGACATAACGTGCAGTTGAATCAAGATACTCTGGTGTAAAATACAGAGTTTGCGGATCCCTCGAATTTTGCGAGATTCAGCCATTACTGAAATGTGAATATTGCGATACAAAGGGTGGGGCTATAATTTTATTTATGGGTGGTCAGAAAACAATTGGCCATTTAATTCCTTCCATCTCTTGAACTATTCGTTGTGATCCTGATCTGTTTTACGATGAAATAGTGACGGAACCCTGGAAATCGAAGCCCTCTTCGGCATGAGCGAGCGAGATCGACGATATGGTAATTCAACTCCACCCGAAATATTGTAACTAAATTCATTTTGAAATGAATTGTCCCCGTAAATTTCGCTTCAATGTGGTGAATCATTCGCATAACTAGCAGACTAAAAGCTTAATGGATCCTACCGCGAACAAAGTAAAATCTTGACCTTACGAAAAGTATCTTTGACAACGATTTTTAAAAAATATTTCTTCTTGAAAGTTCTCCTCCAACAGGTGGTTGCTACTGTGAATAATTAATGTTCATTCTAATTGAGGTTCGTAGTGCAGCAATAGTACTTCGCAATTTCCTTTTTTCCTTCCTCTTCTCCGACCCTTCAGTAAAGCGATAACATTTTTGAGATTCACTGGAAATGAAAGACGTAAAGTTTCAGCTGATTTCAAACATTGTATTTGCTACAACTTGCACTTTAAAATCTATCTTAGAAATCTAAACGAATAAATAATCCACGTCTATTTTGTCATGATGGCGACACTTTCTATAATTTTTAAGGCTTAGTCTTTTCCTTTTTATCTTTTCCTTGTTCTAAATTGTCCAACGAAGATGACATGATTTTTCGTTCATCAGCATAATAAGAATTTTTTGACGTAATTGGTGAAAGAACGTTTCGAAATTGTACCCAGTGGGAAATTTGGTTTTGAAACACTCCCCAATGCAAATTTATCCTTTCCAGGAATTAATTGCAGTGTTTTCATCTCTCTCGCAGTAGTTTGTTTGTAATATTCTATTTTGTTTTGGGATGTCTTGCAAAAATATATGACATCAAAAAGAAAAATATATTATTTACAAAAGGAATACGTTACGATATCCAGGTTCGTGCAAATTATCATGCTTGAAAATGAATCTATTTTTCATTCCCATAAAAGTTGATGACAGATAATTTCGTGCTGGTAAAATAATATGTGCGATAAAGTCTCTATTTTAAATTTTTTTTGCATCAGTGTTTTGAATTGAAGTTCCTATTTTGAAACTTTTTTTAAAACTGAATTTGTTCGACCTGTATGCATTTGTGAGTTTTTGTCAGACCATATTGCGTTAACGAAATTCTTCAAATTATTTTCAAGCAGTAAATGATGTTAAGTTATTCCTTCCTATGTCGTGGAAATTGAAATATGACACTTAATTTTTTTCTACTAAGGAAGTTAATCTTCCCCTAGTGACCAATTAATAATGTATGATTTTCGTGAACCACACCTCAATTTGCAGTGATTTCTACGAGAGGAAAGGTTTCATGCTATACTTTTCAATTAAATATCTCAATTTTCATGATCTCTCTCACATTCAAACGACTCTTGAGAGGGGATTCAGTGTAAATGGACTTGTTGTCAGAAGATTTCTCAATTGGAAGAAAATTTTTCTGCAGTTATTCCTTGATTTAGTACAGACCTATAGAATTTTGCAGAATTCACAGTTTGTGAACAATTTTTTTTTTCTTGCATGAGGCAGATCTTTGAGTTGGGCTATTTTTTTTAATGATGTTACATTCCATTTAATGTAGAAATCAGAGTGCAACTATGTAAGTCAGACTGAATGTTTGTTCCATTTACTTTTCATCAGTTTACAACATTTCAAACCAGTGCAATAGTTATTTAACCACAGTTTAACATTTATACAAAGTAGACAAACACATATAAGAGATTACATTGGAAAATTATGTCCTCAAAGACACAGCAAATTTCAGTGTAGTTCAAAATTCTCACCATTGTTAAATTTGCTCTTGTACTTCTTATGGGTTTGATTAAGATATAAACGTTACAACATTTTCTACACAAGATAAGAATCTATGGGGACATAGCTGTTGATTTAAAATAATGTCAGCTTGATTAAAGCAAGCATTCTGATGTTTAAGAAAGCACTGGGAGTGTTTTGTTAGTGCTTATGACTACTAATTAGCAAATCACTGTCACTAAAATTATTTGTAAGGTTTTATTTTATCAGAGTGTTGAGTATAACACTTTACAATTACTTTGACTTGTATTGAAAAGCTTGTAATGATCTAAGCACATCAATGAAATTCAAACCAGACCTTTTGAGAATCTTTGGAGAGATTTCACCATGAGATGTCAAGATTCTTACAAGTATTTAAAAAACTGAATTATGTTAGGAATTCTATCAGAAATACCTTGTTGTAAGTTAAAAATGTACTTCATTTATCCAAGCTGTATTTTGAATACAGTTGTAAGGTTCTACAAATTTTTCAGTGTACAAGCTTTCCCCATCATATCTTTGGGTTTCAAACTAGATATTATTTTTCCTATATTACTGCAAGGTTTTGAATTAAAAACCATGAATCATTTGTTTGTAATCAAAGTTCTACTCTAAACACCTCTCAGATTTATTTTCCACTCACAATAAAAATGTCATATAGGACCTGGTTTTAATGCAAGTTGCTACTTCTTTTCAGAATTCTGTTCGGCACAATCTCTCATTGAACAAGGCATTTTGTAAGCTGGAAAGGCCTCAAGGTGCCTCTCAGAGAAAAGGATGCCTGTGGTCATTAAAACCTGAGAGACGTGAACAAATGGATAAGGAAATAAGAAAATGGAAGAAAAAACATGCTGAAGCTATTAGAGCAAGCATGGCAAATCCAGGTATGTGAGTACTTAACAAAGCAGTGTTTTCTCTTTCTCTTTACACTCTACCAATGATATGCTTTTCTACTATTCTCATACCCTTTACAGCTGGTCAAAAGTGTACTTTTCAAAAAACGACAAGAAGCATAGGCATCGATATTGTGTACACGCTTGTAGGATTCTGTTGGTTAAACATATTCTATGGAACTGAAAAGGGGAATTTGTTTCACAGTCAAGAGCATCTTAAGCTAAGACCATTTCCTATAATTTCATGACCTTTAAGTTAATGTTTGACTCAAAAATAATGCTGAAATTGAATTTTTCTAGAAATAAAACAAATGTTCTAGAGTAAGCAATTACTTGTGACTAAAACAATTCTTCTCAAGCTAAAGTAACACTGGCTAGCCAAGTTAGTAACTGTAGAGGAATGCTCTATCATGAGCAAGTAAGTTTGTCCGTAGGGAGAAATGTATCAACTTTGACTTTCTCCCTCCTGATATGTTGTTTGATTAGAATTAGTTGCTATTTTAAGGAAAATTTTTCTGAGTTTAATTTTCTTATGTTTTCCCTAGAAGAGTTATCCATCTCAAGTGAGGACTTGGAAAATTCTCCAGAGCTGATTCAATCAGAAAATTGTGAAGACATAGCAGCAGCAGATGCCGCCAAGGAACTATTTGGCAATGATTTGATTCAAGAAATTCAACAAAATGAAGTACTGGATTGGGATGATATCATCTCTCAAAGCACCGAACTTCCACTTGATCCAACACTCAGCACTTGTACAACCTTGCCGATGTCAACACAGCCAATCAGTGGCATTCATGGATGTGATCCAATCACAACCACGGTAGAAATGGAAAATTCTGCGCAATACTTTGTTAATAGTGATGGGCAAGATTTTGACATCCCACTTCCAATGGTGTCTCAGTACTACAGCTTGCAACCACAACATATCAATGTGGGTTTTTGATTTATCATAGATTTAGTTAGGACTTATTGAAAAAATAATTTGTTTAATTACCATACAGAGACCATAAATTTCTTTAAGTCTTCTCTATATTGAAATGTAAATGCATTCTTAAGTGAGGTGAAAATACATGATGTAGATGTTTTTCCTTTTTTATCAAATATTTGGAATTGAAGAAGCAATACTTCAAAAACACACTTTACAGGGTTTTCTGTCCATAAACATAAAGATCAGTACATAACTTTTTATCTTTAAGATCTGCAATGTTGGCAATGAACCTTAAGGGAACAAATATATGCTACAAAGTTGACTTTCTGATAAAGAAGTATTTATCACCCTTGGACACCACAATTCTCTCTTAAAACCCCAAAAAACCCTGCAAAAACTGTCAATGCTTTTACATATGGTTGCATATCTTTCGAGGTATTAATATTAAATATTTCATTTTCTCTAAATATTTCAAATTATTTCTTAGATTATTTGTTTTAAAACTGTGGTCTGCAGTCATAATGTTGAAGATTGTTTAAGCAATAATTGCATGCTTTGTATATGCACTTAAACCTTTTATTATGTCGTATCTGTGTGTTTATATTGCATTTAGTATTTGTACATGTATATTTATAATATTTTATTGGTAATAACACCGCTAATACTTATTGTAACTGATTTCTTTTAATTAACAAGACTTGAATGGGTGACGAGTGGGAGAATGAGGTGTTGTGTATGACATTCAGTGTTGTATCTTTGTTCCTCTCTTGTAAACTTAAAGTTTGCATTTTTCTTTTTTTTTTGTAGTCATGAGGTTCTCGGTTGTGATGAAAATTAACTAAAGTTAATCATTGGTTCAAAAGAATTTGTCTGCATAATGAACCACTCTTTCACTATCTCACAAGTGTATAAACATAACTCATAGTCGCACGAAAAGATTGAAGTCTGTTTTTTACTCTGGGAATTTAATGCATCCATTGATTTGTAACTTTAATCTCTGGGTCCTCGAACATCATGATTAGTAAGTAATGCTTTAACCTCTTTGTACCATCACAAAATGACATTGTCAAAGATAACATCCCCTAGTTATTGTATATAGAACCAATATTTAGCTTAGGAGCACTAAAACATCACTTCACACAAAATACATTCAATAGGCAAACATTTGTACAGTAGATTCACCACTAATTTAAATTTGTAGCTAGTATTTATTTTGTTACACTAGAGGTACATTTTCTTTCAAGTGCTGACATAATATTATGTACTGATGTCATGTGAAACTTGTGCTCATCTTTGGACTGATAATTTTACTAAAATACGATCAGTCGAAAGATGTAGTGGAAATTGATAATAATGATTAATAATAATAATATATGGTCAATGTACAACTTGTAAATAAGATCATTTCTTTAGTGAACTAATCGTATTGCAGATTTAAAAGTTGTAGGGCATTATGGTATGCAAGGCAGTGGGCAGATATGCTTCAGCTCTGTCAATAAAGAGAAGCTCAAGATCTCATACTGTTTCCTCAGTTTTGTGTACCAGAATCAATTAAACTGTATTTCGTGGAATAAATAAATGCCTTCCCTCAAATAACCACCCCCCCCCTTCCTACACTTTCTTAAATAGTCAGGTCACAAAAGCAAAACTTCTGTTGCCACTTTACAGCAGAATCAGTACAAGAGAATAGTTTCTTTGCTTGCAGTTCATGTACATTATTCTTTTAATTTTAGTCCTATTGTTGCACTTACTTGATAAGTGCCATCCTTTCAATAAGCACCTCTCTTTGAAGCTGGAATTTTTGAATACATTTGTTTATTCAAGGAATTGAAGTATGAAATATAAATTGAAATACCAGAATTTCTCCTTTATTACCAAAAAGGAGATAGGGAAGGTGAAAATTCTAATATGGTGACCAGGATTGAGTTCTTAATCTTACAAATTTGTTAAAGTCTATGACTTTCTATGATCATTTCAATGACTTTTTTCGATGTTCTCCATAACTTGCCATAAAAAAAGTAAATTTGAAATTATGTCAAAAAATTCACGCTATGAAGGCATTATCCCTAGACCAATCTCAAAACTATCATCTTCAGGAATTCTCCATGACTTTACACAATCCCATAATCAAATATCTGGTTTTCCATGCCTAGATAATGGAATTATTGATTTCCTCAAGATTTCCATGAACTTCATCCATTAACATGACACTTTTAATTCATAAAGGGCTTTTTTGCTCCATTAAAATCCCAAAGGTTATAGTCAGTATTTTCTTTAAAAAATATTTTTAATAAAGTAGACTTACTTCACATCAAATGTTGAAGGAGTATTCCACAGGCTAAATTGATTGGAAGCTGATAACTACATTCAGTGCTTAGTTTGAAATTTGTAGCATAATGAATAAACATTTGGGTAAACAACTTTTGTATTGTTTCAAGAGCACAGATGTGTCCAAAATGCCACTTTAATCAAAATAACATTCTTTAGCCAACAACTTGTTTTTCTACACAATTAAGTCATAATGTCTTCAGGAGGCACATATTTCATGTTGCAAACTTTGATGCAGAGAAACGTGTTAATGTAAAACTTTCCTGGTGGGATTTCTTTATATCAGTTAGGAAAATTTGTAAGTATTTCTGTCTGTACTACTGATCTAGCACAGTTTACATTCCTTTCTTATCATAATTTCTCTTGATATCTCTGCTTATTCATTGGTTGTTAAATGTTGACTTAATGTCTGCCCCACTTTTTAAAAATAATTATTTTAATGTCATTTATTTGCAAGACAAAAGAGCAATCCTACATGTAAGTCAATCTGTGTTCATGACAATTTTGCTACATAATCTCCTTAACAGGGAAAACATTTTCATCAGTATGCAACATGTCAAGGTGATAGTCTGATTACACTGCCATTCTGTAGGACAAACCTAGACACAATGTTATCTTTCCTTCAGAGTCTGTTCAAGAGAAAACAAACCACACTTGATCACAGGAAGTTTCAAGTCCTGTATCTAGAAGGCATCATCACCATCAAGTTGGATAGTGAAACTCTTGTATTATTTAGTAGTGAAAAGATATTTTTTTTACTGAAATCAATATAAAGCTCTAAATATTATTTAAAAAATTGTTCTAGAAAGAAAAAGATGTGTTTTTCTGTCATCAGCTAGCTTCATATCAAGACTTAGCAAAAGCAAATGAGAAAACAGTCAGTAAAGATAACAGTGTTCACCCCCAAAGAAACTGCAAATGTAGAGGGATCATCACTAAAACTCGGAATAAACTAAAAAAAAAATGTTCAAATCCTTTGTCCAGTACTATTAGTACCAAAGAAATTCTTCACAATTAATACTTGGCATATAGCCACTCCAACAAGGGCAACACTTTGTACAAGAGACCACCAAAACACTCTACTTCCACTCCTAGTTACAAGAAAATGACTCTTTACATTCTTCTTTGTAAGGTAGGTCTGATAACCCTGAGCTTTCTCCAACTGCATTTTTATATTCTCAAGTGTGGTCTGTCAACAAAAGGATACAAAGGTTAATGAACATAGGCCTTTAAATATGTAGGTTGGGGTTAAAAATACTCTTAGAATGAATTATTTAACTCTGGTTAGGGTTTAGATTTTTCATTGTGTAATGGATTTGGTAATGTAGAACTAGGGAGACTATATGACAGACTTGCTTGAACTCATCCTGACTTGTAATTAACTTTGATCTACAACATGTGTTTTCCAATACTGAAACATCCATCATCCATTCTAGCTCAGTTTAACAAAGAAAGCTAAAGCCTGCATACAAGAGTGACTCGCTCAGTTGTCAGAGCCTATCCTGCACTCTGTATTAAGAAGCAACCAGCACTATAGCCAATTATAGATGGAGTGCTAGTCTCTCTAAAGTTGTCCCCTGCATTACATGGAATCAAACGCAAACTTAACAAGGATCAGATTTAAATGTTTAAATGGATTTCATGTTTAGAATTTGCCCAATGTTTTGTGCAAACATGGAAACTCTGGAACATTTTAAATGAATAGTTCCCAGTCTTGCATGAAATCTGACAACACAACATGGCCTCACTATGCATAGTTTTGAAAGGCACATTTTACTGTGTTAAGTAAACTCGTATATTTATTAGCAATACCCGTAAACTTTCAACTTGTAGCTGCTGGTCTTCTATACTTTTGTCTCCCTCCAGCTCTGATAACCAGTTGTCTATGTCATCACTTTCAAGTCCTAAGTCTGCATAGACAGTTTTCTCTGCCAGTGTACTGAATGAATTATCAAAACAGAATGCATATACTCCTTTCTCATCTGCTTGGATAGTATGTAAGTCATCTGTTTTCTTTTGATCATCCACTACCAGTGCTCCACTAGGAGAAATCACTTGAAAGGTAATGTCCATTTCTCCCCCTCCTTCAACCACCTGTGCAATTGCAGAAAGAAAAAAAATGAAATAAAAACACAAAGGATAAGATGGTTTTCATGTGAGCCAAATCTGTTATCACTTTCACCTAGCAATGGCTTCTTACAAACTTGTCGTATATCTTTCAAAGGCTTCCATTCAAAATAACAGAACATGACATCTGAGAAAACCTTACATAATTTTGTTTAAGTGGCAATATAGTAAAAGTGTTAATATCATTATGATTAAGAAACTAAAACAGGTTATATTTTTCTTCAGCATAAAAGGTCTGTTTGCCTTCAATCAAAGAAATTTACTTTACCATCCTTGGTATAACAGAGCTTCTGGTCAGCCTTCATACCTAAGAAATATGGTTAACCAATCCACCCATGAAACTTATGGCCATATGTCTGTATTTCCTTCTTTAAATCCAATTGAAAAATATGATGTTGAAGTATTGTCTCATAATACAAATCTTATTACGAAAATTATTCTGAGCTGATAATGTAAAGAGTTTCAATGCCAACATCAATGCCCTTCATCTTTTGCTCTGATGAAGGGCTAATGCTCTAAATGTCAGCTTTGAAACTCCTTATGGTGGCCAATTTACACTATCAACTTAGTTGATAAAACCAAATTATCTTGTTACACTTCCACTAGCACAGCACCACAGTCTCTTTAGTAACTAACCCCCTTTATTCATTACCAGCCTGTTGTTTTCAGCAAATGAGAAATTAATTTAAGGTTTTCCTCGCCTGCCAGCAGGTTGAAATTGGGATAGATGTTAAATTGTGAAGCTTCTGTCTAATTGCAGAGAAATTGAAATATATCAAATTTAACCAGGAGACTAGGTTGTGCTGTTTTCCACAAAGGTCGGAACGTGATGATTATTAGACGAAGTTTTAAAAATATTCATTTTCTAATGGTATTCAAATTCTAGAGAAACACTTATCATCATTGGCTCAATTCAAGCTCCTAGAATGAAATACAAATTTCATATTTCTGAACGCCATTAGTTGCCTAGCAGAGTACCGATAAATTATTGTTTAAGTTTCCAATAGAGGCAGGCGATTTACCGTGAAATATTAAGTGAAAAAATTTCTATCGGGATAAATTTTCACGAAGACGTTCGAATAAAGCTTACGTGCTGATAATTCATTCTGCCTTTTAAACAGTTCTAATGTGTTTTGTAAGTTTAACAAGAGAACTTAAAGTAAATATTTTATCGAAACCCTCAGATAGGACACTGCACTAATATGCGATGTACAGTGGTATACCTAAGTTCATAACTCTCACCTGATATTCCATTTCCAAGGTTTTATTAACTTCCATATTCTCGTAAAAGCAGTTCACTTTTCCTGCCTCTACGATGGTGGTAAACCCGTTCAACATCGCTTGGGACAAGGGTAACAAAGTGAGCCATTGTACAAATATGCCGAACAAGATGCGAGTAATTGAACGACGCATTCCGAAAAACTACGATAAAAAATCAAACAAACTGAATTAAATCTACAAACTGAAAAGCAATTACTAGACTATCTCAGTCGTGTATTTGTAAATTAACACGGCTGATTCCTCATTTTGCATATTGAAGACATCTACGTGGACGTGTCCTGCGAGAGATGATACCAGACTTCCTTCCCGAGAGTCTCTGCACACCTGTTGCGTTGCGGGTACAAGCGGTATGTGGGTGGTGACAGATGTCACGCAATAGCATGCGTTACAAACAGAGGCCAAAAAGTTAAACCACTCGAAAATTTTTAACAGTATCAAGACGCATCTTTTATTTCATTTCATCTGGCCACGTGCTGTTTCAGGTGCGTCAGCTGCACAAATGTAATTAAAAGTTTGAAAATTGAAATACCATTTGTTGGGATTGCGCCCTTGTCAGATGGAAGCCCGCCTTTAAGAGCACAAGCGGCCTGCTATCGCCACTAATACCTTGTGTGGCGTTGATTCTTCCCTTTTTCATATATCTCCATCGGTGTTGAACTTCAACTCCACGATGAACACCACAAAGAATAACTACAGCCAGCACGGTCAAGCTTATAGGCGACGCTGGCATGGTCGTCTTGCCATATGAAAATCCGCCTTCAAATTTTTATGTAGTGTTTACATAATCGCCACACATTTACGCCGCTCCGTGGGTGGAAAAAGGAACAAACTCCATTTAAAATCTTTTTAACATTAAGATATAGTTTCTACAAGTTGTTATTTTTGGTCGCTTGAAAGTGATCAGCTGTGTGATACGGACTGGCCTAAAATCAAATATTTACCCCAAATAAGCTGTAATGTCGCAAACTGATTAGCTATGGCTCGTTTTATTTTCTCTTTTCAAATCACTAGCGCGGCGAATGGTTTAATAACAAGGGAATGCTCGGTGAACCGTGATAACTTTTTTAGTTTGATCCTTTGAGGGCTTTGATGGATATACGAAAATCTTGCGAAAAGAAAAACAAAACCGCGAAACTTACTATTTCCAGAGAAAAGAACAAACAAACAAAACGACGACAAACTCTGAAGGGAGTAACGAATCTTTCCGTTCCTTTTTTATTCTTATTATTGTCAGTTTTTTAGGGGTAGAAAGATAACACCTTCGAAGATCTGAATGTCTCTCATAGGTGTGCCGTGTCTAAACGTGGAATAGGGTTGAAAATATAACGTTTCATCTAAGGGCAATGTTTTGCAGCATGAAAAATAAATAAATAAATAAAAATAATAATAATAATAATAATAATAACAAAAACGCAAAGGTAAGTCCGGCACAAAAAGCCTTTTCAGTTTAAATCAAGGAAAAAAACGCTAGGCAAGCTAAATAATATCGGTAAAAAAAACCTAAACGGTCGCACACATCCGCTCTCAGTAATTTATTTCCTCAAAGGAACGTCCCTCAGGGTCTCTAAATTTTAAACCGTTGTCTTGCCCCTTGGAAAGTTACCCTATTGTACAAGTTACCATCGCATTTTTCAAAAAAAATTTTCGCAAAATATTCTAGAGTTATTGTAACGAAACACTTACACGAACCCTTACAAACACGGGTTTGGATCTTTGTTTTAAAAAGGAAAGAAAAAACAATGGAGCTGCTTATAGTCCACGTGAGTCAAACACTTGGAATATCATTTCAGGGAGACAAGATTAGCTAAATGAATTTGATTTCCTCACATCCATCCGATCGCAATCATTCTATTAAGTTTCGTTCGTTACGGCACCATTGGGAGTTTTTTCAACGACTGAATGACTCTGTTCTGCAGAGTCAAGTTCTTCAATCTCGGAATTTGAGTCGGAAGTCGCTGATTGATTAACTCCATTACACAGTTTAAAGTCAGTGTCTGTGAGTTTAGTTGGAAGGGATATCTTCAGATCTGGATGAAGCCCATTCGGGACAGAATCGTTGTTTTCCTTACATCCCGCGGAGTCAGTTACACTTGTCTCATAACATGTGAGATCAACCAGGGGATCGGAACCATTTTTAGAGTCTTGCTCCTTTTCAACGAAGTCTGTTTTAGTTTTATCATTAGTATCACCACTATCGATGGTTTCCCGTTGACAATTCGTGCTCTGTGATGGCAAAGATTTATCCTCATAAGTCAAATTTTGCTCCAAATTGGTTTCTAGAGATGTAGTGCGCTCTATAGAAGTGTCGTGCGAAGTAGATGGCAATGTCTGGTTGTTCATTAACCTAGCTGAAACATCACAATTTGACTTTACAGTTTGTGTAACCATTTCACTGACGCGGTCTGAATCCGCTTTCGTTAGCTTTTCACTCGGAGTTGTAAACTCTGGGGTAACTTTTTTAGTTGAAGAAGCATTTTCAGCTGCAGCCGGTGCCACGCCTGGCGAATTTATTGTTTTCAATGGATTGCTATCCTTAAGTAGAGAAGAAGCATTAGACTGAGTTGGAGTTTTACCCGCTGAGGAGACGGGTTTACTGTTTGAAACAGTATTAGCTTCTGGTTTCAGCGACGACAGAGTCTGGGTGGCTGATATGACGCCTGCTGGTAAAACAACCTTTTGCCCTACAGTAGTCTGTGCAACCTGAGTATTTCCCACCACAGAAATACCTGTTCCAGATAACAGCGGTGTTGTGCTTGTTGTAGATGATGTTAATGAGCTTGACGGGGTGATAACCACGACTTTTTGTGATGCTGAAGGTGTAGGTACGACGATCGTTCCTCCCTTCATCGCCAAGGGTACGACCCCTCCGGCCCCCTGGCGTTGCACTAGAAGAACAGGGGAGTGTAATGACGCACTTGTAGTACTGACTTGACCACCCTTATTTGAATTCGTCAATGTACCAGAGGTCGTAGCCATATTGGCGATGGCAACTTTAGGAATGGAGACACTTGGAAGCTGAGGAGAATTTAATGCGATCGTAGTTACTCCTACTGAATTTGTCTGCGTAGTGGGAACGCCTACCGGAATAGTCCTGATATTTTTCTGGGTGCTCAGGACAGAAGTGTTTATAGTTTTCCCTTGTATCTGACTGATAGGCACAGCTTTCAACACTTGCAAAGGAACCCCAGAGCTTGACACTAACATGACCTTTCCCAAGCCTGATAGGGCAGTAACAGCTCCTGATAAAGAAGTCTTAGACACCGTGCTTGAGACAGTACCACCGATATGCGATGAAGGCACCACCACAACTGAACCGGGCGATGCTACAGCAGAAGATGACAAATTGAAGGCAAGTGGGAGTTTCTGATGTACCTGCGCAGAGCTAGTGCTTTTCTGTAACGCCGCTGTACCAGCAGAAGACGTAGGTTCCGATGTAGAAACAGTTCTTGTGACAGTGTTAGTGATTTTAATGTCTGCATTTCCGGCGGTAGCAACTTTTACTGGTGGGGTAACTGTTTTCTTCTCTTGAACACCTTTCATTCCAGCTGGGATGTGGACGACATTCCGCTTATTTAATACAGTTCCTTTCTGGCAGGCGCCCGCAGCTCCTGTTTGAGACTCAATACTAGTCCCTGTCTGACACATAGCAGTAGGTTTGTTTTCGGCGACAAGAGACTGCTTCCTTCTTTTCTTTTTCAGCTTGGGAGGAGTCGTTTGAATGGCAATGGAACACGAATCATCATCTCCGTCCACGCATGTACTGGTAGCAGCAGCTTGTTCACTACCCTCGGCAATATTTGCATCGTCAGCTTTTCTCTTCAGCGGAAGCACACTTTGTGTTTCCGCGTCACCTTTGTTGTCACTGTTCTCAGCACTATTGGACGCTTGCTCAGTACTTGCCCCTTTGTTTTTCTCGTTTTCTTCATCGTCCAGAACAAAGTCTTCGTCACTGGACATGTTCTGAGCACCAGCGTCTTGAATGTCCTCTTCAATGCTCTCTTCGCTGCCCCATTCTTCAGCTTCTCCGGCTTGTGTTACCTCTTCTGAAGGGGAAAAATAAAAATTAACCGTAAAATCAGTGAAACTGGAAAACCTCCGCGAAAAGATAACACAAAAAGATCCTCATTTGCTCAGAAACTTACAGAGAATGTGCAAACGCCATCAAGGACAATATGGTTCTTAAAGAATTAGACGAATACAAAATTTGACAAAAAAGATTCGACCAAAAAACTCCTTAGTTGACATCGGCCAGTTCATTTCGTCAAGGTTTCCGACAAGTCAGTCCGTGTCATAAACAGTAGTCCTTGTAGGAATACCGTCATCTTGGAGTATGAAGCTACATCATCGAATGTTAGTCCACGATGCAAATCATGTGCTATGTAACATTAGAAAAAAGGGCAGAACCAAGGATACTAACTAAATACACTTCCAACGGTGGCGTTTACCAAACACAATGTCAATCAAGCTCCACATAAATACGTTGGAATTGGAGAAGACTGAACAATTGTTTTGCCAAGTAGGAGTCCGTACCTGGTTCATCAACCGGCTCAGGTTCTTGACTTTCCTTCATAATCTTTATCTTTGCTTTACTCGTCAACTTGCTGAAGGACATCTCATACTTCTCCAGTTCTTCAAGCAAACCAAACAGAGTTTGGTGCAGTTCAACCTCGCATCGCTTCCTTGGGGGTGGGGGCTTAGGCTTTCTACCACGTTTCTTGGGAGGAGGGGGTGGTTCTTCAAACTGCTCACAAAGCTTCTTGAGAGATTCAACATCACTGGCAGAAAGTTCAAACCCTTCTGCAATTGTGTTCTTTGGCTCTTTTACTTCTTCATCTGGAGGCGGTGATAGTAGATTTTCGTTTTCCGGTTCGGGTGATGGCGACTTACTTCGAAGCTAGATAAAAACCCAAAAAAAAACCCCTAATTATTATGGTCATTCACGATTCAACTTAAATAAATAATCTACGAAACCGGAGCAATCTTACGTAGACTTCATCCAAGAATTAAGGTCTTGTTGCAGCTGGCAAATAAACTCTAGTCTTCGACGTTTTTCGACTTAATCGTTATTTCCCATCCTTTGTTCATTTCTTAAAAACCAGTTTGCAAGTTTTAACTTACTCCTTGCAGATTTCAGGACTGTACAAACACAGTAGGTACATTCCTGTAAAAATCGCACACAATTAACCACAGGCATTGACTAGAAAATCTTGGTAACTTAAAGGCCTTCCCTACCTGTCTAAGTCTTGTATCTCTCCTGGCTCGGGTGGGTGTGTCAGGTCGTGATGGAGTTGCCTTGCACTTTGTTGTCGATGGGGGAGGGGGAGGAGGTTGGGGCGTCGCCACCTGTAATGAAAGAGAAGATTTCTGTTAAGGGAGTTGCGTCATCATTATTATTTAATACAGTCTTCTTTATTGTTAACCCTTTAACTCCCATGAGTGACCAGGACAGAATTTCTCCTTACAATATCAACACGGAATCAAGTAGACAAGTGAGGAGAATAAAAAAGGAAGACTCAATTAGGGGACTACAAGTTGATCCAATGCCAAATTCTCCAAATTGAAATTATAAGTATTTTATGGCAGACTGTAGGGAGAATTACTAATGTGATCTTGGGAGTTAAAGGGTTAAGGTTGTTGTCAGTGAACAGGTTTCAATAACTTTTTCCATAAGTGGCTGCAGAGGGTGTAATAGGCAACTGTTCTCGATAAAGTTGCACGTGATACTGGGATTAAAAAATTCTAAAGGAGTTAAAATGTATGTTTTACCTTTCTCTTTCTTTTGTTTAATGATGGAAATTCTAAAGGACACTGCTTGTAGATGCGCAAGTCAGAAGCAGAGAAGACTGGAAAATACAGATACGTGCAGTTGTCTGCATCATTTCCCAATAACATTTCTCGTTGTTCAGTTGCAGCAATGGATGATAGATGATCGCGTAAATCATAGTCTCTCACCTAGGACAATAACAACACATTAAGTTACTGCATAGCCATTAAACCACTAAGGAATGAACTGGATTACACGTATTTACATGTAAGAATTCCTATGTTTTGATTTTTACTCTAAAAAGAAAAGAAATGTTACAAGTCATTGAGGTGAAAATAATTCCTGCTCAAATTGGAAGAACATCGAGGTTTTAAGCAAAAAGTAGCAACAAAATTGTTGACACATTGACTTTTTTAACCTCTCATTACTTCATTTTTATTTGTTTTGTCCCTTACTAAGTTCACCTTTCCGCCCCTTTCCCTCAAAACAATGTTCTATCACGATTCCATGAACTATTACCTACAAACGCACAGCATTGAATGTCTTAGAATGGTACAAACCATAGTGTTATTCTGCACATTAAAAGAACTGTTCGAAAGTATAAACTGATTTTTGTCCCTGAAAGTGGCTTTACAAATCAGCAAAGTTTTATTGTTATTGGTTATGCACCATCAAAAATGAATGAAGGAGAGACATGAACACAGCCTAAATATTTGCATTAAATAGCCCTGTAGCTGACTCTAAGGTGTAGTTAATCTCATTGAATTTTCTTCCAGTTCAGGCTAGTCTTACCAAACTGTTGTCACAGACACATTTAAGAATCCACACTCGCTGATGCAGAGTTAGGTCCATGAATGACTTCTCCAGTAAAGGATTTGCATCACCTAAAAACAATGAATACAATCATTATAATGCACAGGTCTACTATCATTGATGTAAAATGTTGTACAAGTTGTATGTGTATTTATATAATAAGCTCAGTTATGCACACATTCTGATTGGTTTTCACCTATGATCTATTGGAGGACAGACATATAGATGATGTCATCATTAAAACTTTTTAAAATTCTTTATTATGTAAAACAAATAGATTCCAAGTTGCCATGCGTCTGTTCAGTAATAGATCACAGAGGACGTCAAAATGTGGTGAGAACATCAGTGACACACTCCGCTGCGCCTTGTATGCCACTTTTTTTTTCTTACTAAATTTTGACGTCATCTGTGATCTATTACTGAACAGATGCATGGCAACTTGGAATCTATTTGTTAAGTAGAACACATTACAATGCAGATGAAACATACTCACCCAGTACTTGAAAGATGGCCAAATCCAAACCACACTGGTGGCAAGTCTGAAGAAACAGATAAATAAATAAATTTAACAAACTGAACAAAGAGTTTTGCACAACATTAAATCAGAGATCATGTAAATAATAAAGAAACTCAATAAATATCAATAATAGACAGGGTTTGCACACTGTCATATCCAAGGAGTTGGTTCTTCATGTTAATTGTTACCAGGTCAGATTAGAAAAAAGGGATAATGGGCCACAGTAAACAAGTTAGTAATTAAGGAGGAGGGGTGGATAAGAACTATCATCACTGCACCAATGGTCCTTTCCTCGGTGTGAGTCCTCTCTGTAAAAGAGTTGTCCTGGGGAAGAATGAACTGCCCATGTAGATACATACTGTTTTACAGATCTATCTATTTGAAGATACTGCATACACAGTGGACACTCTATGGGATTTTTGATTATTTCATTAAAAACAGTGTGCCATATAGATTAAAAAAGCAGTTGGATAAAAAAAGGCCTTGCCTGCGTGAGAAGATGCACATGCAAAAAAAAGCATGAAGGGAAATCAAACTCTTAGAGGTCAGGAGGTTCATAAAGGACGAGGCTTGACCTTGGTTTCTGTCGCAGAAGGAGACTAGGAATATGACAATTTTTCCCAAGTAGGAAGCTAATCCATGGCACATAACTCCCCCTTCCCCTTCCCCCAGACACATTGTCAAATTTCCATCATAGTTTGAAAGTTTTCCTATCTTTGATTATACTCCTGTGTGGAAAAAAGCAAGTAAGAGTAAAGTGTCTTTCCCAAGACCGCAACAAAAAGACCAAGCCAATCCAAAAGCCAATCCAAAAGCCAATCCAAAAGCCAACAGCCTTCCCAAGTAAGGACTGATGGCAGAGTAAAAAACTGTGCTGTAAGTAACAGTTTGACTAGAACTTACTAGTACTTGGCCATCCTTCTCAGTGGCTTTGTACCAGCTATTTAATCTGTCACATAGCTTGGATTCCCACAATTTGAATTTCATTGGAGGCTTTTTGAACAAGCTACATAAAAGAGATCAAAATGTGTGTTAGAGTTCAACCCTAATCCTTGTAGCATTCAATCAATTTCATTCAGCTTTAACAAAACCTCTGATAACAGTCGACTTGAAAAGACAACATTTCCAGTCAGAAAATTAATAATCAAAACATGTGTCAGAATGGACTTCTGAAGACAGTTTTTGTGAGGTTAGGTTATGTACTAGTGGGATCTCAAATGCAGATTAATATCATAAATTCATGTATCCCATTCATGGAAAAGAGAGCAATGATATACTTTCAGGGGCATACACTGTGTAGTTTTTCTTTATGTTAAACCCTGTGTCTACATAAGAGAATAATCAAGTGAATAATTAAATAATGTATTACATTATTTTGAATTTTGCAAGGTAAATGAAAAGCTAAATATTAGACAGATTAAATGCTACCAGAAAATCAAATATCTTAAGCCTAACAGAAAATCGTACCAGTATAAAAGACATACATACCAAAAATATACCGATAGACAGTAAATTGTAAAAAACACGCATGAAAATGATAGAAATGTTTCACCTTTTCCGCTGGTGTGGAGTAATCAACAGAGCTGTAAATATTCTGGCCAGTAACGAAGATTTACTGGCATAAATAAAGCTAAGCTCAAGCTCAGTAACACTAAGGTCTTGAATGCAGAGAAAATCTTTCAGTAGAAATAAAAGGCTAGCAATTGAAGGAATCTGTTGAAAAGAAAAACAAAATCAGTATCAAAAGTTGTACATTGCTTGATCTTGATAATCAGGAACTTGCTCAAAGCAGCTACATGTACTTTGTGAATTTTCAAGCACCATACCACAGTTTAAACTATATTCAAATTCTAAGAAACTGCAAAATGTTAACATTGAGTAACAAAATACTTATAAGGGAGGTAATGATAGATTGAAAATGAAAATGCTTAAAGATTGAAAAGGGATGACAAATTTAGCAAATATTTGATCTGAACAATTGGAGCCACATCGTTCAAGATGCACAAAATGTGATACTGCTTGGTATGTCAGAAGCCTGTATAACAGGACTTAACAAATTGACATTGACTGGCAGATAGATCAAACACAAACACCTATAGATGAAGATTTGCTAGCCCATGATGGGTGCTAAAGGATTCCACCACTTGTCTGAGGAGTTTTCATTGCTGTAGCCACACACAATTACTGCTTATTCTTTCAAATTCACGACTATTACCTCCCACATGGAATGCAGCTGTTTAATCATATCAGGATCCAGCTCCTTCTCCTCCCACTCTGCTAAATCCTGAAGCAATACCAAGTTGGCCTCTTTTTTCTCCTTCTCACGTATTCGACGGCGCTCACGTTCCTCTAAATCTTCCTGAATCTTTAGCCGTGTAAGCAAAGAGGATGATTCTTCACCATTTATCATGCTGACATAGGAGACACGGGTTGCTCGTCTACGTCCAGTTGCCCCTAAAACAATGGAAAAAAGAGAAAAATATATATACATATATTAAAGATAAAATATCTACATATCCCCAAAAGAAATTCACCCCTAAGAATACTCTGATACCAGTGTAATTGACAATTAATACCTTAACCCTGGCTTTTATTCACATTTACACTGGGGTACATCTATCACAACGACCAATGACACATTATTTTTTTGATGGTTCTATATCAATGTTAAGTCTCATGCTTGTCTATAAATTTGCTTATTAAGTAGACCTATACTCTTTCATTGTACAGTAGCAACACTCGTCAAAGATTGCCTAGACAGTATAAATTATTACCTTCTGAAACTTCTGTAGGAACAAAGTCACTCCTCAATGCCATGGTGGCCTCCAAACTCACTTTGTCTCTTAAGGACCTACAATTAAAATTTAAAAAACATAAACATTTCTCAAATTGATTCTGCCTCTAAGTGATTCTTCAAACTCCAAAAGGGCTTCTAAAACCAGAAATAAGGTAAAACAAAGTTGTTATATTATTATCATTATCATTACAAGAAGGCTACGTGTTTGGAAATTAGGATTTGCGGTAAGTATACGAGTCAACTAAACTTAGTGTTATTCAGAAATTTTTTAGTGGTCAGCCATAAAAACAAAAGCTGTAATAGTTTGAAGTTTACCTCAGATCAAGACAGGTATTTTAATGTGTATGTATAAAGGTAGCCATCAGTTCAGAAACAAGAAGCCTATGAAAATGCTGGCCATCAGTGCTTCTGGATAACTCTTTTAAACTAATAATAAAATAGAATGGTCATTTTATGCATAATCACCTGTTCAGCAAAGCCAACTTTTGTTCCAGTATCTTCTCCATCTTGTGGCCAAGTTTGGACACCCAGTGATCTGATCCATTGTAGCGGTAACAGTTCTCCAAAATAAGACGAATGTCTGCTATAACCTCAGTGATGCTCCTATATTCATACTTGTTAAATTTGTCACCAACTACAACAAAAGAGGAAGAAAATTAGAAACAATATAAAAGTTGAAATGATAGATTAGTTTAGTTTCAGGTGACTTAAGATGAAAAAAAAGTTTTGAAAAATTTTAATAGGTCTCACTTGACCAAAATTACTAGTTGCTGCATTTCCTTAGAACTTTTGAAAATGAGAAAATTAGAGGTCACTTTGCTGGAAAAGAATCAGAAAAATAATCATATCTCTTTTACCAACAACATCTTTCAAACATAAATAGAAAGCAATTTATGTTTCTGCTGCCTAATATAAATATTCCTGAAATTTTTCAGAGCTTAAAGTAACTGTAGGTGGCTAAACAGATTGCCAGGGACTAAGAAATCTTCTAAGATAGGTGCCCTAAATCAGGGTACTTTTCCAAACATTATAGAGAAGTTTGGTATAGAGAATTGTTAAACTTTTTTAACATATGTTGACTCACTGTCTTTACAACAAAAACACTAAATGTGTGTTCATTTTAAATGTTACTCAAACCATGTATGAGACAAACTTGGTCTAGTTAGAGAACAGAACTTGCTTTAATGGAAGAATATCGTGCCGATAAACCATGTGATATTTATGGGGATTCCCTTGATCAGATAAATTTCAAATTTTATACCTTTTGGTTTTTTTACCCAAATAAAAAAATTGTGGAGCAAGCAGATATAAGAATTTATGATGACAAGGCGAAGATGGAGTGATCTGAATGCACCTTTAAAGATGAAAACAGAATTATCATAACAGATTTACGTAACGTAGAGGTTTTTTTTAGATCAAAATTCGAGTGACTGCTAAAAATAATGCTCACATTACCAACTGTGAACTTAAAATGCACAATTAAAAGCAATATGAAGGTTAACAACTATAACTCAAGATGTGAACTTTTGATTTTGAAAGGGAAAGCGCTCTGGTCAAAATTAGAACGACGAGACAGAAATTTCACTACGCCAACAAAATGTAAACATAAACGTGAATAAATGGGAGAAGATTTCTTTTTTTTCATGTCAAATACCTTTTCCAATCTGAATTTAAAATAACGTTTCGTCTGTAACAAAATGTCAAAGTTATTTAGGGCAGCTCGGTAAATGCGAAATTTCAGAGGTGTGAAAGGTTTAAATTTGTTACAGTTAGTGTTGTAATAAATTAATTAAAACTTCGACTGACTTTGCTTGAAGCTCATGGGTTCCTTCACTCTTTCATGATAGTCCCACAGGCCAAGTGCCTTGGCATCTACGGGCTCCAAAAATGGCCAAGTTACATTCTTATAAGAGTCTGCCGACATTTCGATGAAGACGCGGTAGCCCTGCTGAACTTCGGGGTTTAGTTTAGTAAGATCCAGTACGTTCACTTGCGGTATCGGCGATTTTTCTATTTCCGGCATTTGAACACGAGTTTCTGAAACTTCAACCGGCGCGATTTCACAAAGCTTTTCGGACTCTTCAACTGGATTTTCGACCATAACTTCGTCCGTTTCCATCGAAGAAGTTTCCATTCTGAAGAACTAGGCCAACTGGATGGCCCAATAGAAGTCCAGTGGTATGTTTGTAGCCCAGTGTCTATCAAGTTTCTACATAAAGATAAGTATGAAAGGCAAATGCTTGTAAACCATGCCAACTTCTACCGCGCCGCATTGTTGATGCGCAGTCTAAAGAACAAAGGCCGCGCGCCGACTCAGTAGGACAAAACGCGACAACCAAGTTACAAATGACACGATTTTGAATCTAAAGGCAGGAACTAACCGCTTAAACGTCTTCTCTAGCTAAAGAAATTTCCTAGTCCAAGCCACATAGCGGAAAACGAGTTCAATTATCATCTAGAATAGAAAAAAGTCAATCTGAAACTTAATTAAACGAATTATCTTTGGCTAGTGCCAGGCCTTTATAGACTCACGCGATTTGCACTTTTCAACCCTTATTTTGAATTTTCCTGGAACGGCTAAGTTAGAAATACTACCAAAGGCTTTAGTCAGACATGAATAGTGTGGGGGTACAATTTATCTGCTATTTTGGGCCTAAAATCAGCAAATTCTGACAATTTTGTCCTTATCGATTTAACGAGCCCGCGATCTACACAGGACTTCATTTCCCGCCTAATTCAAACTTTCGCGCTCGATCGATGGCTCATCATAGAGAGAATAAAAGATGCCGCTTTTAGGGAAGAAATCTTACAAGCCAAGCCCGTTTCCGAATGATCTGAAGTCTGAGGAAGAGGTTTTTGCCATCAAAGAGACGAATGAAGTCTTCAGGTCGTACGAGTATCCTTAAATAACGTCTGCAGGACCGCGAAGAACATTAGTAACAATGTCTTCTGTAGCGGATAGGTAGTCACTCGAATACATTGTAGACGATTTTTGATGGGCTTTCCTCGTGATATGTACCTTGCAAAATTATTACTGAACCCATCATTCATTTAGACTTACCTCCAAAACGGATAAAGCATTTTTAACGGAACATTTCTTGGGGTGATTAAGTAAATTTGACCAGAATCTTAATACCAGAATTTTCTCGTTGATCTGTGCAACTAGTGCGTTAGAATTACTTCTTGCGAGCTATCACCCCGTAATATCTCTCTGCAGGTAGTCGTGACTTCCGTTCGGCTACTAACCTTGTGTAAATGCAGTAAATGATAAATCGTAGATCAAACCACAAGGGTTGTGTAACTGAAACCTACACATTTACAATTTCAAGAAATTATATCTATTGTAAGAGAACAGTACTTCATGTTTCAGTGAGATACCTGGCATAGTTTTTATTGGTGGTGAAGTATTTAGCTGTATGAAAATGAATTTCGTAGATGCCCAGTCAATGGGGCTACCAATGGTTAAGTTTTGTGCCTTTTTAATCCTTTACCCAATCCCAAAGAGGAACTAGCAATGGTATCACCCCTGAATCAACCACTTGGGTCACAAGAATGAAGGAAACGATCACCAACTAAATATTCTCTTGATTATTACACAAATCTTCTTGTCACCAACTTAGGAAAAGTATAGACATCAGAAAGGCCAATATGCATTTTAATATTAGGATGTAAAGGGTTAAGGGTTTTTTTTTTTTGACCTATCTTGCTGTTTTTAAAGTGTATGACAGACCATCCTAGTAACAAAGGGAGCATTTTCATTTGTATGAAGATCACATTATCAAGGCCTTGCAAATTGGTTGTTTGCATGTAGTGCATATTTCCTTTACGCAATCAAGTGAATATGTAAACCGTATCCTTTTGTATGGATTTCAAATCTGGAGCTGTCAGTTTACCGGTAAAACAAACCTGAAGTATGAAGAAGCTGTAGCAAGTGAAGAACAGGCGCTGAAAAGACTAGAGAGCTTTCCAAAGTATTTTGAGAAAACAGTTTTGCAGATTGTGCATCACAGTAAGTACATTGTATAAGTATGTGCTGTATAAGTATGTGCTCTCATCACTCCTTTCATTAAATATTATTGAAGTTCTAGATTGCATTTTAATTAGATGAACCTGACTCTTTTTATTGTTAACCCTCTAACTCCCATAAGTGACCAAGACAGAATTTCTTGTCACAAGATCAATACAATATCAAGCAGACATGTGACAAGAATCAAGAAATATATCAACAACCAGATTATTAGTTGATTTCATACCAAATTTTCTGAACTCACATCAGAAAATTGCTGATGAGATCATTGGAGTGAAAGGATTAAAAGATCATTGTGCCTTTTCTCATGAGTTACTCATATTAAGATCTTATTGAAGGCTGCAAATAAATGTGTGAATTGGAACTCAGGAGGGTCTGTTTTAGTTGACTTACAAAGTGAGAAGCAAACCAAAACTTAATCTACCCATGGCAGTTACTTGGGCACAGGTGATTAAACTGATAACCATTTTCTATAGGTACAAGAACACTGCAAACTCTGGTACAAGAGTGTTACAAACAACTGGAAAAAGAATTTTTGCCAAATGAACCAGTAGAGTGTTTGGTCAATGGGAAATGGTAAGTCGTGAGTCAGACTTAAACTTGGGTATCAAACAACTGTTCACCAAAGTGAAGGTGGCTAATGTTGGATATTTAGTGAGCCAAAAAGCGGCAAGGTAAATATTGACCACTAGCCTTCAACTCTAAGTACACACTAAAACAGTATATAGCCAAAAAAGTTGATATTAACTAATTTATACCTGCAACGATTACAACATTTTTAGACCCAAACCACGGCAAGTTAGTTGAATGTGAATAGTGAAGGATATTGAGAGTTTGAGAAGTGAATTAATCAGAGTACATGTTCAATGTTATGCACTGTTGAAGTATGTATAAATAGCTGATAATGATGGTTCATTCCACTTTTTTTCAATTAACTTTTCATTTTTTGTTATAATTTTTTCCTCCTTCCACCCATCTCAGGCTTCTAGGAAAAATTTTGCAAATTCACCACAGAGACAAGCATGAAAATGTAAGTTATTTTCAGGAAAAGGCAAAGAGACAGTATAGGTGTGAAAAACCTGGAAAGTAAATATAATTTAAGTTTGGGTCATGAAAGATTATGGGGAAAGACTGAAAGGTTTATTCTAGGAAAATGAAGCAAGATGTACTGGGAATTCAAAGATGGTTTTTGCTTTATCTTCAAACTAACTTAATTATTAATACCAACACAAGAAATTAAATTAATTAACTCATTTTCAGAGCACTGATAAAACATATGACTTTGAATCTGGTGAGATACATGACTGCTTGAAGAGCATTCCACCGGAGGAAATCAGGTAAGATATAGTATCTCTCTGTGTTCAGTAAATACAATCTTAAAGCTATGAAGAGTGAAAAATTTATTTCTCAAACTGAATGTCCTCAGTGTTCCCTTATGATGGAACTTCAAACATTTTTGACAATTTGTGTGATTAAAAGAAATTAACTTTACATGATATTGGTAATTTGAGTGATATTCTAATCATTTACACAGAAAAGGCTAACATCTAATTTAAAATATTAAATTACCGCTTTAAATTGTTTGTAAAGCATCATATTCATTACTTTTTCCAGAATATTTTATTGTCAAATGGAACCATTTGACCAGCAGTTAGTTTTAACATTTTACTTGTTTGTGTATTATTGCAATGTCAAGGAAATTAAAAATACTTCTGCATGATCAATGAAAATGTCTCTTCTCTTTCATCCTTTAGGAGCTGTGGCCAGAAATTAATTCTTTCCATTGGTAGCTACATGTATATCTAAGTTTTACCTTTTTTTTCTTTTAAAAGACGTGTTAAGAAAATCCCGTCAGAAGAGTTGCTTAAATGCTTCATATGTGTCAACACCCAAAACCCTTGGAGGAGTGATAACAGCCCTTGGGTGGTTAAGGTATTTCTTAAATGTAGTCACTTCATTCAGATAAAAAAATAAATAAATGAATGAGCCACATGGCAAAGAACTTCACTAGCCACTTGTTGTGGCCGGTGAAGTGCATAGGCTTTGAGCTCTTGTATACAACTGTGCAATATCTTTTCATTATTGCTATTTTTCAGAGTGATATGGCAAAGAAGTATTCCCTTGCTGAAAAATATAATGATTTCTCTTTGGTATTGGGCAAGGTATGTTTTATAATTTATTTTTTACAATTTACCTAACCTTAATTAGAGGTCTCAATAATTTTGAATACCCACTTTGTCTTTTACTTCAGACACTGTTCTGCTTTCAAAAAATGTCTCAACAACTCATTTGGCTGTCAACAGAAAAACCAATTACACAAACCAGTTGAAACTTAAACTTAAAAGCCTTTAACCCCTAAGAGTGACTAACATCTAATTTCTCTTTACAATATCATCCCTGAATCAAAAATTGAGGTCATAAGAATAAATGAAATGATCACCAACTAAAGAAGCTCTTGATTGCTGAACAAATTCTCCTTGTCAGCACCTTAGGAAATGTATAGAGAACAGTATGGAGAATATGTATACTGATGTTAGGGTGCAAGGAGATGAGCTTTGAGGCTTGGAAATAATTTAGGAAAGCAAGTTAGTTGCATCAGCACAATGAATCTTCAGCTTAGAGAGTGAATTTGAACCCACAGTTTGGTAATTGCCTTGATTTTTTCAGAAAACAACACCTTTGTCTAAAACTCCCTCAAAAGGCCACAAGAGCAACAAGAAACAAAAAAAGGAGAAAACTTCTGACAAGAACACATCACAAGGGAAGTCCCAAGTGAAGAAGACTGGCTTTATGCAGAAAAAACTTGACTCCTTTAGAACAAGCAGTAATGGCAAAGATATCACTATGAGCCTAGCAAAGATGTCTGACAAGTCGCATAAAAAGGTAACACCATCAAAGAAGAACTTCATCGACATTTGTTCAAGTCCTGATAAAGATAATGACAAGACACCATCTAGTCAACTGCATGGTACTCCAATTAAATGCAGATTGGTTCTAACACCTATCAAATCACCTCAAGTTACAGCTGCAAAGAGTATCACTCCTGAAAGAAGTGTTGTAAGTAAAGACAACATAAACATGAAAAATGTGGCTGTTGGAGAAACTGCAAATGATGTTGTCATCACAGGTTGTAAAACATCACAGACATTTTTCTCTCAGCCAAGTAAAAAAGTCAGGAGTTCTCCTAAACAGGACAAATGTGAAAAGTCCCGAGATGGTAAAGGGGTGTTGAACAAGAAATCAACAAAGAAAGGAAACATTTCAAAAAAATTATCAATAGTTAAAGGTACTAGCCTGAAGGAGAAGAAGCTTACTTATGCAATGGAATCAGTAAAAAAGAAGGCAAAACTAGATGTTTGTGTGCCAGAAGTGGAGTCAGTGATTGTGGACAATGATTCTGATAAGGATTTTCAATCCTCTTCTAATAAGGTAAAGTTTGTGCATGGTTGTCAAATAAAGAAAGATGTTATTCATTTTTTCATGAATTCAGGACAAAGAAGAATTCAGGTCCCCAATGTAATTTTGAGGAATCAAACCTTACACCTTCTGATTTTGTTTTTAACATTTGGTAGAGCAGTAGAATTCAATTCAAAGCTCTGAGGTTTGACTTTATATGCTTGGGGGGACTCAGATTTTTCCTTTTTCCCATACTCGTGACCAGACTAATGACACCTTTTTTCTTTTTCAAAATTTTTTTCTTAACACATTTGTTTATTTATGCACTTGACAACCCAGTGGGTCATCTTAAAATTGAGTTGAAATCCTTGATTTGGACTTCTGTTGGCGTCACCTGACTGTAGCTTTTCCTTCATTACCTTACATGTCCTGTCTAATAAAGAAACCAAAATTAAAATGAACCTCAGTACCTCAGCCTTAGAAAATGGTTTTTCAGGGGTAAGCTCTAGCTGAGGTTTGAATACATGTAACATTTTGACCAGTGGCTGGTGATGGTGGGATAGGCAGCTTTGTGTATGACCATTAAATTACTGTACAAATCTGGGATCATGTTTTCTGTATGTTGGTCCATGTGTCAACCAACAGTCAATTAAAGTGTTGGCCAACAGTCACCAAGTAGTCTCCCAAGAATTGACTCACCAGATAGATGAATAAAGGGGGTAAGTTTTGAGAAAAAACTGTGGTACTGCATCAGTGGAGGAGGAGGGTGGTTAATATAAGATAATTTGGTATTATCATTTGAGTTGATAATGTAAATTGACCGCTGTAAAGAGTTTTTATAGCTGACATTTGAGCATTAGCCCTTCATCAGAGCAAAGGGGCTAACACTCCAAATGTCAGTTTTTAGAAAGTCTTTGCATTGGCCAATTTACATATCAATCATCTCAGTTACAAAAACCAAATTATCTAGACTCACCTACCTGGTAATAGAGACAAGTTGGCTGAGTATCTGTTGACATATTTATTAATATAAACTGATCCAGGGGTTGTCTGTCTGCTGTCTGACACTATCAAGCTACTTGGTTTTCCTTGGCTTCACTGTAGATATTGTTTTTCCTTTTCTAAGATTCCAGCCAAATTGAAGCAATCAAGTGGAAAAATGAGACAAAGAACATTGTTGGACCTCACTAAGAAGCCTGAAGAAGAGAAGGTTGCATTCCTGTCTTCAAAGATGACAGCCAAAAAACAGAAAACTTTGGCTGAAATGTAAGGTTCATGATTTTATGATTTCCCAATCATAATTTTTTATCATTTCATTTGATTTGGCCCATATTTAGCCTAATTAGATGGTGTGTTTATATTAAAATTCATTTGACTGTGTTATAATTAACATATTGTTGTTTTTGAACTAGTGTTACAAATCAGTTATTCAAAATTTTACTGAATATTGCAAAATGGAATCAAGAAAATATTCATCAAACTGGTATGATAATCATATCTTTGTGTAGGTTTAGTGCTGCCTTCAGGAAGGAGAAACCAGACCAGGCAATAAATGCGTTAATTCGGAAAACAGCTAAAGTAGTGTCTTCACCAAGCTGTCTTGCTCTTGATCTTTCGACTCCTCAACGGGATCATGTCACAGAGAAATGGCATGCACATAAAGAAAGATTAAACAGGTACTACAACTCTAAGTAATTACTAACATTTTAATCCTTTAACTTCTATGAGTGAACAAGGGGTAATTTGTCTTTACAACATCAGAATAATGTCAAACAGACAAGTGATGTGAAAAGAAAATTATTATCAAATCATGGATTATTAGTTGATCTAGTACCAAATTCTCCAAACTAATATCATAGGAATTGTATGACAGATAGTGAGGAGAATTACCACTGAGATCTATGAGTGAAGGGTCAAGGGTTCCAGAAAGTAAGAGGTTACAGTGTAATTGCTGTTTTCTTGTGTATTTCAGGAAGTTTAGTTCAAAGGTAAATGGACTTTTGAAGGTAAGGCTGATCCTCAATATCAAGTTCTCCTCCTTTATGATCAGTGTAGTTGCTTGGAAGACTAGTATATGAATTGCTGGAGATTGGTTAGCCAATCAGAATGTAGGATTCTTTTGCCTGCTATCTTAGCTTGTCACATAATAAAAAAATAGGTGCTATCAAAGTGTGAGGAAAACTTTAGGAACTGGTGTAGGTTAAGGTCCCATTAGAAACTGATAAGCAGCAGAAACATAGGCTTTCAACCTATGTTGCTTTCACTTAATGAAACTGTGATGAGAGACAGAAATTAAGTATTTTTGAACTGATTGCAACACCAATGTCTGGCTTAAAATGTCCAAGAATGCTGAAAATCACATTTCAGAAGAGCTTCAAATTTTTCTGAGGGATCTAGCCTCCAGATCCCTGAGAGGGGGGTATTGCAAAGCAACACATATTGCATGCTATGCAAGTATAGTTCAACCCACCTAGTAACATGTACTCAGTTCAGATCAAACATATATTACATTTCCCAATGACAACCCTGAAGTCTAGTAGCCTTCTAGAAGAAATAGCCATACTCCTGGTCACTGACTTTAAGCTAGGTGGAATAGGATGTACACATTCTAATATGCATAAAATATGTCATTTTTATTTCTTCAGAAATGTGAAGACAGTGATCTCATAGATGCTAAACCTCTCCCACTTTGTAAACCAGTGAATGTACCCATGGAAATCACAGCTGAGATGTTTGGTGATATAGCTATGATAGCAGACTTTGTGCATACCTTCTGTGATCTTCTTGCTCCTCGGGAAACTCTGCATATCTCTATTGGTAAATATCAAAATATTGATTAAAGGTTTTTTTGCACCCAGAGCAATTTTCAAGTGGTAGTTGAAAGATATCAAGAGTTTCTTTGGTTTTGCTTCACATGACTATTGTAGCAATTGGTTGTTTTGACTTTGAGATCTCATTGGTTCCTTGTGATATTTGTCTTTCTTCTGATTGGAAGTTGTGATTACTTTCATTGGTGTTGACTTCATGACACTCAATTGAAACATGCTCTGAGTGTTACAAAAAGAATTGATGATTCTGATCTGATCTTAAAATAATCTGCATATCATTTTAAGTCATTATTTTGACAAAATGTGGGGAACCTGGCCTGAACTTTGAATCACAAGCTCTGAGACCTTTCTTTCTTTTTTTTTTTTTTTTTTTTCTTGCAGATAATTTATCACAGGCTTTGGTATCTGGCAAAGAAGGCTTTCCTCTGCTTTCAAGAATCTTGGTTGTCTTCCTTCAGATTTTACTGCAAGATAGGTCCACCAAGGTAAGTTCTGAAAGGAGATCAAGTAGAACAAAACAAAAAAGCTGAATTTAGTTGGACGGTTCCAAGCTCAAACTTAGTTGAGAGGTGGAAAATATTGAGCAAATGATGCATGGCAGTGTTTGTTGAAACATCAGCAACACTTCAGTCATCTTTTTGCCTCTTTTACCTCATTTTCTAAGTTGAACACGTCAATCATAGTTTATATGCAGTACATAACTGTAACAACCCAAGTCACTCCATCAACCAGTGGAGGAGTGGGTTGGAAAGGAGAAAAAACAGCCAGCTTTGGTAGTATGAGATAACACAAATGAAAGTACTTGACATACCCAAAGGAGCTGTGAAACGTCATTAGCCCCTCCTGGAACTATCCTGGTAGTAAATATAACATGGCAACCTGACTTGAATTGTTTTTAGTCTAACTTTGCTTATGGTCAAAATCAATAACCTCTAGGCATGTCATATTAGGCTTTTGTTTGTATATGATTGCCACTAGATTACACTTTTCCATACAATTACAAATTAATACTAAATATTTTGGAACATTCTCCAGGGTTTAGAATTGGGTATGGACCTCTCAGAAATGCCCTTGACACAGCACACAGCATCTGAAATCTCAAGACTCTACTTGAATGCCAAACTTAAGATGTTGCCAGCTTTTGAAGAGGATAAACAGCTTCAAGGAATACTGGAATCACTAGAACAGAAAGATTTCCATCTCTTTAATCCTGAAGAAAAGGCAAAGGTATCTACAACATTAAACTGAATTACAATAATTATATCAATCACCAAAGTATTTTTCAAGTAAATGTCTATGTTTTGCTCATTGTCTTCATTTGGCAGTGCAGTTTAGAACTCTCCTGCTAAATTTTGACAGCTTGAGCTTTATTTTTCTTTTCAGACACAGAGAATATTCTTCTCATAATTTACATTGTTCTCCTGGTCTTACCTTTTTAATAGAAACTTGTTTCCGTCATTGAATCGTGTCCTGTTTAATTTAGATCCTGGTTACCCTGTGCCATGAGGTTTTGTCATCAAATGCTGTTGATGATTACATAGGAAGTCAACTCACAGAGGCCACAGAATTAAGGTGGAGATGAACAATAAGACTGGTTTATGTTATCAACAGATTAAATTTCCATGTTTTGCAAATTTGTTTTAATTTACCCCTTAATCTTAAGATCTATTTGTCAATTCTCTATGCTATTTATTAAACATTTCATATGATTTTCATTGTGAAAATTTGTTGTCAGATCAAATGATATACCATCAAATTGCCAGATTCTAATAATGAGTTCTGTAGTCTTGAACAGAACCTTTCACTTGGCTGTTAGTATTTGGGTAAGGCAGATCAGACAATTCTCTAGTAATTATTTCACTGATCTCTCCAGCTAAACTTGAAAACTTGTTGCAAAAGCTTCGTGCAGTAGAAGACTAAAGCCATTTGAACATACCTAAAATTAATGCTCAAGTTTTTACTATTTTCTTAATATACTGGGATTTATTTGAAGGAAACAAAAGCAAGCCAAGCAAAGGGAGAAGAATGATAAGATACGAGAGGAAAAGGAGAGGCTGAGGAAAGAAAAAGAGGAGATGGAAAAAAAGAAAGAAGAAGAAGCAAACAAAAAGGTACAAAGATGGAAGTATGAAGGAAAAGAATGTCTGTCCCCTCCATTATTTTAAGAGATATTACCATTGAATTTTTTATGTTATAGTAAATTGTCTGGCTCGATAAGATTGTTAAGTTCTTTGATGACAGACTGTAGCCACTCAAACCTCCCCTTACAGCTACCTCTCTCCAGCAACTACTTTTGTTTCTGTCCTGGAGGACAGTTCAAACAGTCACTCTTCTTTGAGCTCATGCACTTGTGATCTTTAAGTGAATAAACTACTAAGACAATATCTTATCACTGACAGCTGTTTACCTATTTTTTACCTTAAACTTAGTACATTTATTTTTTATTCCAGCAACTCAAGGTGGATGAGCTAAGTATGAAAGGTGAAAAATAACATGTAGATACATTTTTTGTAACCCTGATTTCTTAATGTGATGGCCCATGCAAGGAGAAGCATATCTGCACATTATTTCTGCCGTTGGATTGTAATTTGTAATTTGCAAGTTGTATTCATTGCATTTAGGTTAAATTTTTCATTTGTGATTGTCTTAATATGAACCACTGTTAAAACAGCTGTAAGTAGATTTTAATCAATGTACTAAATGTGTTGTTAGCATAGTAATAATAGTGCAAAAAATATGGAAAGAGCAAAAAATTTTACTGAATAGTGTTTGAGTGTGTATGTAGTTTACTGCAGCTAATTAGTTTTGTTTCCTTGATGAAAAAAAATAATCCAAACTATAAATCATCACTTGATATGAGTTTCCATGTGTTAAAAGCACTCAGGGAAATTAATATCTGTTTTTGTCTTTGTAGACACTGGAACAGAGTGTGTCACTTCAGAACCCCTTGGTTGTGGTCCAGAGATGGAGATATCCAACAAAATGGAGGAGAAGAGAGAAAAACAGAAAAGTGAAGTTTCCCTGAGAGCAGAACAGGACAGGCAGAGTTATGAAGTTGTTGAAACTTTGAGGAAAAGAAGAGAAGACATGGCTGCAAAAGACATCGTCAATGAAAAGAAACTAAAAGAGAAGGAGGAGAGGTAACGGAATAAACCAGCAGATTGTGCATTCACTAAGATGCAGCATAGAAATCTCTCTTCCCACGATGGTAATCTGAACTGAATTTAAGACAAGACTTTTTTTTCTCTTAATTTAGACTTGCAAAAGAAGAAGAGGAACAGTTGAATGTAAGTATGCATAGTTGTTTAGAGTAGAGTCTATTTTGATTGACTATCATAGAACCAAATGGAAGTGGAAGCTAGTTGTCCTGTGCTCTTGTCAAATTGTTGTTACCTGTCTGTGTCTTACATTGACCTTGAATACTCTTTTTTGTACATCAGTTGGTCTCAAAGACCTACACTGAGCTTTCACACTCTGTAGAAGCTCTAAAACTTATCTGTTGTCCCTGATAGTTACCCATTTCATTTACATCAAACTTTATAATTCCTATTTCTTGTTTAGTCTAGGAGTTTGAAACTGGAACATGACCTAAATTTCCTTGAATTTGTCTATAGGATACCTTGTGACTTCTAACATTAAAAAAAGATTAAATTTGACTTCAATTCCTCTCTTCTCAGCTGAACATGGCTCAGTGTCTGTATTCTTTGAGATTAAAACCCATAGGATGTGATCGCAACCATGGCCGTTATTGGGTGTTCAATGGTGTGGCACCAGGGGTTTTTGTAGAGCACGGTTGGAGAAATTTAGAGGATCTAGCAATACCCACTAAGGGTGTTTCTAAAGTGGAGAAAGAAGTTGGAGACACTGCAGATGCAACCATTGAAACAGAAAATAAGAGAGAACTGTGTGAAGAGGGAAATGACATTGAAATGGTAGAAGAGACTAAAGTTGAAAGAAAGATGGACTCTTGTGCTAAAGATAATGAAAATGAATCAAGGTATATCTCCTGCAATGTTAGTAAATGAAGTTGGGGGAGTAATCAGTGTGCAGTTGAATGTTTTGTTACCATTCCCCTGAAATGCAAAGGGGGGGAGGGATGGTGCAATGGTAAGAGTGTTCACCTCCCACTACTGTGGCCTGGTTCAATTCCCAGACCTAGTGTCAGATGTGGGTCGAGTTTGTTGTTGGTTCTTGTCCTTGCTCTAAAGGTTTTTCTCTTAATTGGACTCCCAGTTGCTGCACTCTCCATCATCATTTCTGATGCCTATCCCCCCTCTCTTCCCATCCCCTCCATTCCCATCCCCTCCATTCCCATCCTTCCCATTCCTTCCCTTCCCATCCCCCTCCTTCCCATCCCCCCCCTCCTTCCCATCCCCCCCCCTTCCCATCCCCCCCTTCCCTTCCCATCCCCCTCCTTCCCCCATCCCCCCCTTCCTTCCCTTCCCATCCCCTTCCCATCCCCCCCTTCCCATCCCCCCCCCCCCTTCCCATCCCCCCCCTTCCCATCCCATCCCCCCTCCCTTCCCATCCCCTATAAATACCCATTTTCAACCTGGTCTTTATGGAGTCATACTTTTTTCCCATCAGGTTGACTGATGTTCCATATGAATGGTCCTGCTACAGTACTGTTGAAGAAGTTCAGGCTTTGCTTTCCTGTTTGTCAAGTCAGGGTATCAGGGAAAGTGAGTTAAAGAAGGCTCTCAAAGAAAAATTGCCAGAAATCACTGAAGGAATTGTTAAAAGGTTGGTATGGCGTGAGGGCCATATAAGCTTACCCTTTACACATATATATTACACATATTTTGTACTTATTTGCTGAGTTGGGGTTTTGGACAGGAAATTTTTGGCTCAAGGTCTTTACGTAAGGATTGAGCACAGTGATGTCCATACGTCATAACTGAGAGTAGACTGTGAGCAGTTCCTTCTTTTTGGTGTTTTTTTTCGCTGATTTTTATTTTTTTGACGTGTGCGACAGACGACGAAAAGGAGGGGCTGCTTGTAGCCTAAACCAAGAGGCAAATATTTTCAGGTGTGGCCCAACTCAACTCACTCAGTAAGCTGTCTTCTTTGTATTGTATGACCCTGTCTCTCTGTACCTTTTTTCCCTTTGTTCTTCTATTAAATGTGCATCTGGTGGAGCAGTAGGCAGGCCCAAACTGCCTTTTCCAACCCTACCCATGCCATCCTGCATGGCACTCATATTGGAAAGTTTCTCCTTGTGGCAATCAACGAAAGCACTTGGAATCCTTCAGGTCATTTGGCAGAATTGTGAACTCTCATTATAACTCAAAACATTCACCCTTCAATTAATTTTTTTTGTTAGTTTTTGACATATTTTTGTCTATTCATTTGATGTCATCAGGAATTCTTCAAGGAAAGTTTTAAACCCAGAGACTGGCGAAGAAGTCCCTTATAGCTCCATCAAAGAGGTATGTGTAATGTCATGTCACTTCGTGTGTGCTTGGGCTAAGAAACTAAACCGAAATCATGCAACATGAAAAATATATGCATAACAAGTTGCAATTTTTTCTCACCTTCCACTCTGCTACTCCAGAGGAAAAATTCCTTGCCAGGTATTTTCAAAACAAACAGAAAGTAGAACAAAACAAATTGTTAATATAAATTGACCAAAAAAAACTTCAGTGCAGAAAATTTCCCTTCCATCTATTTCCGATTTTTTCTTATGTTTTGCTGGTAAGTTTTCAAAGGAAGAGCGTCTTTCATCTTCAATAATTTATTTACTTTACAATCTTCTTTTATCAGGAATTGAAGGACACTGTTGAAAGACTCTTCTATGGAAATTTAGCAGAGCTTGAAAGTGGCCTGGAGGAATATCTAGAGGGGGTAGATCAAGCCAAGACTGTCAGTGATTTGGTAAGACAGTAAACATTGACCTATTTGTGAAAAGAAAAAAGAAACGGTAAAATTTTAGCTTTTTCGATGAATCAAGGAAGTTTGCATTATTTTTACACACAATCCTTGGGACACTGCTGGTCCAAGCAGTATACAGGACACGAGTCACGCATGAAGCTAGTTACGGCGTAACTCACTGTGGCTCATTTGTACAGCATCGGAGCGCGGAGTCCTTAGCTCGATTCCTCGCGGGAGACCCAGATATATCCTTTGACTTACGCTCAAGAACTTTCATTAAAATGTCTTATGTGATAGGCCCAGGGGAACCCTATTTCAGGACTTGGTGTGAATGTTATCAAAATGTTATTATTTTCTTTCAATAAAATTGGGTTTCGATATTTTATTCCAGGACTGAGGTTCTCACCTCTTGGGTTGCTACATTTTAGTTTTTCTTGGTCGCAGGATAACAGGTTTAGACACCCTTGATCTATTTAATAATCGTTTACCGAGGCTGAAGTTTCTGAACTTGAATTCCTTTTGGCTCAGGCTTTGCAGCTTGGTAAGTTGTTACATGCAGTGTTACCACGGTTCTATCGGGGAATGTTCCATTTGGACAACAAAGGATCTGAAGAAGCCAAACAAAGATGGTTAGATGCAGTCAATAAAGCAACAACAGTGTCTAGATGTCATCTGCTACTTGGAATATTGGCTTCTCTTGTGATATGGGATATGTCAGCAGAGCATGCGGTATGAAACCCTTTTGAAAAAATTGATTGATTAGGCTATTGCTATGGTAACCTCGCATGTTAAAAATGAGCACAACTTGTTAAGAAATAATTGGGCATTTTTTTCAAACCAGTACTAAGGAAACAAACAAAAAAATGTAGAAGCAATAATCCGACAAAACGATCCCACGCGTGAGCTAAGCAATGTGCACGTGTTGTGTATCTATGTTAACCTCGCTATTGCCTGATCTCCCGTGAAGGACAATTTAGGCGAAAAGTTAATTTATTATTATACTTTTATTTTCTATCACGTGTAGCGATGCAAGATTTGTGGGCGCAAAGATATTGGTAAGACGCTGATACTGTGTGACCATTGTAACCAAGGTTACCATCTGCATTGTTTACGGCCAGCGCTATCTAAAGCGCCCGAGGGAGACTGGAGCTGCCCTGTTTGTAAGGTAACAGTCCGTAGCTAGCCGAGTTAGGGGTGGGTAACCTGTGAGCCTTGCTTAAATCAATGGGAGTAGTAACGCTGAATGAAACCTGAAAAGTTAGCATTTTACTTTGGATACGTCAAGCGAAATCCTTAAGGACAGGGGATCGTGTTTTTGCCATTTTAAAGGTTTGCAGGAGTTATGGAAAACCTGGAAGTCAAAGAATTTTGCAACATGACTTTTAAGGCTCAGAAAGTCATTGAAGTATGAAGAAGATCCTGGAAAGTCATTAAAAATGACTCATTGACTTTTCTTAGAACAGCGAATCAATAAATAGGTGGATTGAGAAATCGGTTTTTCGTTAGGATTATTTTGAAACCAACCGCTCGATCTAAATTTAAATAAAGTATCGGAGAAGCTCTTGGAAAGTCACAGAGAAAGTTCGGAAAAACTACAAACTATTTTTAACTGTCAAGGAAGAGGGTTTTAGTTTCCGCAAAATTTTCTTTGGGTTCCTTTTAGGTCGGAATTTTTCTCGACGGGTTTAATCGAGATTAAAGGTTTTTCGTACTTTTAAAAGTACAAAAAAACTGTACTTTAAAAATTTCGTAGATTGAGTACTAAGCGTTTACTTTTTTACCCAAATAATGTTTGCCTGGTATAGCTATCATAGGCCTTTGTTCGAGCGAAGGAAAGGGAAAACACTTGTGATGTTTTTCTTTGCACAGCCAAATGAGAGGGTCAGCAGTCGGACAGGAACCAAGAATTACAAACAAGAAAGTGGAAGTGAGATTGAAGATTCAAAAGATGAGGTAAGTGTTCACGACGGTTTAGACAACCGACGACTTCCGAATTTTACCAAATTAATCAATGAAATAAGTCAGGTTTTACATGTCGGTGGGTAATTGAATTATTCTCAAAGGTAACAAGCAATGCTTGTAGGGGTAAGCGGCAATGGGCTTGCATACATTGCAACGGGGAGTCGCAATATTGCCAATCACTTGATAATAGGAAAACTGGGCTTACCTTCGGCCGTAAGGACCCTCTTGTTTCTGTACATTTTACTCGATCTTATCCATTGATTCTCATTGATCAGGCAAGTGAGGCCAGTTTGAATAGTTGCGATGAAAATGAAGATTACTGCTACACATGTGGAGAAGATGGTGACTTGATCTGCTGTGATACGTGCCCGCTGGTTTTCCATAAAACATGTCATCAGCCACCTCTTAGGAACATACCACGGTAAAGTCCCGTTTGCATCACGCACACGCAGCACTCACATCACTTGGCTTGTGCCTAGCCTTGTACACTGAATAACGTTTTTCGACTTTTTAGGGGTGCGTGGAGTTGTTGGTTCTGTCGCCAGCCAAAGGATCAGAAGAGTGTGAAAGGTACTGCATCAAAGAACAAAAGAATCCACTGTTATTAAATATCATAGTTAGGACATGAGTTATAAGGAAATGAAACTTTATTTTTTTGGCTCAATGATGATTAAGTCTTTTAACTGTTAAAGCTTCTCAGTGGTTTCAATAACATTTGGTACAAATGGGTATTTTGAATAGCAGGCGGGTAGTTCTCAAGTCCTGTAGGGCCTTTTCTTTCTGCGGAGGCTTGGGTTCCCTTGAAGAATTTTGAAGGTTAAGGCTTTTTTTATTTTATTTTCCTTCATTTTGAGGTATATTCCAATTTAAGTTACCTTCCTGTTCCAAGATATCAGCCAATTTGAAGAGAATTACACGTATACTCGGAGTATAATGACGCTTATGCAAAGGCTACAAGCGGGTAGCCAGCGCATTACGAGCGCATTACTGGAGGGTTGATCTGCCCGCTACCTGGCTAATATTATAACCCCTGGTTTCTGCTCTGTGAAGAATTATTGCTTATAGATTACCACTGAGGTTTGTTGTAACAGTTACAAACATAATTTCATTCAAGTTATGTGTTGAGTAACTAATTGATTGATTGATTGATTTCGCTACAGTTCGTAAATCAGAGAAGTCCGTAAAAGCCAAAGGGAAGGCGAAAAAGCTTTTAAAGCGAATGGGAAGCTTTGTAAGAGAATCTGAGCAGAAGCAACCTCACATGCGAATCAAGACGGCGTCGAAGCGAATTTTTCAGAAGCATGCACGTGACGGAAGAAAAAGAGCGCGTGATGCACGTGCCAGAGCTGTTTCAAGAGCCCGTCCAAGTTTGGAGGACATTTCTGATGAAGAAAGCATCGATGGCCGAGGCAATCAGAAACCTAGAAGAGTGTCCAGAAGGCTTCAGAGAATGTACCAACAAGTTTCTGAAGATGAATTGGAAGAAAACAGCACAAGGGATACGAATGTAAAATCGTTTTATGGTAAGACCAACAGAAAAGTGCGCAAACGGGAAGTCTTCTGTGAGGAAGATGATGACTTGATAGAGGAAAGGGAAAGGAATGCCTGTAGGAAGACGCGTGCGCACAATAGGCCTCAGATTTCAGGTTAGTTTGTATGTTTGTTTTTCTCAAGTTCAACCTTGGTTAGATGCATTTCACTGTTTCGTGAGAACACTGAACTAGCGTGCTGATACGTCAGACCTGGTATTTTGTCGAAAACAAATCTCCTTCACTGATTCCTTGGCCCTCTTTCTGTAGGAATTATTTTTTATCTTGCTTGTTGTTTTACAGATGTTTCTGAAGATGAGGGAGACGATGACGAAGATTCCGGAAAGGAAAACCGCAAAATTAGTCCCTTTGCATCGTTTCAAAAGACTACATACAGATCCACGAGGAATCACCGAAAAGTTCCGAGCTCTTCCGAAGAATCTGATGAGAGTGGATACACTGAAGATACTGAGGAGCTTAACAATGGCCGTCCTTCAAGGAAAAAAGGCAAAAAGAACGCGAAGAATTTATCTGTAAACAAAGCCGGACGAAAGGCAGCAAGGAAAACTAGAAGAACCGAAGAATCATCCGAGAATTCCAAACGACGACGTGCCAATGTTGAGGTAATCATGAAAGAGTAATATTCAAATGAGTGTCAAATGTAATTTGGCATCGTAGTGGTTTTCATTTGCTTCGACTCACTTATAATTAGATGATCTCCACAGAAAGCTCGTACCACTCTCCCAAAAAATCAAATGAAAAGCTAAAAACACCAATCATGACTTAGTCACCTTTGTTCTTGCGGATCGGACATTTTGCTTGATTTTTTTACATTTAGTTCTAATTTGCTCTTCGAAGTATATATTTTTTCCGCTTGTTATTTTGGTTTTGCTCTTACAACACATAATCGCAAGCGGCTCCTATTTGTATTTTTGTTTTTATCTTATCTTCTATTTCTTTATTTTTCCCATATTCAGTCTTTGCCTTGAATTAGATGTGGCTGTCGTTTTTAGATTGCTATCGTTATGATGATTACTACTTTTTCTATACCTACTCATCTCGTGACTCACGTATATATCAGGGGAATTTCCAATTCGAAGGAGACACAACTCTAACTTAGAAAATAATGTAACTCTGTATTTGGTTTTCTGTTCAGATGGACACTTGTGAGCAAATTTTACGTGCACTTGTTCGTCACGAAGACAGCTGGCCGTTTACACAAGCGGTTAATGTTCGTGAGGTAGGCTATGACTGTTCCCCCACTGAATTCTTCAGTCTGATTTATTGAAACTATTAGACAGGAATGAAAACGAAAAAATTCTCTAGCGGCGTTCAAGTGATAGTCATTAAATTTGTAGACTATAACTGGGAAGGTAACTCCGTTGCTTTCCTAATTTTTTTTTTTTGGTTAGATCAGTTGTACAAAAATTATATCTACCAAGATTGCGATTGGGCTTTCTTTATTATCACTTTAGTACGAGTGTTTCTCCACCCGCGTGAAAGTATGAGGCCTTTTGCAACGCGAGCCCGCGAGATATCTACAAGGGATCTTGCACTTATAATTAGTGCCAGTCCCCCGGTAAACCTCTCCTCGACTTGTCTCAAATCTTCACGCGGGCAGAAAACGCACGTCCTGCAGTACCTATAATGAGAACGTGTTCGTGGGCTAATTTCTTTCTTTTTGATGTGTCAGTTTGAGAGAACATTGATCTTTATGTGTGATGGGACGAATCGCTGGCACAGGAGGTTAAAAGGGCTTAAAAAAATTCTTTCTTAAAGCATGTGTGACCAGATAAAAATATAGTCAACTAATCTAAGACGAAACCTTATATATCTAATGTTTCCAGGTCCCAGACTACCTGGATCTTGTTTCAACCCCCATGGACCTGGGTACCATCAAAGGAAAACTGAATAGTTTAGAGTACCCGGATGTGGACAGCTTTGAAGCTGATGTTCGGCTTGTATTTTCAAACAGTGACAAGTACAACCTGGTAAGTAACTAAGATCTCCATTGCATGTCTGCGTTCAACATTGCTGATCTTGAATCTTGAGCTTGTTTTCCCATACGAGAGTTTGCTAATACTGGCATCGAAATGAACCAAGTCCCAGTGCCAAGTCCCTCAGGGGGCAAGTTGCTCGCGCGTCCTTGATCTCCGCTGCCCCCTGAGGGACCTGTTGCTTGCATGGCCAATCACTGCATTCATTTAATTTAGAAGCCACTATTTGTTAAGTCGCGCATTGATCTGCACTGGTAACAACTCCCTATTGCCAGTCAAAAAATTTAATTTTTTCCAATTCTTTAATTTTTCAGAGCACTTCAGAGGTTGGACAAGCTGGCAAGAACCTGGAACAGTACTTTGACAAAATATTTGAAGAGAATTTCTCAAGCAAGGACAGGAAATCTAAAATCCATCGAAAACGATGATCAAGAGCTTTAGGCATATCACTAGCGACAAAATACTTGAAATCATGAAAGTTGAATCAGATCGTTACATTCATTTGGTAGCAATTAGAAAATAAAAGTCATTAATGGAAATAACATAAAGAGGAACCGTAGGCGAGAACTTAGCACGTTCAACACAGATGTGGCTACTTTGATTTTCGTGTTGAGTTTTTTTATTTTTGCGAAGATCAAAAAAAAAAATGTTGAAATTACAATACGTTTATCACCCGTTCCGTTTTTACCGTTTGTTCCTGTTGTGTTCCGATAGCCTAAGTTTGTATCTGGATAAATGGTTTGTTCCAACCGTTAGAAAACAAGGCCTGTTATTTTCTTTTTTAATTTTTATATATTAAAGCATTTTTTGATCCTGAATATTTTTTTTCTCATTACTACTCTGTTAAATATTACTTTTTAAATCCTCTTCAGTTCTTTTCACGAAAAGGATTGATCAATGTGTAATAAGACAATAAAGTTTATGTTTTGGGCCCGAGTCAGAATCATTTCGACCCGAACGCTATGCGAGGGCTAAAAACTGAAGCAAATTAACGCAAAACAGCCTGAACAATCGCACGGGCGCACGAGCAGGGTAAAATACATATAAACCTACAAAAAAAACCCTTTTAGCCCTCAAAATGCACCACGATGACCGACAGTGATGTTACCGTGCAGTATCAACACATCGTCACTAACTCAGATGTATAGATCAGCGCGGGTTTCAGTATTGATGCCGTTAACACTTCAATTGAAAAGAAATGGGAGAAGGAGAATCTACATTCAGCCTCAAAGTTAGGGTGTTTTGAACCATTGGCAACACTGAATCACTCGAACTCATCATAATTCCTAGCGTCCGTTGCAAAACATCGGCGGAGAGGTGAAACTGCTTATTGGGAGTTAACGTAAAAGCGATCAATGAATATTTGTATCATGGCGAGTGTCAACTAATCAAGATCCGAATGTCGCCATTACGTCGAAGATTTCAAATCAACTTACTTTTGGATTCTGGTTTTCTGGTATGTTTCACCTGTATAAGGATCCGATTGAAGATCTGATTTATCTGGGAGTGAAGTTCAAACAGCATTCTTAAACCAAGATAACTCTTCCGTTCATTTACAGGTGTAATAAACCACGCAGGGTGTTAGGAGAACATAAGAAAAAGTTATTAATCACGAGCTAGAGACCGCGTGGGTTATTACCTCTATTACCCCGCAAGAAGTGCGGTCAATTACAATAATAAACTTATGATGTTTCAATTTCCTATGGGTTTACTGGCTCACTAAACAATAGGTTTTCAACCAAACGGGGCTTTCGTAGCATCAGTTATTTTACAGAGTAGATTACTAAAACGTTCTTAACAACCAGTGCCAAAAGCTCAAACACTCCTTCCAGTTTTCGCTGATTACTTTCCATTCTACCAAGCAAATTATTGTAAACCTCGGAACACAATGTTGATACAAATGCTTTTAAAGATTTAAATAACAGTTGAGTAACACCCTTCTTCATTTTTTGAAATTATTATTTATTTTTTTTAAACAAAATATAAGTAATGTTGTACTCGCGAAATAACTCCGAGGAAGGAAAGCCGCTCAGAAACTCTACTCTGCAGATCCAGCATTGTTCAAATGACTAAACCTTAACAGTGCCTTTATACATTTCTACTTCCAGTTTTTACGCCTTTCTAAAAACATAGAATTTAAGCTTCGGATGACTTACACCCCAGCCGAAAAAGGTTCCTAACCGACTCCTCCCTTGAGCTATCCTGTAGCCAAAGGGAAGTCAATTTACACTACAACCTAGAGGAACATTGGCCTTGAAACGAGGCAACTCAGTTTGAACTCGGTTTGTTGTTTGGTAGCATAAGAGTTGCCACAGCAACCATACAGCGCTACCGTTCAGTTCACAATAACAAAGACACACAGGGAATCTCCAAGAAAACCTTGAAACCAGGGCGATCGCCTCACCGATGTTGCTACTTAAGCAATAACTAAAATAATTATCAAAAGGATGCGAAACAAAAGAACTATTTCAAGATGAAAGAGCTTTAGCAGTATTCCTCTGAAGATCAAATTGTTCAAATATTGACCTAATTATTAAAATATATTACTTATTAGTTGTGACTACATTAGTAATGAAATTAATTTCCTTTCATTATAAATCGACTAGGATCCTAAATGAATTATAAACTACTTCTATCCCACATTACATAGTGCGCTCTCTATGGGCGAGATTTCTCACAAGATAAGTTTTCGCTCCACAAACAGAATCAAACACGCGATAAAAAATACTGCAATTAACAATTGTGAAAGAAATCTAAATAACGAAGAATATCTATTTTTACAACTGAGATTTATATCCGTTCTGAGATAACTCACACTAATAAATTTGGCTGATAGTGTGAAAAAAGAGGTTAAAAGTTAATTTTCCATGAAGTTTACAGCCTTGATCAACCAGACGAATATCAGTTTGGCGCAGAAATAAAGGCCAAGTGAAATCATCATCAATTATACTCTTAAACTCTTAGGAAACACTGCTGGTAGCACAATCTCTACGGTGATCAGCGTCATTTTTTTCAAAATACATGACGTTGTGTTCTTTTTTTGGTAAAACCCAATGTTTTCTACCGATTTTTACGCGCAGGAAAACCGTTGAACTCGCTTTTTCAGTTTTCAAAGCTTAGTGAAAACGCTCTCATAATTCTTCAAAATATTTTTTACCGCTGACCCCTCTCTTCTCCGTCCTGCTAATTACATTTAAACCTCCACCGAACACAAATGGTTTGGTGGCCAGTGTATCATCATAAAAGTTTCCAATCTGCCATATATCTGCCTATCGTTTTTTCCAGTTGTTCGCTACTGAGCGCATCTTAACCGAGGCAGCCTCGGTTTCTTTTACGGCCTGCCGCACAGCTCCCATCAAGTTCTCTGCACAACCGACTAAAGTTTCCGTGGCCTCCCAATCCGCCTTGGGATCTAAAAAGGAAAGGTAAGAACACTATATTAACTCAAGGGGTCTCCACTTTTGTGATAAGTTTGATTACAATTCATTTTTCGCGTGCAGGCGCTGCACGTAATCGCAAGCAAAATCACCAAAGTGCGGGGACGATTCACTGAAACAAAACAGTGTGGATTCGAGCACTGGCCTGCTGAGTATTTGGGTAAGACACAAAAGAAACTATTCTGCCTAACTCCATGAATTATTTGTGAGAGGGATTGATTACTTCCACGAAAACTTCAAGCCATTCTTGTCTTGATCGATTGAAATACAAAGTGTAAGCACAATCAAACCGAGTTGAAAAAAGAAAAGCATCCCTCTTATGCACACTGGTGCAATATAAAACGTACGCAATTTTTAGAATGAAAAACAAAGCTTACCGTCAGCTCCGATCATTGTAGCTTTCACAGTGGCGACAATCTTAAGCTGAGTACTGATGGTAGGAATTCTCTCTATCGTTTGCTTCAATGTCTGAAAACAAGTAGATATGTAAAACAGCTCAAACTGGAGAAAATGATTACGCAAAAATGATTCTATGTCTTCACCTGGGATAAAATCAGTCTCTTTAAGTTTACCATTGACTAACTACCATTCCATCTTCATCTCCTTTTCTTCGTTGAGGCAACAAATGAAATCAAATTTATTTCTTCACTTAGATTAGTTAACTACAGAGTATAGAGTTACGAAATACAAATAAAGTTAATTGAAAAAAATAAAAATAGGATCAATCTAAAAACACCTATGATAGGAGTGATTCAGAACCATCCAAACAGTCGAGTTAATGATCCTAACAGTAGATTCTAATTGTAGAAAATTACAAACAGGATTACAAATCATTGAATTTCTTTCCATTAACAAAAACCAAAAACGTATTTATCCAGTTGTTAAGCTATAACTGTCTGCAAAAGCTCGGGTTGTTTGGGGCTTTGCGAAATACTAAAACAATTTTACTCAAGCAAAGAAATGTTCCTTGCGAGTGGAATGTAATTTAACAATTGCAGAAATTTTGAATTTTCTGGAAAATTTCATTTTTCAGGCTTATTTCTGCAACTGCTTCAACTGCAGTAAACTTACAAGGGTCATTTCTTTATTTGATTTTCACCAGCAGATCAAATGGAATTTTTATCTCATTACAAGTTGTTATAATTAGACTCAGCGATACTCATAAATTCTACACACCTGAGCTACTCTTTTGTCCGGACAATCTTTAGCAATCCGAGCGGAATAATTAGACACCTCTTTGCTTGCTGCTGCTATTTCTTTAGCCAACGCGATCAACTCTTTTTTTGAGCGTTGAGGTTGTCCATCTTCTTCCTCTCTACAGGTGAAGAAAAATAAAAAATGCCATAGAAAAGATACCTAACATCCTATCTCTCATGAGCCAGGGATAGAGAAAACGTTTCAACGATCTCCACTAACAGTCCCTTTTTTTCCTTCGCACTCCCCCCCCCCCCCCCCAATGAACGGCAACCTTTGGCACATGGCCTGAATGTGGCCATTCATTAAGGGGGGGAGGGGGGAAAGAGAGAAAATAAGAAGACTCATTCAAACCTCAAAGCGCGGTTGGATGCTCTAACGAGAGAGCGTCTGAGAAACCGCTGTATAGCTAAATACGTCATGTATTTTCGGCTTATATGAAGCCTCAGTGCACTCCAATTCCATGTACAAATTTCTCATTTTTCTTCGTCCCAGGGGGATATTTTGGATACGTGTATCACGCTTTCATGCCAGTAAATACATCAGCTGTCAGGCGATCTGCGTCAATATTAAGGCCAGATCTATTAATTCTGTCGCGAGATGCTACATCAATTAATGTGCCGCTAACAAGTTTAGTGCTAAACCTCAAGCGTTCTCTCGTAATAACAAACGTTACCTCATAAATTGGGACATCTTAGCAAAGAGTACAGCCATTCTTTTAGCAGCTTGAATAAGTTCATTTCCCTCTTCTTCCCATTTCAGAGCTTCTCGATGAAGATGATGAGCCGCCATCTGTAAAAAAAATAAACAACTGTAACATTTCGGAAGAAATTGTGATAAAAAATTACTGCTGAGAAGTATTTTGAAGCTCAGTAATCCGCGATCACCAAAAGTATTAGTAAAAATATCTCTGTCCAAATTTCTGAAGTTTGCGGACATGTCGTGGTGTTTATTGTGCTCAGTCCTAACAGAATCAAATATAAAAGTGTTCACGGTCTCCTGAGCTTTACAGGGAAACGACTAAACAACAACTTCAACAACAACAAAAACATTAAAACGACACCAAAACTAACACCACCTTAAATTTGACAAATATTCGCAAGACAGGGGAGGAGATGGGAAGTTAAGTTAAGTTTATAATTCAAATTATCGGCACATTACTTTTAGTAATCATACCGCCATTCTGTTGTCTTCTGGTGGTTGTTCCAACACACTCTGAACCTCTTTCATTTCATCAGACGGGGGGGGTGGGCGTGGTGGCGGTTGCGCTGTTTCTTGAGGAAGGGGTGGGCGTGGAGGAGGAACTTCTTGCACTGGTGCTTGGGTTACGGCTAAAAATATAACGAGAACGTGAAAGAGCTTATCCATTCAGAGAGTTTGACTGGTCTTTCATGACTAGCACAACTAATATCACTTTCCTTGCTTAGTGCGATTAAAAAGAACCCAACGAAAAAAATGCCTGTGTTTTTCCTCTTAACTTTAGTTCGTGTGTGTGCGTGGTTTTCTTGTATTTGTCTGTTTGTTTCCATTTTGCCATGACAACGGTACTGCAAGAAAGTGTAAACTCTCACCGATGGTCAATCCTGATATGTCCGGTGGAGGTGGCGGGAAGTCTTCCTCCTCCTCCTCTGGCTGGGAGGATCCGGTTACGATCACTCGCACTCCATGTACAGCATCTTGAAGCTAGTTAAAAACAACGTTACACTTACAGTTGTTTCATTTTGGTGTCCCAAGCATTCTCAATCATCTACGATATATTTTATATCCTAAGGCCGACGAGAGCTCAGAGACAAGTAAACTGCTTGAAGAGCGGGAAAATGCCGCGAGTGATCTAACATCGATTGGTCTTAGTTTCAGTTGGCACCTTGTTGATTTAGAATCTACACGATCAATTCTGTCTAAATCACAGCACTGAGAGACCAAAAACAACGTTAACCCAGATTGAGCCTCTTCCTTGTGTTCAGCGGTCCAATAAACGACGCAAGGAAAAACGAACACAGAAATCAAACGTCGGGCATGTCCGGGGGATCAATTCTGGCTGGCAGAGCGCAAATGTCCCAATTTTCAAGCAAAACATAAAATACAACTTCTGTGTCGCAAAATAAACGACAGAAAAATTGAAGAAGACAGACAGACACAATTAACGCCTCAAACTAAATTTTTCCCCCAACATATCGAAACGCAGTAATACGAAAAGACCACTGTTTCAGGGATATCACAATTTTTGACGAAGAATTTATTTACCTTTCTTGTGGAATCTCTCAACTTTCCCTGCGCTTTCCTGTCTGATGGATTAGTAGCAACAGCTTTTGCGTCAATCACAAGTGGCGTGATACCTGTTAAAAACAAGTTATATCACTGAGTTGTTCTGAAAGAAAAGTCACCCTAAACCGCTATCTCTAACACGTCACCACAAATACATCTAGAAGAATTTCATTTTAAATCCGAATTAATTTTCCCCATCCTGAACAATCCTCGTTTTGTTGCATTTTTTGATCGTTTCTAACCTCTGTGGCGTTTCTCTTTCAAAACAAACCGGTATCTTGTGTTTCACACTTCTTTAATATCAGTTTTCATAACCCTCAGACCCCTAAGAGTGACCAGCATCTAATTTCTCCTCACCATATCACCCCTGAATCACACCTTAAGGTCACGACAAAAAAGGAATGATCATCAATCCATGGAAAAGTGTATGGAGAATATGGATTCTGATGTTAGAATGTAAACAGTTAAACAGCAAGGTGAGTGCATGGAACACTTCGGTCTCACATTGTCCCAAATTATCCTTTGCTGCGGCCATCTTTGCAGCATAATCAGGGTCTAATGAATTTTCCATCTCTGCCTCTGCAACATCCACAACCCGCTTGGCTCGCCGGGCGATGTTGGAGCTCTTCGAGATCACCAGCTATTGACAAACGAACACGAAATGTCTGAGTCAATAAGTCCGTTGACTTAGCCGCGCGCTAAGCCGCACGGGGGAATAAATACTCGGGGAGAATAAATACTCCCTCAACAAATTGTCGCTCGCATGTGATTGGTCTAAACGCATCGAATGACCTGTTATATACCTTAATTAGGGTAGTATTTATCAACTATTTACCGACACTGAGGTGAATAATTGTTGTAGTACATACCACATCATACCCCAAATTATTTTTTCTGTCAATATAAAGGAAAATGGTCGGAAATTTTAAACACTCTTGACGCATCCTCTTTTTTTTTTTGCAAATCACTTCCGAGCTAGCCAATTAGCGCGCGAAAAACACCATTCACCTGTGTGGTGTATACCCATCGGTGATACTCCCAAGGTGATATTCCTCAATTTAAAAACGTGAGGGGTACTAACATGAAAGGCCACGAACATTTAGTAGTTGATATAATATAAGAGATAATTTGTTTTTTGATGGAGCCGTACTAGAAAAAATATAAAAACATTAAAACGTCATGCAACAGGCGCCTTCGAAGGTAAAGTGTAGCAAATGTTTGGTCCCACGCTGTTAGAAAAAATATTTGGATAATAAACAAGACAGTCTCCAATTGGGGCAAAAATACGCTCGTACTTTTTTCCTGGCGCCTTATCCGTTTCTAAAAGCTCTCGTAAAACTAATATAAAACTGCACACGAGCATAACATTTTCGTACCTGAGGATTTCCCTGTTCCATTGCCGCACTGCACATCTCAGCATCTCGATTGATCGCCTCCTCTGAAAATGATCCATAGGTATATTTCTCTCAGACATTGTTAAAATACATTGAGGGCCCAAAATAATAAGCAATGCTAAGAAGACATTAACCATTTCAAACTAGTTCATGGTTTTTCTATTATTTCTGTTGCTGCAATTGTGCTGTTCAATTAATGTTATGACAATTGAGGGGCACTCAATTTGCCAAAGGTTTTGAAAAGTTTTTATCCTTTAAGACCAGCCAAACACTTTCGAAAAACATACCACAGGCTTCAATAAATTTGGAGGTGTCTGTTGCACTGTCAACCAGATTAGTTAAGGTCTGCATCTTCTCTTTCCAGATGTCCCGCACATTTTCAAAATGGACTGAGACGGCAGGCACATCTCCAGGTGAATATTTCCCATAATCCAATAGGATCTTAGCCACGTGGGAAACTTGAGGGGTCCATTCTTTTAGCTGAAAAAAAAAAAGAACTAAGTTGCTTGTTGAAGACACAGCAAAATCTAGCTGCATTAAACAACATATGTTAAAAAAAGTTTTTCCAATCTCGAGGAATCAGGTGCAGGGATTATGCAGAAACAAGATTTCTTGCCTCACACTTTAATGTGATATTTTTACACCTCCCAACTCAAATATCCTTGGCTTCACCTTAGATAACATTGAGGGTCTCAGGGAAACAAAATTCATTATTGTACAAAGAGCTTGTCATTAAAAGATTATCTTTCCATAACCCTTTGACCCTAAGAGTCACTAGCATCTACTTCTCGTTACAGTATCAGCCCTGAATTCAACATTAAGGTTACAAGAATATGGGAAATGATCACCGACCAAAGAAGCTCTTAATTGTTACACAAATAATACATGTATATCAAAACCTACAGCTGAAATTCCCATTCAATGAGGACTGAGTGAAGTACAAACACTTTGTAAGTTTGTCGATCATCATTAATTCCTATGATTTGATTTAACATATTTCCATTCATTCTGAGAATTTCAAACTCACTTCTTCTGCATTTTGCCTTATCTGATCCAATAATCTCCTGTTGGTATTTCCTCCAGCATTTGCCAGTTGAATTGCTGTGTTGGCAATCTGATTTGCTTGATGTTCAAAGGCACCTGCCTTGTTCTCAAACTCAGCTTCACGCCCTGGTTCATCTGAAACCACCAATGAATAAAAAGAATTTGCAATTGTACATTTTGACAAAATCAATTTAACTCTCTTTTATACATAGCAATTGTCATCAAAACCAATCAAATGACTTTTGTTAGCTAGATAATGGGTCGTGTATGCATGCACACTGATGGAATTTGGTCAAAATATTGACATGAAATTGAGGCATTATAACAGAGTGAACTCTCTAACCCCTAGAAGTGATGAATCAAATTCCCCCTTGCACTTTCACCCATAAATCAAATACTAGGGTCTCAAAAATGAAGGAAATGATCCCTAACTGAAGAAACTCTTGATTATTAAACTAATTCTCCTTGTCAGCACCTCAGGAAAGGTATAGAGAACAGTATGGAGAATATACAAATTGATGTTAGGACCTAAAGGGTTAAAAGAGGAAATCACACAAGTATATTCAAATATTTACCCGGTGGAGCTCTTGCCGCTTTCTCTAACTGCTTCAAATTTGTTGTAGTGTCCATGAAGTCCTCAGCAACTTGTGCTGTGATTGCATTTTGTAATTTATCGTTCAATTCCTCCAGCTTCCTTTCAATCTTTTGAGCAGTAGCAGCTGCTTGAGGTGAATTTCCCTGTCAGAAACAGTAAATTATAAAATTCTAATTTGGCCAAGAGATAGAAAGGTGAAATAATACAAGTTATAAGTTAGGTCCAGTCTCAACAACAATACAGTCAAATATGAATTAAGCAGCACCCTATTAAGTGGCCATCCCTTATAAAGAGGTCCATTTTCAAAGTCCAGAAATTTTTTACCCCTTAATTACAGTGACTGTTATTTTCATCTATATTAAGCAGTTGCAGTCACCCTTTACTTAGTCCCAATGACCTTATATCATCCTCCATCTGTATTGAACAATCAATTAAATTGGATCCACTCAAATAATATGAAGAATAATCTTTCAAGTAAGATTTTAATCAATTTTTATCACCCAAAATCAATGTTAATGGTATTTTTGACCAAGTCTTTGTACATTAAGTAGTCAATTATGACATAAAATGACAATTTTCATTGTTTCTTAAAATAATCCTATTCTGTAGAAACTGCATTAAACAGTCAACCTGTATAAAGTGGTCACCTTGCCATTCCTCATGGGTGAACACTTAATACTGGTTTGACTGTTTTTTCTGAAATAATGCAAATTAATGTTCCCTTGTATGGAAAAATATACTCCCTCATCTGAGTGTTTAAATTGGTTAGACAATAGAGTGATGCAATCCTTCTGTTTGTCATTAACCAAAGCTGTCCTATAGACAGTAATGGCAAAAAAGGTTGCTTTGTCTAATTTATGTTACTTTAAAAAAAAAGAAAGGATACAAAATTTACCATACAAAATGCTAGGCCAATATTGGCAATTCATCTGTGGGCTTCCTGTTCGTGTTCATGTTCTCTGCAGATATCACACCTGCATGCAATCAATGCAAACAAATAGACCCTACAATCAAACAACCTACCATGCCCCTTCTCTTCAGATTAGCAAGCTCATCTGTAAGTTGATCTAGTTCATCACAAAGCTTTAGAATTGCACTTCTCTCTGGACCAGAACATTTGTCTGCTGTAGCACGACCCTGGTCAATGCACTCACGAATGGCTCGTTCACCTACCAAATTGTTAATGACATCACATCACATGTTCTTTTAATTTAAAGTTATACAGTCTTCAAACACAAATTGTTTGCAAAAGGAATGCTTGAATGCTATGTACTCCATGATAGGGTTCAATAAAGATATCTGGTAAACCAGGTTCTTATGAGTATTCTAAGTTCCTTGTCCAGAAAAAAAGGCACAAGTCACCCACCTAACCCTGCAGGATCTGATGACGGGGTGTTCACCCACTGGTGAACCTGATCCATTTTGCCAACAAAAGTGTTTGCTGGCCTGCGCACACCAGACGATTCTTGGCCTAACATGGCATTCTGCATTTCTTGATTTAAATCCTCTAATTGCTGGGCAACTTCTCTGTTAAGTTTCAAGCCTTCTGGGGCTGTTCCCTTTTAAATGCATTTAAGAGAAAGTAAATTTAAGTAATCATTACCATGTGTTCCTGAGGGATGAGGTAGTTAGCATACTGAACTTTGTTGTACTTTGGATCCCTAACCTAATGAGGTAATTGAACTGTTTTTTTGGGCACGATAATTTACTCTCGGTATTAGGGGATAGTGGCAAACTGTCAGGGAAAGCTCACCAAAATGTGTGGGAGGTAACCTGTTATGGACTGGCTTCCCAATCAAGGGGAGGGAGAGAGTCAGCTATGAAATTGCTGATGACTACACTTAATCCATTTATTTTATCTTATTTACCACTATTCATTTTATTGTTTCTTACTGATTAGTCATCACGAATGCTGCAACTGTCTTACAATCACCAATATATTAAATATAAACATTAATGTATTTACTTTTCCTAGCCTTCTCATCTCTGCCAAATCTCCCATTAACCGATCCAGATCATCACAGACTTTCCTTATTCTGCCTTTATCAGGACCCTGACTGGCATCTGCAAATTTACGACCTTGAGTGATGCATTCTTTGACAGCCTTCTCACCTGCACAAGAACAGAGTTAAGAAGAAGGATAATCAATGATCACAAACTTTTACAAAATATTAATTATGTTCTGATACCAAAACAACTCCCCCACTGAAATACAAACTAGATACAGTCCAGTGCCACATTACAATTCCCATCAGAAACTCACCTAACCCTCCAGCTGACTCAGTGGGCGTGTTCACCCACTTCAGGGCCGGGCCCATGTTACTGTCGAAGAGAGACATGGCCTTCTTCATGTCATTAAGGGGGTCATCGCCACCTTCCTCTTCATATGTTGTGTATTGCAGCACTCTTATTATCTCACTGATCTCAAAAGACATCTTGCCAACAACATAATTTCTGTATTCCTGGGCTTCAGGAATGTTCTGACCACCTACAAAGGAAGAATTATTAATAAATGTAATTATTTTTCCAAGAGTGGCTATGGTACCTTTACAGAGAAGTTACTGCTAGATCTTTTTTTTTGTTTTTTCTTGAAAATATTTCTGTAATTAATCAACAAATAAATTAACATATTATTTTGAATGTATGGGAGCTGTATAACAATCTTTACCTCTTTGCACAGTCAGCACAAAAGTCTTAATTGCAGTGATCAATTGGGTAGACATGGCTTTGACAGTATTCAGTGACTTCCTTAACATGTCAGCATGAACTTGGTGAGTCAGCTCCTCAATGCGACCTTCAACCTTTTTTGCCATTTCTGTGATTCCAGGTGTCAGGTTTTTAACAAATGTTACTAGTTCTTCCATACTCTCCACAACCTCAGACACAGCAAGATATTCCAATACTCCCTTGCACACCTTCAGAATCTTACGCACTTCAGCTTCATCAAATGTCAGAAGTAATGCAGATGTGCCTGAAAGAATTCCTGACATAACAAAAAATAAGGGAAAAATTAAAAGTTTCAATGAAAGTCAATCAGGAGTAATTTTAAATATTTCTATCCTAAGTGCATCAGCTCCTGGATGTGGTGATGAAATCTACTTTTAATTTTTTCTGTGTCAGTAACATTTTTTGTGCATTAACTTTTAGGAGAGGATTTTTCAGGGCTGATTGTTCCTGGTGCAATTGATATTGGAGAACTATCCTGCAAGTGTAAGACCCTGAGAAGAACACTAAATCGCCAACAGGCTTAGTTACAACAACTCATTTTAAAACTCAACAACAAAGATTTGGATTTTTTTATTGCAAAACATGAACCTAAGTTAAACTTGAGGCGTAATCAATTGACTATGATTGTGATTAGATTTCCAGAGAAAATGTGGTGCGAATTGTTTTTACAAACCATCTCTGTGTGGTTAAGCATTAAATAAAAAGTTAATTAAAAATTTTTATAAATTTAAGTCATTCACTGTTATAGTACTTGATCAAATTAAACTGTCTATTTGTTACATTTAGTGTCAGAATGGTAAAATGAATGCTTCCCATGATCAGTATAATTAAATATTTGGCTAAAAGCTAAAATTTTATCATAAGTACCTCTGGCACCATCAATTAACTTTTTACGAGCCTCTGGTGAGAAAGGATCTCTTCTAAGAATCTGAGAGGCTTCCACAAGAAAAATAGAGGATTCCTCAACTCTTTTAAAAGCAAGAGGCATTTCTTGTTTGAGGATTTGATCTTTACTGGAAGATGCAGTTTCTCTGCCAACCTAATGAGCGTATATTAAGTCAAGATAGATCAAAATAAGATAAGTACTTTACCCCTTTAATTCTTAATTCCATACTAGCTTCTGTACATTTCTTATAATTTGAGTTCTGAAAATTTGGTGTATAATCAAAAAGTATCCCTTAGTTGAATATATTTTCAGACCTACTAAAAAGACAAAAAATTTATCTTTCATCATTTCTTGGAGTCAAAGAGTAAAAGCGTTGACAGTGGTCTAGGAAAGTTAACCCTTTCACTCCCAAGATCTCATTAGTAATTTTCCTTACTTCTGAGAATTTAGTGTTGGATTAGCTAAAAATCCCTTAATGGATACTTTTCTTTATTCTCATCACTTTTCTGCTGGATATTGTCTTGATATTGTAAAGAGAAATCATCTTCGTCATTCATGGGAGTTAAAGGGTTAAAGGTGCTTCCCTCTCTACCAATCAAATGTAAATGATATTATTAGTACTATCTTTTTAACAAAAAAAGGTACAAATAAAAAGAAAAAGGTACTAACCTTGACAAGATTTTCAACAGCAGCTCCCACTGTTCTAACTGGCAAAGCCAGGTCAGGCATTGCTTTGCCATCTTCAGCTTCTTCATGAAGAATGATCAGAGTGGAGACCTAATGAATTCATTCAGTACATGAATACACTTCTTTTTCAAATCTACATTTCACAACAGAACTTGCTTATGATACATCACTTAACTTTAGGAAAAGTACTCTTGCGCAGCATTGTTTATTTTACCATTTTAATACTGAACATTGTTACAAATTTACTCATATTAATCACACCACTGACACTGCTTGCACATTACTTGAAATATCTGGGTTTTTAATGAAAGCCTGTTACTTGCAGTCTAGTACCATCTGAAAGACCTCTGACCACAGCCTGTTCAACCTGCAAGCAGGCTGTTGTTTTTGGGGTTTTGTCTTACAGCACAGCCGTCTACTACACCATCTGCTGCTACTTATAGAAAAAGTTATTGAAACCCTTGATTTCAGTATCAGACTACATGCAAAAACAGCAACATCATAAGTGGTTTGATATGAAATTTAAAACAAATTTACCAGGAGAATTTTATAAAAACAGAAATTAACAAATATGATAAAGGAAAGAATGATGATGGTTTTTACTTACACATCTACAGATTAAGAAAATCGGTACATAAATATAACCATTACCATGGCTGTGGTCAGGCAGTGCCCGGTGCTTATGGGCGACTTAGAATTTTAAGCATATGCTGGGCACCCTGGATTTCACAGTTTCAGAGCTCTGGGCTCCCTTTAATTTGTCTTAGAGCACAACCTTGATTACAAATATATTTAGGGAAATAGAGTCAGAGGGAAAATTCATTGCATGAGCAAAAGATGTTATCTTAAGAAAACACACTGTTCTAAAGCTGATGCTTTCTTTTGATATGGTTTCGGGGAGCTGACCTTCACCTTGTCATACTAAAATTTATCTGCAATTCTTGTCTGGAACTTGTAAACAAAACCATTAAGCATAATTTTATCAGTCAAATTTTGCAGTAAAACCAATAGTTAAAAGACTCCCACAAAAACGATCCGCACACTTCAAGTGATTGATTGAGAGTACGCAGGTTTTACGACATTTTTGAAGAGTAACTGAATCAAGCGCATAGCTTAATAAGTCTTAAAGTTCAATTAGCTAATTAAATAGCGGTCAAATATGGCAAACTGAAATTCAGGGAGAATATAGTGAACATCACGTTAACAAAAGTATGATTTAGTAATTATTTCTGATAAAATTCGGTGATCTTTGACAATTCTAAGCCGGATCTAATTTGAATACATTGACGCTTCACTGGGAAAAACCCGATCGAAACTCGATGGTTCCATTTATATTACAAAATTGTTTACTTTGAGTGACAAAAGACTCTAGATGACGAAAAATATAAACTGTACACTAAATCTACGAAAAGACTGTTTCTAAGATTTATCAAAATCGCATTTCCTTCTAACCCCAGCTCAATAAAAGAGACAAGATAAACTACGCTTCTCACGATCTGTTACTGTACAGTCACACGGCAAGACATACACTTTAATCTGCGCAGTCTCTCGAATCGAGAAGCTGTGTATACAATATTTCTGCACGAAAATTGAACACAAGATCCCCCATATCAAATCATTTGATGAAACGTTCTGCGTTATAACTTTAAAGATGACAAAAGATTTCGTTTCACATGGCATACAACAAACAGCTTTGTTAACCCAAGGGCAAAATACAAACACGCGCAAAAATATCTGTCTACAACAGTGCACAAGTTATTTACCCTACCTGTTGAGCGACAGGCTCCAATATTGACTCGATGGTTTTAGTGTGGAACACGGGCATTTTTAGCGCTAAAGGGCTGATTTCGACTTCGATGCCTACTGAAACAAAATAAAAGGGAAATTCTTGTGCATTCGGGAAGTATACACACCTTTCCGCACCCAGCCCCGTAGAAAAATGTCCAAGTTGCGCAAAATGACGCCCGTGTTATTCCCAGGGGTCCGTACAGCGGAGATTACCTTCACTCGCCCCAGACTTTAAGAAAATAACGCGCAGAGACAAAAGAACAAACATGGCGGACGAGGACGTTGAGATGGACAATTTTTCGGAAGACAGAGCTGAATCGGCGAGTGATTTCGCTGGAGATGATGAAAATGAAAAGGTAGCTGGGCCATTTTAGCATCCTTCCAAGAAAATGTGTCTCTCGGGAGAGTTACTCTTCAAATGATGACATGTGATTTGATCTTATTTAGTTTTGCTGAATATCAATTGTACTTTGACAGATCGAGTAACGGACCAGTAGAGTGGATACATGTAATCAACATTCTAAGAAAAGAAAGGATTTTTAATTAGTAAAGTGGCGTTTAATTTTCTCGATAGTTCATTGTATGGAACAGTTTTACCACTTTATGGTGCGTTGAAAATATGCAAGCAGTGCAGTGGTATCATTCACGTACTATAGCTATGGAAATAAATATATACTGAAAAATAGATTTGCCAAACGGTTAATGGTGTCAGCTGTAATATAAATTTCATCAGTGTTAAGAACCTTGGTAAATTATGTTGTTTTCGGAGAAAACTTCAAATGTACCAATGTTCTGTATCCATCAAAATAGATATAGATGGCTACACTGTCTACCTTACTTTTGCTGTGCATACATTGTAAACCTTTCCAATCAGCTGCAATTATCTCAAAATGATAGCCCATGGTGATATCAACCAATGCTATGATGTGGAATGTTCTTTTTGACATATTTGATAGATGGATGCATACGACACTCTGGAGAGTGAGCCAGAGATACGAGTGGACAGGAGCCTCACTGACAGTGATCTTATGATAGCTTTAGCTCAAGTGTCTGAGAACAAACACATGATGCCTGGAAATGGACATATTAAACGTGATCTTAACGCGAGTTTGAGCAGCAGCATTAGCAGCCTTGGTAGTAGTCTTAACAGCAGTGGATTACTCCTCAGTAAAGGCAAGGAAAGCACAGGTTCAGTGCCTAGGAAATCTGCCAGAGGAAAGCGTAAATTGGACAGTAGTCAACAATTATCTTCATCTAAAAAAACAAAGAGGTGACCATTTTGTTATCATATTAATTCTACCTGTTATAGGCAATTTGTTTGTAAACAGTAATGTTATATTACTGGCAGCTTTGACAAAGTGCAAAGGAAAGATAAGTGAGGGAAAAGAAAAAAATACCAATACAGCAGTATTAGGCCACCATGTACTGGCTAATACAAATTTGATAGCATTGAAAAATAATGATACTTTTAAGAACCAAGAGAAGAACCATTCATTCTCTTTGTTCTTGTGAGTGAAGCTCAAAGCTTCACTTGTAACAGAAACTACACATATACTCATACTTTAATAATGTATTATTAAACTTTTAATTTATTTGTTTCTTCTTTGTTTCTCTAGCGATATACCTCCTTCCCAGAAACTGCCACCCCATGGCTACCCATTAGAGCATCCTTTTAATAAGGTTAGTATTGGTTTGCACCAATTTAGAAAACCCCTAAGTGAGATACTTAACTGCCCAAGGACTGAAATATTGTACTGCCCAAAAGAACTGACACAACAATGGGAACAATCACAAAGTAAAGAACTAAAAGCCCATCTCATCCCTTGTTTACTCTCTGGAATTTTTCTTTAAGGGTGTAAGGAATTTAACTCTAGCAGTGTTATTTGAAAGTTCAGATTTTTTATCTGTGGAAACTTTTCTTAGAGTATGAAAAATCAACAGAATTAAAAAATTGAAATATATAAAATGAAATACTTTTTTTTTTATAGGATGGATACAGATATATTTTGGCAGAACAAGATCCAAATGCCCCTCTAGCAAATATGGACATGGAATTCTGGGCTGGGAAACCCATTCCTGGAGATCTTTACAGAATTAAATTACACAAGGAAGTTCTTCTATCTATGAATGATAGAGGTTTGTAGATTGTAACATGAAAAGTTTTTAAGTTTAACCCTTTCGGTCCAAAGAAAGACTAGCATCTATACATCATCACTACTGAATCAAACAATAAGGTCATGAAAATGACCACCACCAACCTAAGAAGCTCTTGATTATTAACCCTTTAACTCCCAGATCAAATTTGTAATTCTCCTTACTGTCAGCTATACAATTCTCATAATGTTAGTTCAGAGAATTTAGTATTGGATCAACTAATTATTCCCAAATTGATATTTTTATTCATTCTCATCACTAATCTGGTTGATATTGAGATATTGTAAGGAGAAATTCTGTCTTGGTCACTCATGGGAGTTAAAGGGTTAAACAAATTCTCCTTCTCAATACTAAAGGAAAGTCACGTTGTCTCTTTTTCAATACCATCTAAATGTGTAGAGAACAGTATGGAGAATATGCATATTGACCTTTGGTGTAAAGGGTTCAGAGTGGATCAGTTGATTTAAAATTTTGTAAATTGTAAGGGAAATGCACCTTCTCATGCTTATGACAAAGCAAATAATTTCTTTTAAACTTTTTTGTTGTTTTAGCTCCTCAACTCAAGTTATCTGATGATAGACTATCAGTGACAGGAGAAAAAGGCTACTGCATGTTACGTGCCACTCATGGTAAGCCGCTGTAATGTAAAGCAAAAAGTGCTCCCTTTTACATGTTATATAAAAGAGCTTTAGACATTCAGAAACCTAAAGGACTTTGTATACACTTGTGTGAGAGGCATGCCAGTTTCTTTCCTTTAATATCATTGGTCAGATAAATTTGTTGAAGTGACTCTGGTAATAATTGTAAGACTGTTAAAGTTACCAAAGGGACGTGCAGTTTTAAATCACATGTCAAAAATTGCTGTGACAATTTTGTAGGTGTCTCCAAGGGAAACTGGTACTTTGAGGTAAGGAAAATCAAAAATTATTGTCCATTTATTTACAACAGAGTAACATGGCAAATTCGCTATTACAGTACATACATGTTGTGTTTGTGATAATAAAAGACATTAACAGAAATCAAATACAGTTGCAATAAAATTTTTAGTTTTATACCATTTGATTGCAATTAAAGTCAACTGAAATGTTTCCTTATTGAGACATCTTATGGAATAAAGTGTCATTGTTGTATGTTCCAGGCTACTGTAGACATACCTCCAGATACAGCCACAAGAATTGGCTGGTCACAGCTTTATGGTGAGAAAGTGATCTATTTATGTACAGTTGAACCTCTGGCTACTAATGGCCACCTCTAAAATATTCATTTTGTGATGTCCTGACTGATGGTCTGTGCATTCTTTCTTATTTTCACCTCTCTATGAAGGCAAAGTGCATTTTATCTGCCAAAAGAACTTCTTGGTAACAACTTGTTAATCACACACTTACCAATTGAAAGAAATTACAAAATACTTGAAAGTTAAACAACCTTAGACAGTTTGAAATGTCTGGAGTACTGAATCAACATAGCAATAATAAATAAAACCAGATGTGACATTTCACCCTATTGTCTTACAATGACACTTTTCTGTCATGGCCACTTTTCTCTGCGTCAAAGGACAGGTGCCTGTCATGGAGTTCTTTGACTTGATGAAGTCTATATTGACAGAGGAAATCTTAGTCTGCTCTTTTTGTCTTGGGTAGGAAATCTACAAGCTCCTTTAGGTTATGATAAATTTAGTTATTCTTGGAGAAGTAAAAAGGGTACAAGATTTCATGAGAGTAGAGGGAAACACTACAGGTATGTTATAAACAATCCAAATTTTTCTTTGATGTCCTGTAATTGTAACTAATTTGTAAATTAATCTGGTGAAGGTAAGTTCTACATTTGAACAAAGTGGCCCCTCCAGCCAAAGTTTATTAGGCTTCCTACTGTATGAAGTAATTGAGAGTATTGGTACTCATCATGGGATTGGATGCCAGTCCATTAAGGTTACCTGTTGCATTTTTTCAAGTATCCCTGTACGCTTGCCAACAGCTGTTTTATACTCCTAGCTCCAGTTGTTCAAGGGGTGGATAATGCTATCGACTGGATAAATATCTATCCAGTGGATAGCACAGTAGGTTTTGTTAACACTAATCCACTGGATAGCAATTTATCTGTCAGAAAGAAGTATCCATCCTTTGAACAACTGGGCTTTGGGTGGAAAGAGGTACTGTGAGAGTGAAATGTCTGGTACAAAATTACAACACTAAGACTTGACCAGGGCCAGAACTCAGACTTCCCAAGGCAGAGTCCAGCCTGCTGACTAACCTCTTGGCTACCACATCTTACACACACTAATCTGAGCATGCATTATAAATGTGTCTAATTTTAGTAAAGGAAGGGTAAATGTTTTTCTTTATTTGTAGTAGTGATGGATATTCAACTGGTGATGTAATAGGGTTTTTTATCAGTCTACCACAAAATGACAGACATCCAGGTAAAATGCATGTTCTGTTTGTTAGGTTTATTTTTAAATAATATCTTTCATTCGCTGGTTGTGTCACAGCGGCCAATCCTAATAGAGATTTCCTTGACAAGCAGTCAATGAGGTCAAATAAAACAACAAAACTACTTGATTCATTTGGGAGTAACCAATTAACAGAGTCCATGCTGTCATGCATCTGTTCAGTAATAGATCACTGATGTTGTCAAAATGTAATAAGTCAGAACAAGACACAGCTGAGTGTGTCACTGATGTCTACAATAAACCATGTACCAAAAGTCCAGACAAACTGCTTATTTTATGATGGCTTTATTTTTTTCTGAGAAGTTTTAGGGAAAGAAACAATGAAAATTTAGAAAACAATTATGAGGTAATTATTTAGTACTGTTACAAGATTATGTTTTCTTTTTCAGCGGGATTTCTTCCTGCGACATATAAAGATAAGGTATGTGTCAAAAAAAATGCAATTATACTCTTTATTTTCTTTCTTTCTTTCTTTTTTAAAAATCACTGTTATGGTTTATTTCTCTCTCTAAGGCATTAATAAAGTTCAAAAGTCATCTTTACTTTGAAGAAAAAGATCACGTGGACAAGGCGGAAAAGGTGTGAATTACAAAACATATCAGCTGATATGACTCGATACAAACTCACAGCCAGGGGAGGGGTGACCACCTCCCCAGGTGACTGTCGTCCAATTTAGGTTTAGCAATTTTTTTGTCAGCTTACTTCTCAACTTTACTAGTATTTTGTATTTTCTGAAGTAGGATATTTGCTTAATTTATGTAGTTAACAAATTGACAAGATCAATTCCATGAAATATGAAGTATTTAAGGAGCAAAAAAATAAAACTCAAAGGAAGAAAAAAACTGTGAAAGGATGCTTTGTGGAAAAGTACACAAGGCTAATGTACACAAACAAAACAATAAGGAACATATTTTGATAATAGTCTGTTCTTTTGCAGAACCTAAAACCTGTGCCAGGAAGTCAGGTATGTTTCCAAGCAATCAGCTTCAGGAACTCGTCAACACACAAATGAATAAGATAATTTGGTTATATCAACCAAGTTGATTATGTAAATTGGCCACCGTAAAGAGTTTCTAAGCTAGAAAACCCTTAGCCTAGAGCAGGTAGAAACTCTTTTCAGCTTAGAAACTAGTTACAGTGGCCAATTTACTTTATCAGCTCAGTTGATAAAACCAAATTATCTTGTTATATTCCCTCACTGACACAGCAGCACATTTTCTTTATAAATTTACCCCCTTTGCACAAACGAGTACATGAATTTCTTGCAGCCAGTTTGAACCTCACAAAATGACTTTGAGTGTCTGATGATGTATGTCTCCTTTTTTACCTTTAAGGTAAAATTCTACAAAAACGGTGTTTGTCAGGTGAGTTTAGTTGAAAGAAGTACATGTATGTTAACTTATTGGTTTTGTTTGTCCTTTCTTGTGGAAACAGTTTCATTGCTCGTAGAGCGCATTTCGCCGGCTGAGTATCAGAAAACCAAAACCAAAGTAATCATGACAGCCAATCAGAAGAAAGGCAAATATCACAAGGAGCCAATTAGAACTCAATGTTAAAAAAAGCGCGGGAAAATCCTAGTGACCAAATTGCGATCTGGGTTAGCTCTGCAACTGATTGGCTGTGAGGACGGCGCAAGTTTTCTAGACCAATCGACGGATCAGTTGAAGAAAACCAGAACCAAATGGTACACCAGACCCCTCTTACGTAAATACTTTATATGTGAAACAGTTTTCTTTCTCTTTGCATTAAGGGAGTGGCGTGGCAGGAGATTTATGACGGAACCTATTATCCGGCTGTATCGCTGTATAAGAATGCTACGGTACATTCACGAACTTTATTGCGGATAAATTATTCTCCATCATTTATAACACGATTAAAAGCTGAATTATATTCTTGCATGATCAAATTTTTTATAGGTCACCATCAATTTCGGGCCTGATTTTAAACATCCACCACCAGATGAAGAATTCCAACCGGTAAGCAAAACACTACAGCTTAATATACTCACCTAAAACATTAACCTTGATACCTTAAATGTTTTCTCCCCTTCAAAAGAGGAAACTATTTGCAAATATTTTTCAGGGAAGACTTTTTAAAAAAACAATTTTGTCTGATCAGCTAGAAATTGTAGAATGTTTGTTTTACCCTTTATAGATGAGCTTTAAAGCTGTGGAATTTGCTGTGGAACAGAGTTTATCAGACCTGTTGTCCCATGTGGATTCACAAGACAGACCCGTTCCAATCCCCGAGAAAATCCTAGTTCCTCCAAAGAGGAAGTGACGTATATTCACCTTCTACCGCTGACAGCTTCAGTATTGCCACGTCACATTCACCAAATGCTTTGAAGTGTTTCCAGACGTCAAAGACAGAGACCAAACTTGAGAGGCGCTGGTGAGGGATTTGACCGCCAGAAAGCAGCCATACGTTGGTCTTGCAATGTGCTCGCCGGAAAAGTCCAGTCACGTATTAAATTATGTCAGCTTTTTTTCGAATCCTTTCAAGGATTTTGTGCATCATTTATTTAACTGGAAAGATGCAGTTACTTTTTTTGTGTTTGGAACAAGATAAGTATTTCGTACGCAGTATAACACTTGTAAAGTATGTCGTACAGTTCTATTGGTGCTGTTTTGAGCATAAACAACACAGAGTTCAAAAGATTTGTGAACAATTGCCATTTACAAATGAATGAATTTTTATATTCTAATTTCTTTCTCTTCCAATGATCTTTTTTATTGGCTTTTTGAGACGTGCTCTCGTGTTTACTTGGCGTATTATTCAGTTTAGCCAAACCAGCAATCATTTGTACCATAAGATTCAGCATAAAGTAAGCTTTTATACATGTTACAATGCGCATAATTAGGGTCTTTTTTTATCTAATAAAGCACAATTTCTCTGGTGTTAAGTCTTCTTATCGCTGAACATTCCAATTTTGTTCGTTTGTCCTCCGTAATTATCACAGTCGGGTTATTGTGTCGATAAAAAAGTGCTTGAATATGTTGCTTCTCAGAAACGGTTTTTCCTAAAGAGGACACGGTAACGGATTCTGCAATCTGATTGGTTCTGAGCGCGGTCCTGCTTTTTCTATCTCTGTCCACTGTGACTGAAGCTTTCGTGAGTTTATGTCCTCTTGTTGACAAAAAAAGGGATTATCTCTGTTTCACGTGTTATCTACAAATAACTCACTATAAACTATGTCAATGTGTTTACAGATAGAATTTGAAATAAATGCCTCCACTGAGTAAGCCCAAATCATGATAGACTCATAACGAGTCTCCAAGTCAGCCAGGTCGTAACAAAATTTTGTCGTTTTCCGGTACTCAATGAAACTGATGGCGGTGGAGTCGCGGAAACGAGAGGTTTGCCCGTGATATTCTCTTACTATTCTATTTATTGGTCCACCGCTCAAAGCACTCGCAAAACAGCAAGCAATACAGGCACATAAACTAAGGACATATTAGAATGGACTCTTCTTCAGGAATCAAAGTGTCCTGACGGGAAGAAAGGGCACAAGAAGACCGTAGCTTCAGACGAACACCGAGCAGGAATTTAGAACTTTACGGCTGGCCAAAGAAACAGATTTTGGAGATTTGTTTCACTCGTCTTTTTTGAGCACGAAGGCCAATTTACGTTATAAACTCAGTTGATAAAACCGAATTATCTTGCTCTACGGAATGTCACGTGACACCCCCTCCTTTCTTGGGGGGGGGGGGGGGGGGGGGGGAAGGGGGCTTTGTAGTGCCTTGCAAAGGAGACGAAAACGTCTTTTGTCGAGTGGCTGTTGTGATTTCATTGGTTTTGGTTTTACAGCAAACAAGGTTCCTCAGTCACACCACAACTAACATGCTGTTGTTACATACTTGGAGTTTAATCTCTGAACGAATACACCAACTTACATTAGTGACGTTTAAAATAATACGCGAATACTGAGACGATAGCCGATTAATGATTCACCGGCTACAGAAAGTGTTGGTGAGTTTTGTCATAAAATATCAAACAGTATGTTGAAAAATATATACACCAAAGTGATTAGCCTGGAAAAACATTTCGTTAAAGATACACCATATAAATTGTGGCAGTTTGCTACATCGTTAAAACCCGAGGCCATTTTTACTAAAGCTTTTCATATCCCTTTACACAAGCCATCGTTACATGGATTATAAAATCTGTCTAAACTCGTTTAGAAACAGTTCACTACATAACGGAACAGTCCGAGTCCTGTCTGTCGAGGAACGAGAATTCGTATGAATGATTAATCATCTGATTCATGGACTACCTTTGTTGATAAACACTAAAAATAGCTAAAAATTAAAAACTCTGCCTTTTACTAGCTTGATAAGTGCCAAGAACTACCTGGTAATCACTTCCAATTCAACGGTAACCAACCAAACATAGTGAAACGAGGGCCACTTACAAGGAACGAACACTGCCTCTGATCGGAAGTAATTGAAGAATTTCGTCTGTCTCTGATTACTTCCAATGAACTGAGCAACTATTTTCATCGCTATGCAAAAAGAAAAACTCCCTAAGTTTTCTAGTTTTCTATCAGAAGTACATTTACCAGATTTGCTTCCTTTAATCTAAGAATAATTTTTACTGTGTACGAAAGTGCCCGTCGATTATTTTGGCACTGAATTCACTCAGGAAATAGTGTTGAAGGGTAAAAACTGTGCAACTATTCGACACTTCCAGGTTCAAAATGCAAACAAAGAGCTCCTTCACTGCTTGAGGAAAGCGTTGACCTTTCAAAATTTTCTCAGCTTTGAATGAGGGAGATCGTTTCTTGACAAACGCGGAAAAGTATAGTACAGCTGGACTAGCTGACCAAACAAATAACTGCCTTTGACAAAGCTTGAAGGAAGCAAATTTAAAGCATCATGTGGTTTAAAAGCCGCTTAATAACTTTGGCACATCTCACATTTTTCGAAATTTCGTATTTCCCTTGACACGCAACTTAAGGAGTTAAGAGCGATTTGCGGCATTAAAGGAATTTCTGTGACTTAAAAAATTATCATCGCTCTGAAAAAAATTTTCAATGAAAGGTTTAAGTTTGCCCAAAGTAAAGCTAACTTCTAGTTTCCTCCATCACTTTGCTTTTTTATGCAAGGTGATTTAATTTGCTTACCTTCATTACCTCGTTAGTTCGTGAATAATCAAAAACATTTCACATTACATTCTCCTTCATTGTAGCACATACAATTCAGCTTAAATGATTAACAAAGAACAAACCACGAACTTGTACAGGGTTATTATGGATAACAAACTAACCGATACAACAAGGTGCGTATAGACAATAACAATAAAAAAAAGAGAAAAAAATGTTGCCTAAGGGTGTGTCTTGGACCAAATTCTAAGCTGCAAAGTTACAACCGATTCACGAGTGAAAGAATGAAAATGTTTTCAGGATAGTCTAGATGCTTTAGTTTTCTGAAATATATGACTTTGATTGTCGTTACCCTCATAAGGACTGCTTGTTACCAGTCAAGTTACTACCATTATGTCAAAAGATGAACGGATGCTTATGAACTTAATTTACTTTTAACGCTCTAGAAAAACAACCTTTTTTATCTTCAGACTTTCGCTCTACTTACAACAAAAGGACATGGTGAAAATCATCAACCAACTGGAGAGCTGAATTAGATACATTTGTGTGTTCACAAGCGGTCTATAACATTGTTCCTTCATCAGTTTTCAGTAAATTCGAATTCAGGACTAGGAGCTTGGAAGGTATCTGATCCTACTGCAGTGTGCCAGTTGGTGTAAATCAATAACACAGGTACTTTTTAGTTTTAGCTTCGGATTACTGTGGTCATGCTACTCCGCAGTGCTTGTTTTCCTGCGAGGGGGAGTCCAAGAAGGTATTTATTCCACTGTCCTCTTAAAGCTTTCACTTAAAGCCTACCAGATAATTAACGGCCTCCTAATCTCGCCCCAGTTGTTTCCCTTGGCTAAAGTTCAACTGCATTTGTGATTTATTTTGCTTTGCCTGCCAACAAAGGCAAACCAACAAATTCGAAGCTGTAAACTTTTCAGCTCTGAAATCTCACTACTTGTCACACAATTACTGTTCTCGTATTTTAGAACAACTGGTTTTTCGATCTCCTCCACGAGGCCCCTTTCAAGTATACAAACAGAAATCACTTTGTGTCACCATTCTTCACTGTTTGGGATTTCTCGTTCGAGAAACATTTCATGACACGATAATCAACAAACATTACGTCTCAAACCACATGGACTAAAGACCAGAGTCTCTATTTGGAGGGTACACGGGAAGAGAAGCCCTTCCAAGGTACATGTTGGGTGTCAGCTGCGAGTTGTAGAATGCTCCAGGGTGCTGTATGTGACTAGGATATTGGTACTGTGGCTGACCAAACATCGGAGGGTACTTATTCGATGGAAAATATAGCCCACTGTATTGAGGCATGGGTTGTTCAGATAATTGTGATGGAGGAATGGTACTTTTATCCAAAGGAGGCTGGCTTGGCGCAGTTAGACTCTCCACTGAAAATGACTTGGACCCTGGAATGGAAACGGAAGATGATGTTGCATATGGACTGTGCGGGTTGTGTGAGGTTTGACCGACTGGTCTCAAAAAAGGGCTCTTGTTAGGAGGTGCACTGCTATAGTGAGAGCCAGCGGTAGGCGCATGCTCGGTGGGCGAGTGCAGAGGGCTATGGTGATTACCAGGTGCACCGAATGCAGGTGACTTGTTTTCTTCAAGCCTACGACCATCCAAAGGTGAATGAGACTGATTATAATTACCCATAACGGATGTATAAGGATTCTGCATTCCGTGCGGCAGAGTCTTTGGAGAAAGTTCAATAAATCCTGGCCGAGTTTGAGAATTAATCGGCCTGTCGTCACCTTGCACCACACTTTGATGCTGCTGTGGCTGAACAGGGTAACTGGCCATTCCTGGACCACTCATACTACTCTGAGGATGAGACGGTGAGAATGGTGGCTTGCTAGGTTCGTTGGGTGATGGGCCGGGAAATCTCGGAGTCTGGGGTGTTAATGGAGTCTGAGGAGTGTGCGGAGACCCTGTACTTGTTGGAGAAGGCACGGGACTGTTCTTTGGATGCCTGGAGTCTGGTACTCTCCCTCCTGGGTAAGGAGGGGGAGGAGACCGTACTCCCGCTCCCAAAGGATCTGACGAAGGAGAATTCGAGTTTCCTTGCGTTTGGATTCCCCCGAGATGCCTTGGTCTCTGAAAGTATCCCTGCTGTTGCGAACTTTGCTGCTGACTAAAAGCTGGAAAGTGGGATTGTTGCACTTGCCCACGCATTTCCTGAGGCCGCCTTTCCATAAAAGAACCCTGATGTTGAGGCGCTCCACTTCGCGGATAGCCACTGTAAGGAGATTGTTCCCCTCCTAGTGCTCCTTGCTGATTAAAACCACTTCTAGAGTACATTCCATTCATCCCTGTCACTGTGCTCTGATTGCTACTACTTTGCGAATTTCCAAACAGCAACTGATGAATGTCCTCCATAGCTTGTGTTTGGGTCTGGAGTCTTTGTCTATCCTTGTAGAGGGGCTGCTGTGACTGCTGTTGCATATGTTCCCACTGTGATGCTCCGTAACCTGGCCGCGCATTCACTTGAGAGCCCGGAATTCCTGAGTAACCTGACATGACGGGGCCACCAGAGCCCCTCATGGGGAACTGCTGGGGATAAAATGACTTTTGTTTGCCAAACATGTTCATTGAGTTCGTTTGTTCCAGTTTAAGAAACGGCGAGCTTGATGGTTGCGCTCTGTGATAAGCAGTGATGTTTTCCACTCGACCCATCTGCACGGCCTCTGCTGCTCTGTTCGCGAGACTTGTAGAAAACACGTAAATCCTATTGGGTGGTTCGGGAATTTCCACTGGCCTTAGAACTTTTTGCTTTCTGCGACGCCTGGGTCCCTCTGACCCATCGGAATCTATGGATTGACAAAGACAGAAAACCCTATAGTATTTCCAAACAGCTAAGTCACGCTAAAACCTGCGTTTCAGACGCCATCAATCTCTCACTTATCATGCCTTCGTCGCTCAGGGGATCTTTGTGTCGTAAGTTTTACGACACTCTAAAACTCGTAATGAACCAAATATTTAGAAGTGGCGTCAGAGTTTTTGTACATAACCAGGAATAGAGCCTTGTAAGCCTTTCTTTCTCACTTTGACTAGCAAGCAGATGAACAGGTAGAATTAAAACACAATACAACTGGTAAATAAAAGGGTTTGTCGAATCGACATTGCACGTCTTGATTGGAAAACGTAGCGACGTTTTCCTAGCGTCTCAATTTTAACAATACCCTTTGTTAAGGCAACGCATCTTTAAAAACAACAAAACAGCTGGAAATGCGTTCAAATATGCGAGAAGAAATCTAGCCTCCTTCGCAGCCGTCGTTTGGTCTTCTCACACAGCTCATTGTAAGCAGAGAGCTCACTGAGTGAATACATCGAACAACGGCTTTGAAGGAGACCAAAAACAAGGAAAAACAAGAAAATCAGTTACATTTTGTTGAAACCTGTTCCTTATATGCTTACCTATATCCTTTTCATTGTCTTCCTCTGACTCGGACCCAAGCCCTTCTTCCTCCCACCATTCCTTCTTTTTATTCATCTGTTCTCGCATAATCACACAGCGCCGTTTGGTCCTGGAGTCCACTCCCGCGGCACTGATGAAAGATTCCTGTTTCTGGATTTCTTCCTCCACACGACGCTCCAGTTCCTTCCGTTCCTATCATTAGAAAACATTGGGTTATTCTCTTGGGGAACTAAAGTTGCACATTTGCATTTATTGTCGGTACTTTTAAAGGGTGCGCAGTGCATTAGCCATTAAACTTATAGTACACCTGCCAACTATCTGTAAAATATGCTTGACTTTTGGAGACAGAGTAAAACGTATTAAGTTACAACAGCATTGGTAAAGGAAGATTGTCTGTTATCATTTGTTTATTTTCATAATTAATGTAAACTCAACCGAGCTTCCGCGCCAATTTTTCGTGTAGTGCAATACTTTCAACATGAAGATTTCAAAATATTCATTCTCCAATACAAAAAAACACAAGTGTAATGAATAACGACAAGGAGCAAGATTTGGTGGAGTTTTACGAAATTAAAAAAAAATCGCGTAGCAGCTCTTTTTTAAGTTTCAATGGCTAATTTAAGTCGACATTTAACTTAAGTAACCCCTTGGAGGGAGATCGTAAGCTTAAAAAAATCGATTTAAGAGCGATGTAGTGGGTACCTCCATGTCCTTCTCGACTTTCTCTTCGAGCTCACTTTTCTTCCTTCTTCTCTCAGCTCGCTCCGTAGGTTTGTTCTCGTCCATAATACCCAGATCTCTTTTGGTGGCTGGTGGTCGCCCTCGCCTCCTTTGTGTTCCCTGTTCAGGTGCTGGCCTCTTTCTCTTCTTCCTTGGCCGAGGAGAGTCTTCCTCGTCGAGTTCGAGTTCTCGCTCAGCGTCCGAAACGTCGTCTTCGTCCTGGTCTTCTTCCGCGGTGTCGTCTTCCTGTTCCTCTTGGTCTTCCTGGGCACCGAGATCGTCGTCTTCTTCTGGCTTGTTCCCCTGCAGATAAAAGGAATTAAATTAAGATAAGAAACAATTGTACGAACGCGTGACAAACTATATTCACTACAAACTTAGGTGCAGTGAATTCGTTGGCAAGTTGGGCCATATGCTAGATTTAAGTAACAAGCGTCCAGCACAGTTCACACATTTAAATGCAAAAAAACCGCGGGCATCGAAGAGCAGCTAGAGTTTTTTTTGATTACATAAAGATGACAGAAGTAAAGATAAAATACGACCAAGTTTTTACAGGTTATAATGGGTGCAATACTACATGTTAAAAGACAATCAAAGACAAAAAGTAAATCACTGACCGAGGTCCAGTTTTTTTTTCTCTCTTTTTTTTCTTCGTTAGTTATGATTATAGTTAAGTGTGTCCTGGGCCCCTAATGGCCCATAATGTAAGAGTAAGTACAGTTTGAGTGGATGAAGCTTAACAAAGCCCTTGGGGGCTTTGCATAGTACTAGTGTACTTCCTAACTCTTTCATACTCCCCAAGAGGAAGAGAGCCTGCTATCAGAAATTGTAAGGCCCCGATCTCCACTCCACTAACTAACATTTCACGGGACTGCACAGGAGACTCGATGGGTTTGAATCAAAAGATAACCCATTAACCAGAAGAAAAGAATTAAAAAAAACTAACTACAGCGTATACTACCCACAGGACAGAGATTTATCTAACAACCAGTACGAATTGTCCCCCAAACAAAACACAAGTGACAGCAGGCCATCTGACGGTCATAAATATTATGACAGGCCACACGTTACCTTTATTCTCTCTACTTTGCCTTCTTTTCCAACTACTGCATCATTATCTGCTTTTTGTTTGGCAACTGCCTGCAATATTCACAGATGATATTTCATCCAAGCTGAACTACTAATAAAACTAGACACAAAACTTTCAACAAATTATGTTTACTTATCTTTTTTCAGAACTGCTATTACTCCAGACGAGTATAGTTTATTAACAGGAATACCTTCTGATTTGCCTTGGAAGACCTGTCCTTCTTCAAAGTCTCCAGTTCCTTTTCTTTCTCATCCTCCTAAAGAAATAAAACAAAAAGCCTTTTAAATAGTAGTACTTACTGAAGAAGTGAGTGCATCTTTAAACAAGACTTCAAAAGCCAAACAAACTTATGTTAAAACTTCAAACGCCATTGATGACTCTCTTCAAGAAGGCGTTGCATGTGAAATGTTTTGTTTAATATCTAATCAGTTAGGACTGGTTCAAATACAGACTGTTTCATGTGTTATATTGAAATAACCCTAGTATTTACTTTTATCAAATACCCCAAAAGTCAACATTTAAATTAATAAAGTTTTATGTGCCCAATTTACTGTTAGAAAGATATCAATCATCTAAGCAATTTTGGACATAATTGATAAATTGGTAAATTATTTTAACAACCCACAGTTCCCTAATTTCACAAAAGGATAAATTTGATGAATCAACTTTGATGTTGGATTTACTGTCGAACTTTATTGCTTGGGTTTAGCCGAACAAACATTTATGATCAGTATATGGTAAAGTTGAACATTTGAACTGGTTACCCAGCACTGCACCTTTACTGATGGCATGACAGCAGGATACAGCTCATTCTTCAGGTACTTGTACAGCTTTTTCTCATTACTATTGCTTGACTTCTGAAAAGAGCTATCAGCAGGTACAGCATACATCAATACAACTAGAAGTGAATCATAACATATAAAACACCATCCACCAATATTGCAAAAACATTTGTACCATACAAATTGCCTAGAATATCATATAAACAAATAAACAACATCTACTTGACCATCAAATGCAACAGAGAGAAAGATGGAAAAAACCTACTGTATGATCAAACAGTGCAAATAAAGTACACAGTCAGGAAACTGCATTCACCAAACACAGCTTAGTTTAAGACAACTATTTGTAATGTCTCTTTAACATCATCATATAGAAATATTTGGCTTTAATTCCACTGATTAAAACTAAATGACTCTTCATCAGTTAAAGCATTGTATACAACTTTGGTCATCTATGAACATTTATCCCAGCCCTCCAAAACTCATTGTATATCATAATACCACGTTTTTTTTTTAAATTTTACAAAAATTATGCCAGAGTTCCCAACTGAGGAGAGCAAAACAGATGACTATGTCAGAAGAACCAGTATAGCCTCAGATTTTTCTATGACAACAAAAAACAACTTCCAGAAGGATCTGGTAACCGTGTATTTGAAGCATTGAACAAAAATTATACCACCTCATTAGAATAACTGTTTCTTGCCTTTGAAAATAATTAATGCCATTTAAAGCTATAAACACAAGTAAATGTATGCTATTTCAGTTTAATCATATGATAAGTTTGTGTTTGATTCAAGTCTTTTCCTATAGTAAACTTTTAAATTACAACCACAGATATGTAAAATGTTTCAAAGGCTTTTATTATCACAAGTCATGTGAATATTTTCCCCAATCAAACTAGTTAATGTCAAACCTGGTGAATTTACTGACATTTTGATGAATACCTCCAAACAATGTGATTGTCACAAAAAAAAAATTTTTACTCCCACTGAGGACTAGATCCAGCGTGCTTGCAAGTCCTGCTCACTGACACATTCAAGATAACCACTTGTGTACACGCATGAATGAATGAGGGATTATGACCACCAGAGTAAGGTAGTCTTAGATAAAATGGCCTGCATATTGAAAATAATAATTTAAATTAAGAGCAAAAGGTAAATCCATTTTAGTCCAAATTTGGAGGCTCTCTTCGATAGAAAAAGTGACTTGAAAAAAAATCAAAAGACAGTTGTTTTACCTCAGAAGCTTCTCCCAGTCTTGGCAATTTAAACAGACAGTCTCCCAGCTGAAAAATACAATATGCAAAATACCACATCAACTATACAATCAACTCCAGGCAACCATCCTTCTCAGCAAAAATTTCAAAATGGGCAGGTGAATTTTCTAGGATAAAAAAGGTTTGCAATTTTAACACCTCAAACAACTAGTGGTTCTTTAGCATGAAAACACAAACACAAAAGGTGGAACACATAAGGAGAAACACACTGAACAGTGTGACAATTACACTGCTTCATTAAATATGCTTTACATGGCCCCCAAACATAATCCCACCAGCTGGCTGATATGGCTAATTAACATAACAGCTTCATGCTTTATTTAATTTTCTCTTACTCAGCAAATCATAATAATGGAAATTTAATACTTGGCATGCCATATATGGAAGAACTATTTCCATCTTAAATAAACAGTATCTTACTGTGTTTGTGTAGTTAAATGTTAAAACACAATTCTTTTGGGTAACTATCTTTGTTGTACACCATAAATGAGGCTTTGTGTGTACACATTTTGGCATCAGAAAAATTTTTAAGAATTCTCCTTTTTTCCTGTTAGTTGTCAATGAATTCTAAGCAATTGGAGTAAGGAAAAAAATACAGCAAATGAAAATTGTTGTGTTTGACATGTTTACATTACAGTGAATGTCATGTCCCCCTTAATTTGGCCAAACAGCATGTCTGAAATTATTGTTCACAGTCAGATAAATATAGATCATTATCAATTCATGACTTCAGGTAGATAATAACTAAGATTAATTTTCTCTTGGTCAAAGTAAAATTTCTCATAAAAAAACCTGGGTATTTTTACATTAGCTTGGTATGGCTTAGTTTTTTCAGCTTGAAAAAAAAAAAACTTTCAGACAGAGTAAATAGAAAGAAATGTTATATGTAAAATAATTTTTTTTTGGTCACCAAAGTTTTGGGTTTCAAGAAACTCATGGGAAATGTCATAAGATATGCACTTAAATGGTTTCATACCCAAACTAAAATTTAAAAATAATTCAAAACAAAAAAAGATGTCTTGCAACAGTTGCCATATAATTAGTCATCAAATAATTTACAAGCTGGGCAAATGCCTTTAAATAACATGAACAATTTTTGATATGTCCCATTTTAGAGTAAGCAAGCTCACAGTCCATTAAACAGCATGACAGAAAAATCCACAAGAAAAACATACAATAAGGAAAAAGTCATACCCAATCCATGCAGCCATTGTTTGAACAGGGAAATATCCTCTCATGTCTCTGAATACTGAGGCTTATTTCATTCCCTTCTTTTTCTTTTTTTTTCACTTGACATAACATATCAGTCATAACAGAACATAATATAATGGGTATCAATCTTGATATAATTAGGCCATGAAGACAGTTAGAATACTCAACATACTGTATCTCTTTACACTTATCAGCAGCATGACTTTCAAGGATAATTCCTACAGCACATCAGTTGGAAATATGGTGGTGACTTTTTGTTATTAATTTTCAAGAAAGTTTTAGTCTAATTTTCTCTGTCTAGTAATGCTTATCTCAACTTAACAAAAGAAAATAACATTGTAAGCAGTTGAAATGTTGCGTTTTACATCAAGTGACCTTGTCATGAGACAACAGAACAAACTTATAATATCAAAATGACATTGGTTTTCGAAATTTCAAACAAATGGCACAAAAACTGAACTAACAGTTCAGAGACATTAACCCAGCACATTGCATCATTAAAGCAACATGCTGTATCATTCCTTTTTTCCTGCTCTTACAGAAAACATTCCTAAGCTATGCAAAAGCAGTGGGAAATATGTCTTGTAACTAAAGAAGGTTCTGGTATACCAAAAACTTACCACAATGACAACAGACTAAATTGACACCAAAATCCCAACTCAATTGCCAAAGAGGAAAGTTCCTATTCCATTTATCTTCTACCATCAATAGTTGCTCCATTAAAAAAAACCATACTTAGTCTAGTGCATTGCAACACTATTAAACCCAAAGTAATTTCATAATTGGTGTTGTTTCATTATTAAAAATCATTCTCTGATACAATCAACCAATTTTCTCATTTGATTCAAAGGAAATCAAATTGTGCATCACAATTGCTGAGAATAGATCTATGGAATTCAGTTACTTCAGAGGCAATCAGCATCATTGCAATAATATATCTATATCACTGATAATAGAAGTTTAAAGCTTCATTCAGCTGCATCAGGTAATCAAGAGAGGTTGGATCAAAATGCTGTTTGAGGAAATTTACTGACGCTTAGTAACAATTTTGTGATTACATGATGATGTGGTGAACAAGCACCATTGGCTGTAAACTTAGAGAACTCTAACTGTGTCTTTAAATTGAAACAGAAAAAAAAAATCTTGAAAGATAACATCAAGGCTAACCAAGACAGAAAATGGGAGAGGAAAAATAAGCATTATGTACTTGTGAATTTGAAAAATATCATACCCCTGAGTTTAAATAAAATAAATGTCTGACTACAGCATGATTGGGCAGCCTTTAAAGCTCTAGCTGGGCAGTAATAAGAGTAATAAATTATCAAGCAACAATCTAGAAACTGGGATTTTACCATAGGGGGGTAAACTTATAGAGGATTGATTTTGAGGTAGGGGGTAAATAAAGAGCAACAATTTATGTTGCCTTTAGCCTCAAGTCTTAAGTTCTTAGAAAAACAAATTTACTCCCTTCATTTACTTCTTGCATATTCACATCTTTAAATGGAACACACTTACAAAGGTTAATTATACAATTCATGTATGTACAACTTCAAAATAACAGTAATTGTCTTCACCTCAATCAAGGCATGATCCACACTACTCTAGATAACTGTAAATATTAAGTATATTTTTCCCTGCTTTGGCCTACTTTTCTCATAGAAACAAAGCTTTTAATTTTGATAGACTAAAAATGTACTTTTTTGAAATCTGAAAAATTTCACCCACTGATTTTAAGTTGACTGCAAAGAAAAATTTGTTGAAAAATGCTGGCTTAAAATGGTAATGTGATCTGTTGCATTTCCTTTCAAGCATCATGCTTGCAAACACAATCTTCTATCTAAGTATGGGCAAATCAGTCTTTCTTTTTTTACCCCATTAAATCATAATTATGATTCCCTCTGTTCTCATATCAAACCAGATCAAAGAACTTGATGACACAACAATGCATTTATAGTCAATTAACACTCACCCTGTTCGGCGACCCTTCTTTCCAATGAGTTCACGGTAAAGTCTCAAATCTAGTGAACAAAAACAAACAAATCCCTTTCAGTTTAGAGGGGTTAACAATATTTCACACTCACTTTACTAACTTGCTATTAAACACTGTTAAGAACTACTCCTTTGCCAAGACATAACTGTTAAGGCTGAAGAAATATCACAAACCATAGTTACCTTGGACAGAGCTGTCAGTTAGTATTGAAGTAGTGTTTACAATGGAGATATCATGTGCAGCAATGTAATATGTGCCCAAGAGACAACAACCAACATCTTCACCCATAACATAGGTGTATGTGAGAGCCCAACTTAGGTGCATTAAAAGTTTCTTTCAAAAATCTGTGTGTAGCCAATAAACTTGATGCATCTTGAACTAAGGCAAAGAGGTGGTGGTGGAGGAAGTTATATATTAATTATAGTGAAAATTAAAATAACGAGAACATTTTTCCAATTTTACACATTTGTTCTTAGAGATATGAGAGAGTGCATCTATTCACCAAATGTATCACTTTCCAAGAAAGTTCTCAAGTGAAGAAAATAAACTAAGATCATGACAAGCAAAAAAAAGAAGAGACTTAAGTTTTACAAGAGGCACTAATTCTTGCCTGTCTCATATAGCACCTACAGACCACAAATTGCTACTGTCAGAATCAGTTGTAAGTTTATTAAAATACAAGGAGAAAAAGGTCTGCCAGAGGATCAGAATGAAATGACCATGCAAGTAATAGAGAAAGCCATCAAGATTGTCTTAGGAGAAAGCTTCCATCAAGTATGTCAGTTATAAAATTGTGGAGAGAAATTACAGTAAAAGAGGATGTGAACCCGTAAATATTATCATATCTGCAAACAGTATGCCAGGTTTATCGTTTGAATCATCAAATTCTTAAGAGAACTAATATGCTTCCTTTGGATGGAAGTTGTAGTAAGTCAACCATGTTATCATATTATTCCAAGTATTTATGATTAAAATTACACAGGAAGTGAACGATAACTAAAACAAAAGTTCTCATCAGTCGGCCAATAAAACCTTACATTCAGACTTTCAACTTTAATAAACAATGTAGCTGACAGGGTATTAACACACCACAGAGTGATTTGAATTTTTGATGGTGATTTCAAGATGATAATAGCAGTAGAGAGAGACTGACTGACTAGACACCCTGCTTGTGAAAAATACTGTTAAGCAATACATCTTAGGTCATTTAAACCATTATAGTGTAGCACTCAGAAATATTTTGTGGATGAAGTCTAAAGTCATTGTATGATTGTGATTCTTAGGGCAACAATTATAGTTGCACAACACTTACACTGACTATTATTTCTTTGATTATATAAGTAATTACTAGATGATCCACTTTTAACAAGGACTGTTCTTCAACAAACACACTTTGCAATACAACAGGGCAGTCAGAATACCAGTACATACCACATACGTGACAAATTCAACATGAAACAAAAATTATTTACAAAACAGTTTCTCAGAAAATATTCACACTTTCCAGACTCTTAAAAACAGAAATACTGCAGAGGATTTGTAGTTCATAAGCTCTGGATATGTAAACAATACATGCTTGGCTGGTCACAGAACTAGCTCAGACTGTAGCTGTTATAAATATTCAAACTTCTGGCAGGATTCTAAAAAGCCCTTTTTGTGACCAGACAAAGAGTGTCAATTTTGATTCACACCAGTTAAGTCCATCATTTTGCTGACCTGTGAAAGAGCTGCCCTTCTAGGTCTTAAAGATCCACCAAAACCTCTCAGAATCGAATCCAAACATAGTAAATCAAGTTAAGTTTAGATTATGCTAAATTAAAAATATATATACTACAAGCGTAGAACAGCATCTATTTGGGTCACAATAAATCTAGCAGAAGCTGTAGAAAAAACCCTCTATCAGAAGAAGACATTAAATACCTACATTTCTGACAAGGGGCAAAGACCAGAGAGAAAATAATCCAACTGTAAAAGCCATGAGCTTCTTGCCTCAAAACGACTTTTCAAAATATATGCAAAACATGCAAGTCCCATGAAACATTTATTCCATTCTGTTGTTTGCCCTGCCATGTGACTTAGCCTAATTGCATTTTCCTTGTAACCATACAATAGCTTTTTAATTTGAATCTTGTCAACAAGCTTTGGGAACAATGTGGCTGCTTAGAGCCCATTGGAACACAGCAAAAAACCCAGTGTAAACAGTCACTGCTCTTAAGAAACTAGCCCTGTGATTGGATCTTCAATTGGCTTGTCACCTGCTGAACAAAAATGGCTCTTTTCATTGGAGCTACAATATCAACAAAGCCCCTCAACCGAAAATGAAAACAAATTTATGCAAATTGAATTTCTTAAATGCATGAAAAATTTCCATGACAAAAGCTTATTCAGAGAGTATTTGGCAGCAGTAAACAATGGACTAAATGGCATCTCAAGAAAAGCAAGCACAAAATTAAAAGAAATGGAGAGGAATAAAACATCTCCATATCACACTTAGGAGAAGACATCTGGTGTGACTCTTAAAAAAAAAATTAAAAAAAAGAAAAAAAGAAAAAGGAAAAAGAAAGAAAAGGCAATGATAACTCTGCACTAAATACCTGTAATAAATAAATCTGCCTTATTCAAAATTCTCAGAGGGAAACAAGTGTCAAGCCTGTGGCTGCTGTGGCTATTAGAATATTTAGTTTATGAATTGCAGTCTTCTAAAGATAAGGGTTAAAACAAAGGATTAAATACAAAACAGGAAAATACTGTTGTATGAGCATTATATAAAAATATTTACTTCCCAAAAGAAAAAAAGCGTAACAAAACAAAAGCAAAAGCAGTGTTGCTATTAATAATAGGTTGTACAACACAAAAAGTACATTAAAGTACAGATTATTTCATGAACATGATACAAAGTTATGCAATTCTTGAAATAAATATCAAAAAAGTATTAATGGTACATGTGTGGTTGTGAAAGAGAAAAAGAGTCACACTATAGTTTTTCAGATCCATAGTTTAAAATGATATAAACCCCTACACACAGTCATGATGATATATCTCAAAAATATACATTTTTAAGTAAAACATATATTTTTTAAAGTAAAAATATAAATCAACTCTAAAATTTTTTCCTTTCAGTAAGCAGTGTGAGAATACACTATCATCAAATGAATTAAAACATATTTCAGTTTTTTCAGAGTGATAAATTTGTAACAGTCATAACATGAGTGTTTGTTAAAAGTTGCTGTAAAATTTATGTAGTAGTAGCAGTATTTCATTGTTCCAAAACTGAGAAAATAAACACAATTTGTTTCATAAAATATAATTTTCAGGTGTTAACAAAACCACATGTTATTTGTTACTCAAAAGCACCATTTTGGTGTTCAACTACTGATTCCTTAGTATTCTGATGAATAAAAAGCAGTTTCCTTTTAAGTCTGTGTAAACAATCAATTTCAAAATACATCAATACTGTTTTTTGATCTTACATACTGCTAGTGGATGCCAGACTGGATATTGATCATTAAAACAACAGCTTTGACCTAACTCTTCCTTGTAGTATATCACAGAAACTGAGAAGTTATACAGACAATTTCTGCAGACACATTCAGAATCTTTTTCCTTATGTAAACCTACAGTGTTGACAATTATTGACCCCAAAATAATTCAAACTTTAATTTTCCTCTAGCATTTAGAAGAAATACAAGACAACAAAGTGTAAATTTTGGTTATCATACTAAAAATATATGCTGTTTTGTTGTTCAAGTTTGTTGAATTCTCACTAGTGCAATGAAAATGATGACATCCTTCTATATAAATATCAGGGAAATTCTTCAGGTCTGTTATGGTTACCTTCTCCAATTTACCTAAATTACTCTAAATTGAATACTGGTTCGTAAATGTTCGATACTTACAGCTGCATTTAATTGCAAAGTGTAATAGTGAGGTTAAGAATAAGCCTGAAGAGGATAGTTGTGGGTGACTGACGTAGTAACTGAAAACCTGTAGGCTTTGATAAAGACATCATCCGTGCTTAGTGGAGAATACTTAATTGGTAAAATGTTCTGAGCATAATTCATTATGAACAGGTGATCATGCTTTGAAGCCTTATTCTGACCTTGACATTGCAAAATTCACCAGAGAATTTCAACAGTCAGCTTGATCAATTGTTTTGTCTATGACCTTCAACATATTGTCTAGCTGAAGCTTTCCCTCTGCAGGTGGTTATTGACCACTGGTAGCACAATTATATTAAAGTAAAGTATTTCTCTCTAACAATAAATACATTTCATATTTGTTTGCAAGAAATGCTTTTTTTGTTCAGGATAGACTCCTGCAGTCACTACTCATCAATCAATCATTGTTAACCTTCCACATCAAAGTTTTAAAAAGTTCAAATTTGGGAAAAACAAAAAACAAACCAGAGTGACTAGGCAGAGCACATAATACTGAGCATAAATAGACACCAATAAGTTATCCCCAAAGAAAGATTAGGCAAAAGATGTTCAACTTTCATTTATTTTATTGGCCAAAATAACAATAAGTGCTTGATCAGTCTTGTTTGACTTTCTCATAAGTTTTTGCATGCCCTATTATTTCAAAAATTTTGTTTCAAATCAAATTTTATATGCATTATCAATACACTAAGTAAAAAAAAAAAACTTACAGAGAAGAATTGCTTGAAATAAAACAATTACATGCGAGGTCATGGTAAATTCCCAATAGCAATTTAAATTCCATTTGCTTTAACCTAATTGAAGAGGTTTTCATGCATAGGCATATTGTATGAGAAGTGATTAGTACTTGACATACTAAGTAAACATACTTACCATCAAAGTACCAATAAATATTATTGGAGGCATCACGACCGATGGGCTTCACTCCCTAAGAAAAATGCAAAAAATTGTAAGTTAATAGCTTGATAGCTTAGAAATACTGGAACGGTTTTTCATCTTTTTCCTGGTATGGCTGTGAGGCTCACAACTTAACTCTTACCTCAGTTAAGTTAGCCATTCAAGAGAATCAATAATTAAACAGAACCTTAGCTACATATTTGTACTTTACTTTAAGAAGACAAGAGTCCTTGTCAAATATACACTGCATATGGCATATGATACCAACTGTATCCACATAGCTTCAGATGTTATATGTTACTGTTGAAGGACACAGAGTGGTGGGGGGCACTGGACTCAAAATCTGAAAGTCCTGGTTTCAAATACCATTGTCACCAACAGGGTCCAGTCTTTCCAAGGGTGAATAGGTTATCTAACCGATAAATTGCTATCCAGCAGATAACTATTAACAAAACATATGGCACTATCAATCAGATAGAGATTCATCCACTAGATAGCCTTATCCACTTTTCCAAGGAAATGGGCCAGATGACTTCATTTCTGCATATTCCCAAATTCAACTCCTTAACTATGCTAAATATAGTCAATTGTATTGCCTCCTGTCATTTGGGGTCCTATATTAATGTTATGTTTGATTTAGATTATTTGTTTGAGATCATTCAAAACAGCCATTGGCCTATCTCTTATGAGTCTGCTTATAACCCAAGTAACCCATGTGACCAAAGCTTATTCTAAGGGCTTTAATTACACTGAATAGGAAACTTAGTCCTTTGTAGATTACTGCCCAGCCTTTCATCAGGACCCAGTTATACTCTTGGGTGGAGAGAGATGTTGTAAGAACAAAAAGGACAAAATAGCCCAGCCAGTGCAACAAACCTAAACATAGCATGTTAAATTCATATTAGTAATATGTTGTAAATAGGTAAAACCCCAAGTTATTACTGGTAAATTTAATATAACAACACATCTTTGAGTGAATTCAAATCAGAGCTGTCTTTAGACCTCGAATGGCGAAAATCAACAAATGCAAACTTACTGAAGAGTCTGGATTTAAAAAGTTCTTTGTAAACTCTTTTAATTGTTCATCTTTACACGCTGCAAGGTGGTCTGCCAAATAATATATCAGTTGTTTCAACAGTAACACCTGCAAAATAAAAAATAAAATGTGATTTCAGTATCCTCTCTTTCAAATACAATGATCATAAAAAGTCTTCTATTTAAAACTGTAGTAACATGTATTCTGATCCATCAAACATTTTTCCTATTGGTTCAAATGTTTCTAAAAACCCTCAAAATTGCTCAAGCTTTGCTCTTTTGATAGCATCTAATAAAAGTCAATCCAAACATTTGTGGGCAGGCCCTCATTGTATGGCATAGGGTAAAATATGGACTGGACTATTTCTTGGACCATTTTTTGGACCATTTTTTGGACTATTTTTTGGGCCATTTTTTTGGGACCATTTTAAAGGGGGAAGCACACCATTAGTTCTGAGGGAGGGGTGGGATGAGGTCTATCAGCACTGAGGGAGGGGTGGGAGGCAGTGTTATTACTCAGGGAGGGGTGAGTGATGGACTATTACTACACTGGGAGGGGTGGGAAGTGGTTGTAATAGTAAACACTACTGGTAAATGGAGCTTTTACTCGATTGTACAAAATTGGAAAACAAACCTAGGGTAGTCGTGAGGAATACCTAGTTGCCATTTCCAGTGTCAGTGATTAACTCCTTTGTTTGCAAAACAGATGAAATCGATATTTGCCCTTTCCCATTTTGCAAGTACAGCAGTGTTTTTGGTCGATTCAAGAACAAGGATTCCTCTTCGAAATCGTTTGCTGATGATTTTATACAGTAAAGGTATAAACTTTAAAATTGCGATAGTGATTGTGAATTCTATATGCTGCTAAGTTAAGGGCTAAGGACCGGAAATTTTGTGATCTCATTTGATAAGATCAATGACAAAAAATTTAGTAGTTACATAATGTATACACAAAGGGAAACATGAAGCAACTGATGGTGCACAAGTTGACTCAAAAGGCAAGTCATTAGACTTAAAAATTCGTCAAAGCAGACACACAACAATAGTCTACTTCTAACCATGACTAAGACAGACGAATGTTACTGTATAATAGATCATGGAGTCATTAGCAGAAAACTGGAACATTCTGATACTAAAAACTTCAAGTAAACTTGCAAGCATCACTGTTGTAACTGTGTCTCAATTTCCCACTGATCAGATTAACTTATAGAAGTTTCAACTCAAATTACTATCACCAGGGAAATTGACATTTCATGGAAATTTATAACAGCATCCCAAATTAAATTCCTGTATAAGCAAATGAATTTAACAGTCACAATTTGAAGAAAACCATCTTTATTTTTTAACAGTTTTAACTGAATAATTATTACTTATATATGAAGATAACCTATGTCTACCTTTTAAAGGTTTTCATTTAAATATAATTTTAAGCAAAACAGAAATCTTGGGTCCAACATATCAAGGTATCATATCAAGGTATCATAGAAAGACTAACAAACAATACTTGTATTACGGAAACAACAAATCATAATTTCATCATAAAGATAGGTAGAAGGCAACAGCAATTGGCTACAGCAAAAAGGAAAAGAACAAAGTAGTACACAAAATATGTTTTAAGCTTATTATATTATCATTAGGTAGTTTATTAGTAGCCACTGCTTTCGGATTATCTCGTTTGGCACTTGACCTTAAAGCTTCGTTAAAATGATACGCAGTTTGATGAACAGGTCCATCAGTGCTAATTAACTAACAGCAACGATGAGAACAAAATTGAGCTGAAAATAGCTAGTACGGTTTTAAGCGCCCGCCATTTTGCAGCGAAACCACTTCGGCAATAAATCACGTTTTGCCAACTTATTTAGCAATGACATCCTCGACGTCCTTGTACAATTTGCGAAAATAATTAGTTTACATCTGTTAACAGTATTTAGCCTATCAACTTTAAACGTGCGAGGGACGATAAACAAAACGCCCACAAAGACATACGTTAAATGATATAAAAATTAAAAAACCACTCAGAGAGAAATTTTACTCACACGATCCTCAGGTTTTAAGTCTACATAACGCTTTCCCTCGTCGAAGAGAGACCTGTCCGAGGATCTCCTCTCCAGCTCTACTTCGAGGACTTCCTGCCATGTGTTTTGTCTTAAAAGGACACAGAAAATTATAGTTCAATTAAAAAAAAAATACACACACACCATCCCTCTTTCGACAGAAACGGACAAATGCGTAGGGGAATCATATCAGCTGAGATTTTCATTACACGCCATGTTACACGCTTCCGTTATAAAAAACATACAAATACTCTACTCACTTCACATCCCGTTTGGGAAGTAGAGTTCGTAGCAGTTGTATAAATATTCCAAACAGTGTCGAGTTCTCAGACTCCAAGAAGGCATTCTCTAATTCCTGTTAAGGAAGACAACCCGTCAACAAAATTCAACAGCAGGAATTCGAAATCAATCGTTTAGTTAACGTCTACTCATAGAAGCTATAGTACATGCATGCAAACACTGGCAGCAAACGGACGAGTTGTAAATCGAAATGTAGCTTCAGTTTAATCAACAACTAACCAACAAATATCGCCAATAATTCAAAACAGGCTATAAAATTTCAAATAAAAACGCAAAATATCTAGATTCGCTTAAAAATAGATGTTTTGTTTGCAACAAACTGTCGTTTTAATGCGCACCTCGGCCGTGAAGCAGACGAAACCAAACTTCCCCTGGAATACCCGCAGGAACTGGGAAACAAAAACAAATTCCCACATCGAGCGCATTCCATTTGTCGACAAAGCACCTAGAAAATTAAAAGAACAATGATACAGTCGCTTCTTTCTGTCTTTAATCCAAATCTTTACCGAAAAGCTGAAGAAGTGAAATCTACAGCGTGTGACAAGTTGAAATTTGAGTTCACGCGATGACAGCCTACAATTAGTCACAACCAGGACACACTATCGCGTGATAAAACAGGAAAGCAGCAAACATAGTCAGGACAGGCATAAAAGCTGACGGACAACCAGAAATTACCTTGTTTGTGACGTCTCCGCATCTTCAAAAAGACGCCTTAGGTTTGTAAAAAGTCAGAAATTTTCATGTTAGTTTGCAGGAACTCAAGGACTTCTCACCTTACTCCGCCTCACTTTCGTCCTTCAAAACAAAAACGTCATGTTTGGCCACGTGATAAGTTTGTCAATCAAAGTTTTGCTGTCATAGTAACATCTACAGGGGCGTACTCCGTAACTCACACGTACCGACCTTTCCTTCCTTATTTTGTTGTTTTGACAAATCAGAAAGCTATGCTGGACTTTCGAAATAACTTGAAATGACCTATTTTTAGACGTGATTAATCGCCGCTCAAAGGTTTTACCTTTTTTCGTAAAATGATTAAAGTCAGGAGCAGAGTAGCGATTTTTTTCATGAAGTGGCTATATTTGCATACTCAATTTACGATTTCTTGTACACGCACTTAGCTTTCGTTTTTTTCGATTTCAACTATCTGTAGATGAACTTGATAACTATTTGTATACAAAAAACGAGTTTTCCAGGGAACAAGACTACTATGGAAACTAAAAGTAATATGTACTGCCAGCACTGCGAGAAAGGGTATCCAGTCTCTTCACGGGTGAATCAAAGTGCAATTTGTGAACTTTTAACAATTAAAGTTCAACAACGTTGCCGTTACCAAAATGCAAATAATAAAAAATTGTATTTTGAATTCAATAGTAGCACGTCAATTTTGTTTACGGGTTCGTTTTTGAATACAGCGAGCCCTCATTCACGAGATAATCCACGAGATGTCGATGTGATTTTTGTTTGTTTCCCAGTTTCCAGCGGAACATTGATATCATCAGAGAATAAAGTAATCCGCGCGTGAACGCGAATGCATTTCGAGCGGATTCAAAGGTTCGAGTGATGTTTTAAAAGTGTGCGGAATTGCATGAGCTGTATATTGGTGAATGCAACATGAAAAACTCACAAAAATTCGAAATGCAGGAAAAGTTTATGCCATTTCTTATTGTTACTTTCTCGATAAAATCAGTTACCAACGCTTGTTTGTTCATTCTCTATGCACGGTGCTCGAAAAATTCTGAACGGCTTTATGAAAAAGCTATTATGTAGCCTGTTTATAGATTATCTGATTTGATACGATATTTTTTAGGGAAAAACTAAGCTTGATGTTTTTCGAAATTATTTGGAAAAAAGTATTTTTTTTTTTATGTTTATCTTTATAAGGTTTCAGAACACAAGGCTGGCCGCTACGCAAGAAAAAAATTAGCCTTTGTTCCACGAGGTTAGTATGAGGAACGAGTTGACTGGTTTAAATGACCCTTCAACTCTTAGGAGCGAACGAACGACCGAGCTCTAATTTCTCCTTACAATACTGAACACCTTTATAGGTCATGAGAATAATGGAAGCGATCCCCAAATTAAGAAGCTCCTGATTATCAAGCACATCCTCCTTCACATGAACGTAGAAAATGTAGAGAGAACACTGGGGAGAGCTTTGAATATTAATTTTAGGGTAGGAAGGGTTAATTGCCAACTGAAGACGAGAAAGGGGGGAAGTTTCGCTGCATTGTTTTTTTTTTCTTCTTTTTTCGAAAAGCAATTACACCTCAGACTGAATCTTTGTTTACACTTAGTAAAAGACAGCCTTATCACGTTAAATTAAAAAAGAATTCGCATCTACGATTGGAATGTACCTTTCACTTATCTTACCAATCAAAATTAGCCACAGTAGCCAAAACGTGAGAATGAGGGTGGAAAACTCGAACTGGAAATGAAATGTGAATTAAATATTATAAAAACGATAAAATAAGAAACAATTTACCATGTAAGAGCACATGTAATGTTTTGGCAACAGCTTGGAGTTATTCCCGATTTATCAGAATTAGAGGCGCACTAGGATTCCAAAGAGTTTTTAATTGTATAGATTTTGTTTGATTCAAGGACTACACAAGTGTATCAAATAGGCAGTAGCGAACACTCATTGTTTAGTTGGCCAAGTTAACTTGTCAACTCAAGTTTTGGTCTCTTTGCTTCACTTTCTGTGGTCGGTTCAACGGTGGAGCTGTCCATTTTAGTATGACCGTTGTCCTGATGTTTACTCTTGTTATTTTTCTTTTCTATTCGTTCCTCTTTTCTTGCCAAGTACTCCGTTAAATTGTCGACCTCTTTCTTTCTTAGCGTATCCAGTTTACGCTCCTGATTTAAACTACCTGCGTGGGCAAATGTGGGGGGTCAGTTCCGGATCATAAAACTCACACCATGATTGGACAAGGGGGCGGTTACGCCCAACAAAGCCTTGCGTTATTGAATAAGAAACCCTTTATCACGATGACATTAAACAATTTAATTTGTGTCGCAGAGATCCAGGATTGCATCGTTTAACCCCAACTTCGCAATCTGATAGGTCGAAAACTTACTTTACTCTCTCAACCAATTAGAGAGACAACCCGTGATACGTGCACGCTCGTTTTGCCACGCTTTTGGCCGATTTTAGTTCAAGTTTTCAATGGCTTCTTGTGATATTGATCACTGATCTGAAAGGCCTTTGTGATAACTTACTTGGGTTTTGCTAGAATTTTGCCGATATCTTAGAAAATAAACCACGAGTGATAAATAAGTTTATTCAATAATTAATCATAAAAAAAAAACAACAACAACAACAAAAACAATTAAAGTGGTAGAATCCTGTTCAACTCCCTCTCTCTCATTCTTGTGTTTATTTTAAAAAAATCCTTTGTAAGAGCGAGGCTAGATTTCAGGTGCCCGTGATACGGAATCACGGATAAAATTCTTCCAAAAAAAAAAGCTAGAGGCAGTCAAGGTCCGGTCTTAAAGCCCCTTTTCTTTTCTCATGCATTTAAGCGTAAATTGCTTTCAATAAATGAGATGCAAGATGTTCACAAGCAAACCATAAGTTCATTGATTCCAGTACCGTGTAAATGCGGCCAAGTTGTAGTTGGGTCAAACGCCAACAACATAGGGCTAAGAATATGAAAGTGATCTTCGCAGTAATAAACACCACTTGAGCAGTGCTAACATGGGGCTAACTTTAGCCATAGTGTTAATTACTTCGTGAAATATGTACAGTTTTAACAGCCCGAAACTACAGTTTCAATAAGTAATGTAAGAATTACCTTTTAAATAGTTCCAGTCGCTAACTGAGGACAGGAGCGGTGTAAAATCCGACACCAGTTTTACGTACTACGAGGGGAAAAAAACAATTTTTTAATGTTATAAGATATCACACTTGCAAGAAATAGTAAATGAAAAGGCTATTCAGACCTATTCAAAACCTCAACTTTTTAGCAAGAGTAAGTGTAAAGTCTCAGATTAAAAAAAAGACCACTTTTCTTGCATATAGAAAAAAACAAATTACTAAAAAAAGAACTGCGCTCTTGGCCCCATTTGGTTTTTAGAACTCGAAAGTAGATTTAAAGCCGTTCCACGTGATTAGAATTCTTTTTCAACATCCGCCAGACACACAATAGACGTAAGTATCTTGCTGACCCAGTCTGCTTGGTCGTTTCTGTAAGTTACGGATTCTCGTTCTTTTCATCTTTGATTTATGGGTCATCAATGAAAAGACAAAATATCTGTACCTTACGGTAAGGACCTCGAGCTTGGTCAGTGAGAGGTATATATTGTGCAGTTTCCTTCAGGTTAATGGAAGACCACGTTAATGCAAACTCCATTAAGATAGTAATTTCTCACGTATGTCGTTGGTCAAAGTTTGATTTCTGACTCCTTGTTTCACCTAACTAGTAACGTAACACCATTCTTGTAACGAATATATGAAAATGTTAACAGAAAGATTCACCATGGAGAGAAAACCAGTTGAAGTCATTTTCAATTGAGTGTCGAAAGTAATCCGATTTGCTTTGCCTTGCTCTGTGATTGGTCCGGAAAACTCGCGCAAAATCAGATGCAAAACTAAAACCAATCACGACTTGGTCGCCCGCGTCTTAGGCGGCTTGCTTCTTTATTTTGAGTTCTCATTGGCTACTTGCAATACTTTCCTTAATCTGAAAGGTCATTGTAGTTTCTTTGGTTTTGGCTTTACGACACTCAATCGAAAAGCGCTCTGAAATCAATTTCTGTATCACAAACCGTTAAGTCTGGTGAATGTCCGCTAGGTTCAAAAACCAACACAGGCTCCTCAGGGTAGGGCTGCACACACCAGAGTCTACCCTCTGGGTCAAATACTGCACTCCAGGGGGGCACATTTGCTTCTAAGGAAGGGAGGGTTATAACCTCCTTTTGACTTGCATGGTATAAAGAAATGATTTTACATCTGCAAGGGAAAGAACTTAGGTAAACACTTCGTTTCTGATCCTTTCCATAATTATCATGATAATGATATGAGTAATCCTCCAAGCTAAATCTAATAGATTTCAGAGGGAAATTGAAACAGGTATACCTTTCTATAATAGCACACACCACTGAGTTTCTGCAACAGCAAGTTAAGGATGAAACAATTGGACCACAGTGCTGATCATCCTGTGGAGAAGGGTCAGCAAAACTGGTTAGTTAATGAAGAAAGGCCTCAAAATTAATAACTACATGAACAAATAACTAAATACAAAAGGGAAAACAAATATAATTGAGATGAAGCGCATCCAAAAAGTAAATACCAAACTAAATTGGAACTTGGACAATTGGAAAGGAGGAGAACTTTGATAAAAATCCTCAGGGCAAGAATGAACCCAATACACACTTGATGCCAGGTGAGATCATCACACTATCATGGTACCCTACAATTATTGAAAAACAAGTCAGGGTTACAATGCAAGGAAACTACCTCAGGGTTTTCCTCTTTGATGTCTTCTGTTGAGTAATCTATCTTTTTTGAAGCTATATCTTTGCCTGAATCAGGATTCCAGAATGTAACAGTCCCATCCTTGCATAAAGAAATTAAGCACATATAAATAAAAATTAAAAAAAACAAGTTCCATCCTAAACGAGTAGTAAGTTTGAGCATTAGAAGGACCATGTAACATAAAGTGATATATAATAAGCCCAGAAACTATTGCAATTATACACTTGTGACAAAGTGAAAGAAGAAATTTTTCAAACAGAAATTGACTCCAAAAAAACTGCAGGTCAAGTGTTGACAAAATTTCTTGATGAGCTGCTATCATTATTATCCAATACTCTACCTTCCCTATGAAGAGAGATCAGATACAACTAAGATTAACAAAGTTAAACAAAACATGAGCACCTACCCCTCCACCTGACACAAGAATGTTTTGACTTCCTGATAACAGAGCTAAACAGCTAACAAAACTGCAGAGACATAAAGGATAACAATTTGTTTTGGTAATTTCCATTATAAAATGAAACTGAACTTGTGATCATTCGGGTCATTCAATTCTGAGACAAATATTTTCCTTCTGATTTCCAGTGTTGTTATTAAGAGCTCATAGAAGGCAGAAACCCACTAGCTATCAGACCATTTTGCGCTGGCTACTGAGTGTGAATTATGATCAAAGATAGAAATTAAGTATTTTTGAACTGATGTTAAGATTGATGTCTAGGCAAAAAAAGTTACTCAAATATGTTCCAGAATGCCAGAAACCACATCTTAGAGAGTTTAAAATTTCAAAATTTTCCAGAGGAGCAATTACAAACAGAGCTCCCTAGAAGGGAATTCTACTTTGTATGCCTACTCAGTTCAGAGCATACATCTGTGTTTCCATTTTCTATAAAATGGATTAAAAACTTTGGGGCAGTCAATTGTCATTAATTCTATGCAAGACCTATTATCTACATGTACATTATTTAGAAGTGATTAATAAACTTACTCTAAATGTCCAAGACAAAATGAATGGATGCTATAAGAGTTTGGGAAACAACTAACTCGTATCTTCTCATCTCTATCTGATGTAATTAAAAACTTGTCATCTTCAGTAAGAACCTTGAAATATAAAAAATAATTGGTGATAAAAAATAGATTAAAATATATAAAAGAAGAATCAAGCACATTCTAAAAAGAAAATTAATAGAGACAAGTTGGTGTACTGCCCATGGTCAGCAAAGTGGACGCCATTTTGGCTAAAAGGAACAAAAATTAAAAGAAAAGACTACATATGAAGGAACCCTGCAAGCACATACAGATCTATAGAAATAGCTGGAAGTGACTTAATAGAAAGAAAATTAAAAGCACAGGCAATGCATATAGTGGAACTCTGTAAGCACATGGAGATAGAAATAGGTGGAAGTGACTTAAACAGATCGATAGAGAAGACATCATTCTCCAGAACTGATTTCCCTGTAGTTAATGCTTAAAAGTTATAAATTAAGTGGCAATAGAAACAGGTTTTCTTTGTATCCCTACTCTTTAAGAAAGTAGGGGGAGGGAGGGGAAGGTGCTTATTAGAGGGAGGTGGTGGCCTGGTTGATATTGTGATCTAGGGGGCGGGTGTTGACTTGGGGGAGGGTGCTAATTACAACATTGGCACTTATTTGAGAAAATACAGTAGACAGGTATGTAGCCCTAACTCAGTTGTTGTGTCAAGTTCCTTTTTTCATCCATTCCTTTCTTTTATGTCCCTCTCTTTTTTTATTGATTTTCCACTGATAACATCACTTATGTTATTTACAACACTGATGTACTTATTTAGTACTCCTCATGGGGATTTAGAATTTTTCTTTGTCCTGCACTCATGACAAGACCTATCACACCATTTATTAAAATTATTTTATGTTCAAAAACTCCCTCAGAAATTTTATCTCAAATCTAAATATTAGAACTTGGTACCTTACCATGTCTAAAATCATAGAAACATGTCCCAAGAGTAGTTCTTTTTCTTTGTCAACATCATGTACAGAAAACCTGGAAGGAGATTGAAGTAATTATCCATCAATAACTCACCTTGTAGACTTCAATAACCCTCTAGTCACACCAATTTTCACATTCAGATATCAAGTATATAGAATGTTCTCATTTTGACAGACCTGTAAACATCTCCTCCTTTGTTACTGACTATAATGCTGTCCTCTTTATTTGTAAATAATATAACTGTTGATCTTCTAATGACCTCTCTGAAATAGCAAATGGCAAAAAATTTAAAAGGCTCTTTAGAACTAACTCATGTTATGTCTTAATTCTTTGATTAAGTAGTGTCCTTTGCCCCTTTTCCAACTAATAACTGTCTGACTTTGAATGTGTTTTTGTCAAAAGGTACAATGTCTGGATAAGCAGCGATTACATGCAGGTTCTGGAACAATTAGGACTCCTCACCAAATATATTAACATTCTTGAGAAGAAATTTAAGCAAACATGTGTACTGGTGTCAGGGTGTAACAGGTTAACAGTACCTCTTGTTCAGCAGTTTCCAGTCACTTGTCTGCCAAATGAATAATTCTTTATATGGAGTACAAAGGGCAAACAACCCTCCAGACTTTGAAAAACAGCAAAGTACTCCATGTCCCAGTGTACTTGCATCTTCTGGTAAAGCTGACTGCTGTACACAATCAACAGCATAAGAAAACTTGCAAGTTCCATCTCTATGCAAAAAGGGAGAAACAGCAACTACTGTTACTTTCCAAACGACGTGTACTTTTCAAGTTAATTTAAGGAAACATGCTAAATTACAATCAAGTAGGGATCAGTCCCAGATCAATCTCGGGAAGTCCCAAAAGGATTACGCGTGTGATTTTCCCCCCCCCCCCTCCTTTTAAAAAGTAAAAGTGAAAAGTGATTATGATATGATAAAACAACCTAACATACCCACAAATTTAAATTGAAACTATTGCAGGACCTGGCCTCTCTCTTTCGAAAAGTTTCTCTCAAAGTTCTTGTGATACATCATACTTTCAAACAAACTGGAAAGCAGTTGATGATTCCGCACTTAAAGCTGTAAAGTGTTCAAAAACATCCAGAGCTCAAAAGTGTCCTAATCACAATTGCACGTGCAAGCTGTGCGACACGACCATGCTCAGGGTGGTTTGAATTCCGAACGATGCACCACTGTCAATTTACTTTTACCCTTTTCCGTATTTACATCAATATTTTCGTTATCTCTCACCTTACATCCAGAACTTTAGCTCCAGTATTGCAAACAACGGCGAGAAAATTACCACCAAAACTCCATATCAAATCCGCCATGTTGAATCTAAAATGTTTTGAGACAATACAATACCCATACATGAAAAAGGACTAACCCGGATGGTAATGTGATGATCGCCGCCATCTTGAGCTAGAGAGAAAGTGTGTTAGTTGTCTTGTCTTACCAGGTCTTTTTCTCAAACACAGCATGTCTGACAGCGACGATTCACAATATTCGGATGAGGTACGAGGCTTTTATTTTTTCCTCTACTATTTTATGTATATATTACCTCTTAGTTTATTTGTGTGCAGCAATTTTATTGTTCTAAAATTTCAAACCTGTGTAGGAACTTTCTGGTGTACGTGAGTAGTTTGCACAAATTATAAGGGAAAGAAACTCTCCAAATATTTTAATAAAATAAGTCGTAGAGGTTATTTGTTAATGCAGCTTCACATTTCTTTTCTCTATTTTGCTCCGGGTGCCACTAAATATGTTAAATTTTACATCGAATCGCGATTTAGCATGTACGTGTTACCACATTCGAATTAGTCCTGTTTATTACACATGAAAAGCTTGAGTTGCGAGCTGTACGCAGCTTTCTTAGGTTACTTTTTTGTTAAAAATTTCTGTGGTAAAGGTGGTCATTTTTACCTTATCAGTCGGTATATTCCGTAGTTCCAATAGCATTTGGCACGAATGGGTATTTTTCTAATGGCAAACGGTTAGTTTTGAACGAGAGTCTCCTCTTCCCTGGGAGGTCTGAGCTCTCCAGGCAATTTGGTTAGAAGGGCTAACGCTCAAATTGTCAGCCTTTAAACTCTTGTTTTCAACTCAGTTGTTAACACTAAATTATTTGTTAATGGTGTTGTGTAGGAAGGCGAGGATATCACTAGGGAAGAGGATGATGAAGAAGTTGATGATGACGAAGAAGACGATGAAGAGGATTACGATGAAGATGATGAGCTTTATGATGACAGACAGAGAAAGAAGAAAAGGCGTCATAATGCTGGGTTTATCATAGATGAAGCAGGTTTGCTATTTTACAAGGCTAATTCTTCAACACAATGGGGAAAAATAAATTTTTGTGATATTTACCTAAATGATTATTTTTTGCTCTTTTAGATGTTGATGATGATTATGATGAAGATGTTGAACCTGAAGATGGATACACAGATTTAATTGAAAGTCAGTTTTGTTAAATGTTGTCAGAATGTGTTTCTCCTATCACCACTCCCTGGGTTTTGATTCTTAGACCAGGTTCCATTGTTCAAAGGGCAGACGATCAATCCAACAACGTTAACAAAATGTGCTGCGCTATCCACAGGGTGAACAGTCATCTCGCCACCAGGAAGAGCATGCTAGTGTAAATCTGCTGGCGAGGTGACAGTGGATAGTGTTATCTGTCTTTTGAACAACCAGGAAAAAGTGTCTCTAAGGAGTTGTTGTTAGATCTTGTTAGTACTATGAAAGTTTCTCTTCGAATTCCTTGGTTTTCCTCTTTATTTTATAAAACTAAGCCCCTGAATTTAATTGCACACAGAGTTAATGGACAAAGAGTCACTCCATGCATATGCCAAGAAAGAATCATAATCACAAAGTTATAGTAGCAGATTTTGTTTGCTCACACTGTAAAGTGTTGGACTTCTGTGTGGGAGATCAAGGGTTCAAAGTGTAGCAACACTCAGGGTCTAAAAATGGTTAAACATTCAAGTCTTCTCAGATAAGGACAATAAGCTGTAAGCCCCATCTCATCTTTCCTGTGTTGGTTAGCGGGGGATGCTAAAGAACCCAGGAACTGCATGCAAAGAGTAGGGAATGTAGACCCCAATGTTGTTGTCTGACTTTGTTATTGTTTATACAAGCCCTCATTCACACCAGCTTTAAGCTGAACTGGGTCCCCCTGTCTAAATATCACAAATACATACAAATACATGTGATTAAAATGAATTGCATCTTTCTTTTTCATGCTTTTGACATGTTTATTTTTACATTTTGTGAAACTTTTTCATTGAATAAAAATGCTGTTTTGACTTTCCTCCAAATAATCCAATGTTCTTAATCATTTTTGATATTTTTTTTGTAGATGATATAGGTGATGAAGCAATTGGTGATGATTTATCGGTATGAAAAATGTGACCAACTGATTGTATAATGTTGATCTTGTATTTCAATTCCAAAAAGAACATAATATAATGTTATGCCTTAGTCACAGAACATACACACATAAATTTTGTAGTAACAATCTCCCTTCTTAGTAAATTACTCTTATGTCATGAACTGATGACTGTCTCATTTGAGATGAAGTACAAAATAATTTTGACCTTGAGAAGGTTCTCATTGCAGACAACCATACTAAAATATGCAAATATTTTTTAGATGTTCTTGTATGTGTCTTTTTATGATATGAATTCAAATTCAATAACAACTTTTTTGTCTGTGTCTTAAGGGTGCCAGACGTTTACAGCAGATGCTTGGGTATGTAACAAACATAGCAGCATAACATAATGATTCATAAAATGTCTTTTAATAGCATACCACTTCTTCTCTATGGCTGTTCTTTTCCAAACTGATATTGTGCTTGTATTATGGGACTGACTGTGAAAAGGAGAGGGGATACTTTTTGTGGAGAGGTGACTGTCACTTTTAAACTTCTATTTTCATTTTGGTTGTAAAGTGACTTCTTTCATCTAAAATGACAGTTAATTTTCCTCTGATGAAGGGCTGACTCTCAAAACATCAGCGTTGAAACTCTATGGTGGCCAATTTGCATTTATCAACTCTGTTGATGAAACACAACTATCCAGTTAATTTTGTTGCAGAGTGTAGTTTCCAGCATGCCAGAAATATCCCAATTTCCATAGTTATGAGGTGCCAGTCAATGTATACATGTACATTTAGTAGCAATCACAATTAAGTCAATGTCTGTGCACTAGATCTGAACTCCATTTTCATAACAAACCACTTTTCTTAGGTGTTAACAACTACTGGTGTCTAACAAACAACTTATTCCTTTTCCTTTTTCTCTTGATTAGAGACAAAAATGCTGAAGAATTGGAGGCTTATTACAAGAAGAAGTTTGCTGAGACATCTGAAAGGTTGATACAAAACATTGCTTGAACTTTACAGTGATATTACAAATTTCATCTTTTTTTCATGATAATACTTGAGGGCAGAAAAAATCTCATTTTAGTTCTGGTCAGGTTTTGCATCAATATGTAGTCATTCTCAAGCTAAAGGAAGTTGAATTATTTTATACTTAACTCCACAGATATAGAGATGACTATGAACTGCAGCCAGAGATTCAACAGCAAAGTCTTCTCCCTGGTGTCAAGTAAGATACTGAGCTAAGCTCAGTAATGCTCTCTTTTTCTGTTTTTGTTTCTGTGGTTGTTCTCTTGCTTGGTACAGAGATATTTATAAATAGCAATTTTATTTTTCCTTCTTGATTGTAATTTCACAGAGACCCAAATTTGTGGACTGTGAAATGCAAGGTGAGGTTAAAAAGGCAACATTGAGCAGAATAGGTCGACACTTCTGAACTCTTTAAATCATAACATCCAATTAGTAATTCTCCCCTCTTGGTACATACATTTCTTTTGGATCAGTCTGAATTATTTGGTGGTATGGTAAGGTATTACAATGTAGCTGATAGCATTGTCTCTTCTCATAACCAGTGTAAAGGATGATGATAAGAAATCATAAGGAGAAATTACCTATTAAACAGGTTGAAGAGTTAAAGGTTCAATACTTTTTTGTGCTTGGGCAAGACACTCTACTCTTGCACTGCCTCATTTTACCCAGGAGTAAGAATTTATACCAAACAAAATTTGATGATGGGAAGGGGGTAACCTGTTATTGAGTGGTATCCCATCTAAGGGGTAGTAATAGTCTTAGTCACTTCATGCTAAGTTCTGGCTGTATGGGCCAATAAAGACTCTACTGGCCCAGTGCAGATTGTTGTACCTCTCCACCCATTACAATGAATGGATACTAGCTAGCTTTCAGAGAAACCTGATAGATAATCTTAGGGTAATCTGTGATGGACTTTCTTGAATTGTGTTGTAGTGGTAGGGATAAGCTACAGCATTTATTTAAGCTAGTCTTTTATGTATACTCTACCATACTTAAATTGTAATACAACCTCAAATGTAACATTGACTGCTTTGAATGTGTGATCTAGATTGGAGAGGAGAAGGCAACAGTCATTGGCCTGATGCGAAAAGCCATTGCTCAGCAATTCACTGATGAAGTAAGTAGATACAGTAAGCACAATTTCACAAGCACAATTTCAAAAGCACAAATTTTCCTCAGCTGCTTGGAGTTGACTAGTACTTGCGGCTCACTTCTGAACTAGCCAATCAGTACATACAAAAAGCATTATTCACCTTTGTAGTTCATTTGTATATATAAATATTGATTATTTCAACTTGTCTTTGAAAACAGCCTCTGCAGATCAAGTCAGCTGTGGCTGTAGAGGGACTGAAGGGGTATATCTATATTGAAGCTTACAAACAGACTCATGTCAAACAGGTAATGTATATGGAGATGTTAAAAATGGAACAGTTGATTATCAAAATAATATTACTGTGTGCCATGTCAACTCACTACAGTGTACAACTGCTTCTTGTTTATAGGCTATAGAAGGGTTTGGTACTCTGCGACTTGGTAAGTGGCAGCAAATGATGGTACCAATTCGTGAAATGACTGATGTGATGAGGGTTGTTAAAGAAGTCGTGTCAGTTAAACCAAGACAATGGGTTCGATTGAAGAGAGGAATCTATAAGGATGATCTTGCTCAGGTAAACAGACCAAAAGAAAGTTATGTAGCAGCTATTGAGAGTTGAAAACATTGAAATAGAATTGATATTTGACATGTGCATTGTATGCTTCAAAACAAAGTCAGTGAATTACAAGGAATGGATGGAGTTAAATTATTAGGGCAAGGTAAGTCCTAAAAAGGGCAGTTTTTTGTGAGGCTTTTTAGAGTCATTTTAAGAGTGAAGTGATTCAAGGTTTGAAAGAGAGTAAAACCTAAGGTTTCTACTGTGGTATTTAAGTTTTCGTGAGGTTTCCTAAAGTCTGTCATACTCTAATTTCTGATCTCTGCTAATTTCATCAGGTGGATTTTGTGAATACAGCAAGAAATCAGGTGAGGCTTTAAACTAAGTGGTGTTTTGATGATTACAATGATGCAATTATTCATCCTGCCATTCCAATCAGTCTCCTATCTCTTGGTTTTCTCCAAATGCTTCTCGTCAAGGTGCATTTGATCCAAGTTCAGACTACACCTTTTGATGGAATCACTGATGTATTGACTGCCATCCAGTTTAAATGTTTGTCTATTTAGTACCTCCAGGTATAATGCTACCAAAGGATACCAATAAAGAATTACTAAACTTCATGTGAAATTAGATTCTTACATTACATATACTGTTCATTTAAGGTGACACTGAAGATGATTCCTAGAATAGACTACACAAGAATGAGAGGATTAGCTAAATCAGCTGAGGTACTGTAAGTTACATGTAACATTTTGGCTGGAAAACCTTTAGTAATTGGAAATAAAAACAAGTAACAGCTTTCAAATAGGAGTATAAAAAATGAATATCAATTGTAAAGTTTTCTCATTTGTTATGGATTAGGAGGGAAGGGAAGGGCTTAGCCAAGAGGGTTAACAGGCTACAAAATCAAAGCTCCATAGGAGGCTACTCTGACAGGGAGCTTACTTATTACTGCTTTCTGTTTTAACTGTGTTTATGGTAATTTATTATATCTATCAGTTAGTATGTGCTCGATGATTGGTAAATTTAGCACGCTATATTTCACTATATGGTCCACTAAACTTAAATGTTTTTGTGGATGGAACCCAGAGATAAAATGAAAATATTGCTAACCTTGTTTCCATGGTCTGTACTCTAAGTTATTCAACCTTGTTTTTCCCACTCAGATTTATGATCTGAGTGTTTCATTCTTGGGCGATATATCCAAGCCAAATACACCTGGTCTATAACTTACAGTTTAGACCTCAAACTTGGTTAGTAAGAGATATTTATATGAACATTTGTAGGAATAGTTGCATGGGTAATCCCTGAATCATGCATACTGTGTACCCTCTCATCAAAGGAAAGGCTTTTTCCTTTACCTCCTTATTTTCATCTTACAATTTTGTGTCAATTCAAAATTTCTAAAGGATGCTGCAGAAAAGAGAAAAAGGAAAAGGAAGCCACCACAAAAGTTATTTGATGCTGATGCCATAAGGTTAATTTTTGTTAGTTATAAACTCTTCATTTAAATTACTGATTTTTTAGTACACTATACCTTAATATTTTACAAGCTCTCTTGGTAGATTGATTCATCTTTCTTATCCATCTGATTACAATCAGATATAGACCTAAATAGGGTAACACGACAGTAAAAGCAGCCATGGCCCTGGCTAAATAATCTCAGACAATAATCTCAATCAAACAAAACACCAATAACACCCCTTATTGGCAGAAGGCAACCTAAGAGGAAATTTGTTAAAACTTTTTGATCTACAGTAAGAACAAAATTGTTTCTAATCATGTTTGCTGTCTCATGCAGGGGTATTGGTGGTGACATTGGACAGGATGGTGACTTCATGATCTTTGAAGGCAGTCGATATCGTGGTGGCTTCATGTACAAGACACTGGCCATGTCAGCTATTGTAAGCTTTTTTAAACATTAAGTGTAACAAAGCTTTATTCTTGAAGGTTCATGCACCAGAAACTTAGGGACATAAAAAAACTATCTAACAGTTAAGACACTGAAGGCTTTTTACTGGAGGAACCGTCCATACTGAAAGTTGATGATGTAAATTGGCCACCATAAAGAATTTCTTAAGTGGTCAAAGGGCTTAGGCTCAAGAATGTCAGCTTAAGAATCTCTTCACATCTTCAGCAGCAGGAATTGATGGTTACAGTCAGAGCAGTTTTTTAAGTTGTAAGAGTCTGTTGTAATTCCTTTGGTAAGGGTAAATTAATTGAAAATGTTTGTCTGTTTATCAGGTTGTAGAGGGCATTAAACCCACTCTGTTAGAGCTTCAGAAATTTGAAACAGCACCTGAAGATGTGGAACTGGAAGGTAACAATTGTAGATCAGTTGCTGTTTGTATTGGTGATGGTGACAAAATCAAATGTACATTTTCCTTTCTGTACGTGTGTTTCACTACAAATCATATGAAATCCTCAAAAGGTCTGATGCTCTGTCCTTATGCAGAGAGGAATGATTGAAGTTAATTTTCAACAAAAAGTTAGAATCTACTTTACTTGATCTCCAATGGGACATCATAACAGTGATGCAAAGAAGTTTTGTATATTCCTTGAAACAGCTAGCTTAGAAATCATATGTAGATGCCAGCTCACTTTGTAACACCTTACAGGGAGTGTATGTAGTGTTTTCCATTCAACAAATAGATTCCATGGTGCCATGCTTCTGTGTAGTAGCAGATCACAGATGACACCAAAATGTGGTAAAAACAAAAAAAATTGGCAGAGAAGGTTCTTATCACATTTTGCCATCTTCTGTGGTTTCTTACTGAACTGACACAGGACACCATGAAATCTATTTGTTTTATTATTAGCCAAGTCGTTCATGGTAATGTCATCTATGTGTCAGCCCCCAAAAAATCATAAGAAATAACCAATCAAAGTGCATGTATAGGTTAGCTTATTGTATAAAGTTATTTTTTTGTAGTACCAAAAGGTTCAAGGGAAGGTTCAGATGAGGAAAGACATACTTTTGTGACTGGTGATGTGGTTGAAGTTGCTGAAGGGGATTTGGCAAATTTAAAAGGCACAGTTCTTAGCATTGACGGAAACAAAATCACCATAATGCCAAAACATGAGGATCTAAAGGTTTGCACATGTAGATCTAGCACTTGCTTCTAATTTTTTAAATGTACTGCTATGTTTTGAGTTCATGTTTGTAATTGAGTCGAAGGAAAGGGAATTCGTGTCAATGATTCTAGAGTTATCTTAAAATGCATCTTATTTGATGGCATACTTGATTCTAATAGTTTCTTTCTCTCTCTTTTGTTTGTCTGACAAAGAGCCAGGTGCAGAATACAATGAGTGGCAAACATTTTGTCATGCTTCACTAATTTTGAACATTTTTTTACAACTTACCTTTATCTCCCCTCTCCCCCTTTTCAATGACACGTGTTGTTCACAAAACGGTGACCAGTTTCTTGAAACATTGTTTGGGGGAAAGGGGGACTTTCAAGGAACTTATGAAGGGGAATTATGTGATTTCTGTTGGTTTTGTTGAGTGGAGGGTTGTTGACCACTAACAGAGGCAGGGCAATGCCTTGACTACTTTTTCTACTCATTGTTATGGTCACTAAATACTCCCCTTTTCTGTGGTGAAGCACAACATTTGAAAAAACTTCAAATCAACCTGTTTCTTCTGACTCCCCTCCCCCTCCTCCCTTTATGTAAGTAATGACTGATCCTTAAATAGTTTTAAATGAACTCTTCAACAGCCTGTGTGGAATTTTAATCAAGTCGAATAGAATAATAACTGGAGCTCTTGTTTAAGGCGTGGACAAATACTTGCATCTCTCTGAAACTTATCACTTCATACATCAACTTCGAGAATTCCAGCAACTTATTACAGCTGTTATTTCGTTTCACCTCTTATCTTTCAGGATCCATTAGAATTCCAGGCACAAGAACTGCAAAAACACTTCAAGATGGGTGATCATGTCAAGGTTATAGGTGGTCGGTATGAAGGGGACACTGGTCTGATTGTTAGAGTGGAAGATAATATGGTGGTACTTTTTGCAGATCTAACAATGCATGAGGTAGGTATGCAGCTTAGTTAGCCCTTACACTTACAACATCCGAATAGCTACTATTCAGTTGTCAAAATTGTTGAAACATTTCCCTCCTTTTCCCCTCGTCAGTGAAGGTCTGAGGAAAATCGGAGCAGCCGAAGAAATGTAGCATTACGAGGGAAGCGGAGTGTTTCGAGAAAATCTAACGAGTGTTGTACATGTAGTCTCCCCTCAGCTGCTTTAGGGTATTTAACTTGTTGCTGGCAGTTTGTGTGCGTTTCAAAGATGGGGTCGGAATCAGAGAAACTTTCCTTTTTTTGTCGGACAGGTCCAACCGAGAAAAGTGGTCCACCTCGAAAGGGGGAACGGTTTTTGCTACTTTTTCGGTTGGACCGAACCGATCTATTCAGTTTTAGACCGAAATTTTGGTTTGAGCCCTTGGTGACCATCCCCTTGACATATAAGTCTGTGGAGTGACTTTTCAGCCACTTAAAATCTTAATCCTATAAATGTGGAGCTTAAAATATTGAAATGCTGTGGTCTCTGTTTACATTGTAGCTCAAAGTTTTACCCAAAGATCTTCAGCTATGTACAGAAAGGAGCAGTGGAGTGGACTCCATGGGACAACATCAGTGGGGAGACATGGTCCAATTGGAGTAAGTTTGCGTTCAAACCAAACTTAGACAAACCTTTGTTCTCTTTAATTTTTTGTTAACGTATTGATGATGAATGCATTTTCAAATGTTGAGGCTTCTTTTTTTTCCTTTGTAGTCCTCAGACAGTGGGAGTTATCATTCGTCTTGACAGGGACATGTTTTCAGTGTTGAATCAGCATGGAAAAGTAAGTTTTAAGATCGCATTTTTATGGCCAACTCGTGTCTACGTTTACTCACCTTTATGTGTCGTATCCGAGCGGAAATTGCTGAGGCAAGTCTCAACAAACTGGCCTGACAAAAAAGGTTGTCCAAAGTAAATCGGACGATCTGAGTTGGTAGCATGTTGTATGGTTTTCAACTATCAGGGCTCCAAGCTCCACTTTTTTTCCTCAGAGTCGCCAGTTAGCGACCTAAAATTTTGATATGGAGGCTAAAATATTATTTCAGTCGCCAGAAAAAAATAAAAGACATTTTGCGCTATGTTACATGACATACTAAACTGCAAGCCACACCGCTTGTGTATCGATGAGGATGACATGCGTTTCGGAAATTCACTCATCATCCCAAGGCTCAATACTTAGGTCACAGAGGCAAAAAGAGAACTTTAGTTTTTCTTGTAGAATGAAACGATGAAGCATGAGTAATGTTTTTTTTAATGGAAATATTTACCTCTCTTGGCTTCAGACCATAGAATACCAAATTGTGAAAGGGTTACAACATACTTCATGGCCGCTAACTCACGTCGACAAATTGGAGCCTTGTATAACAAATCTAGTTGCCAGGTTAATCATATGAGAAAAATGTCCTTCGCTGCTCCCAATTTTTAGGTTATTCAAGTAAAGCACCAGGCAGTGGGAAGAAGAAGAGAAAACAAAAACGCTGTAGCATTGGATTCTGAACAGGTAAACACTAAGTCATGTTGTAAAGACATTTCAGAAAAACCAAACTAAAAGTACTTTTATCATGTAGCTTGTTACAACAATTGCAATCATCATGACAACCAGTACTTCAATGTTATCAGCAGGTGTACTCGTCGTGTAAGAATAATGAGACAGACTATGTGCTTTCTGCGGAGAGTGTCATTTTTCTCGCGCTACTTTGTAGTTTCCCATGTAAAGAAAAGTTAGGTGTTGTTTTAGGCGCTAAATGCTAAAGAGACAATGGCACGGCCTTAAGCGCGGGTAGAGGGGAGCTTTTATCAGTATACATTATGGTATTTGCTCTTATAGGCGATAATTAAATATATATTATTTTTGTTTTCTTATTTCTCTAGAACACTGTTCAAGTCCGAGACATAGTGAAAGTCACTGAAGGTCCGCATGCTGTAAGTAACCAACATTTACCTGATATTTGAGTATTATACTCGATACTTTCCCTGAACAGGAAGGCTTAAGGCTTATCTCTCAATATAAAATCTTAATTTTCTTTTCAGGGTCTGCAAGGAGAGATCAAACATCTTTACCGCAGTTTTGCCTTTTTATCCTCCAAGATGGTCATTGAGAACGGTGGAGTCATTGTATGCAGGACGAAACATCTTGTACTGGCAGGGGGTGGAAAGGTAATAACTTGTCTCACGCAGCGTGCGGCGTAATCGTGGGAACTTGAATAGCATTAAGAGAGATATTTGTGAGAGAAAGGGCCAGGATGAGAAAAAGGAAAGAGATGAAATGGAAATTTCCAATCATTTTTTATGTCCTTACCTTTATCCTAGGCGGCTTCAAATACGTTAGGAATCAGTGGATTTGCTCCAGCTTCACCACGAATAACGAGTCCCGCCAGAGAAGGAGGTGAGTGTTCATATACACTCTATGTCTCTTTTTGAGTTAGAAGTGCATCTGATGGAGAGCATTTCGATTGATTAGTGGGAAAATAAAAACATAAGTTAATGCAACGGCAACGGCAACAAACCAAAAAAAATTTATCCCAGCGCCCTGCAAAGGACTCGAAGAAAGGAACAAACAAAAATTGCCTGGCAGGCGGAAAAATGCCATTGATCAAGTCCCGATAGATTCTAGTTTTGCATCAGATTGGCCTTGAGGGTAGTCTTAGAGGTTCCAATTAAAACCGGGTACCGCGGGCCTTTAAGACCTCTTACCGCCGTCTTTTTAGCTTGTGAGGCTAAAAAGGGCTCTCGTCTTTAGATTCTCTTTACGGCCCTTTTCCTGGGCACAGCTGCCTATTACACCATCGGCGGCCGCTTGTGGAAAAATTTATTGAAAGTCTTGGGTAATCTCCTTTGTAACTGTTTTCAGAGTTTTCAGAGGTGTTACAAAACTCTCTCTCCCCCTCCCCATCCCCCACCGGAAAAAAGGACGGCCTTTGAAGGACACTACCTTGAGGATGACGCAAGAATTAAAGAAATCCTGGATTCCAGTAGTCACTCAATTTTAAAAATATTGCTCTGATGACGAGCTTTGTTGTCTTAGCTGGCGGAGGTGGTGGTGGCGGCCGAGGTGGACATAGAGGAGGCATGGGTCGGGGACGTGGCCGCGGAGGTCGCGATATGTCGCTGATTTCCAAGACTGTTCGAATCTCACAAGGGCCATATAAAGGTAAATATCTTAGGCTGTTAAAAAGCGTGAATGTTCTGCTTTTTTAGCTTGATGATCGTTTGTTGAAGTTGAAATCATTTAAGGGCCCAGCGTGACTCGAATTTCTAAAACTGTGGTTGATTGAGCGCCGGAACATTCCCTAAGACAAGTTTTATTTAGTATCGTAAATGTCGAAGTTGGTTGAGCTCGTTTATTGCTTAACTCATTTACGAGTTCTCTGTAGCCCAGAGGTGGAGTATCAGCCGCAAAATTAGAAAGTCGCAAGTCCGAATCTTGGTGGAGACTCAGGTGTTTTCTTTGCTCCACGCACGAAATAACTGCCTAACATCATTCTATATTGGAAGACCTTGCTCAAAACGTACAACCTTTTTAAATCTATTTACACACAAACAGTGCTTTCAACATTGTTGATCCTAACTGATTAAGGTCGCCTACTAATGTGTATTAACCTTGTAAATGAACTAGTTCTTCACAGAGTTCTCTGGAACTCCGTTGTAGAGCATCGAAACGCTAGATCGAAGGGGTCAGATTCAATTTCTATTGGGAGACTCGTATTTTATATTTTTCCCGCGCACATGAGCAATGAGTTGAACATCTTCCTTTTTACTACAATACAGCAGCAGGCCGATTGGTGAAAAGAGCTAAATTCTAGTCAAATCTGGTTCTTGTTTGACGTTGAAAATAAGCTACATGATGAAATTGTATGTTTGCATGCAGGATATGTTGGTATCGTGAAAGATGCTACAGAAACTACTGCTCGGGTCGAGCTTCACAGCAGCGTAAAGACGATTTCTGTCGACAGAATGAGACTCACTATCGTTGGGTAAGCTAATAGCTTCATCATGGTTTGTGCATGTTCTTGCATCTTCGTCATTGACAATCCGTGTCCACCCTGGCCAATTTTGGCCAACTTTGGCCATCCTTGGCCATTCTTGGACATCATTACTCTCTTGTGGTTCACCGTAAATGTTCCAGTAAGTTTTTGGTGCTGAGCATTGGTAAAGAGATGGGCCTCAAAGAGGGGGGGATTGCTGAATCGTTTATGGTATTCGTGCTTTTTGGTGTTGAATTATTTAATTTTTGAAGGTTTCTGTCAAATTACCAATATGTTTCATCGACTAAGAGAAATACTCAGAAGTAGAGAATATCCAGAGGTAGCTTCCTTAAAATCGCCGACAATGCTTCAGTGAATATATGCTTATTTGTTTAATTTTTTGAGCTATGGCATTGGGCTAAATTGGAAATAGGATCCTTTTTCGGATCAGTCTGTACCGAAGTGATTCCTGTCTTTTGTCCAACATGTAGGGTAATTGTACTCAAACATCATGTCCATTGAAATTCTTAGACAAATGGTAACATGTCATCTTATTTCATTTCCAGTGGTCGACCCAGCCAAGGCAGCTCTGTTTACAAGAGTACGCCTATGTATGGCTCCCAAACACCAATGTACGGTGCCCAGACTCCCATGCACGGCTCACGGACGCCCATGTACGGTTCTCAGACCCCAACTCATGGAGATGGTATGAGACCTAATATATAAAGCTCAGACTTAATTTTTTTCCTCATTAGATACTAAGCCATACTACTGCTATTTCCCTATTCTCTGATTGTAGGAAGCCGCACGCCACATTATGGCTCAATGACGCCTTCGCACGATCCTTCGCGCACTCCGCTTCACGGAGGAGCTTGGGATCCCACGCAGCCAAATACTCCAGCGCGCAACGATGACTTCGATTACAATTTTGACACGTCTACCCCTTCCCCTGGGGTAAGTTTTGTCCTCACTCTTGTGTTTCCTCTTTTGAATGGGACTTTCTTGTACTTAACAGTGTGTTATTGATGACATTCTTTAGCGTTTTGCACCACATCTAATTGAAGGATAATTTTTTCGCCATGGGATGAACCAAGTTTCTGTCCCGCCATTTGCATTTCAGTCAAAATGAAAATGTGTTTACTTTCTCGTGATGCAGGTCTATGGAACTCCCAACCCAGCAACTCCAGGGGGATACGGTGGCCCGTATACTCCCAATACCCCTGGTGGTGGGATGTATGGCTCGGAGCCCACTTACTCTCCGTACACACAGACCCCATCTCCGGCCGGATTTGGTAATCCCATGACCCCTGGGAGTATTGCTCCAATATCACCGGCATTTAATCCACACACCCCTGGGGCCGGCATGGAAGAGTCGCACGCTGACTGGGTCACGACTGATATCGAAGTGCGAATTAATGAAAACCACGAGGTAAGTTTCAGTTTCACGCTTTGGTGTCAATTCAGTCAGTATTTCGATCAGTTAAAGGGAGTTCTCGTAGTCTCCACTTAAACTAACGTCTGTCAATAAAACCAATATCAGAAGGTCGTTTCAAGTGAAATTTAAAATTTAAGCAACGCCTTTTCTGCTTTGGGGATTATGTCAATGATTAATTTTTCGTTTCGTTTGCCTTTCTGGAGAATGGTGTGTTTGTGTTAGAAAAACAGGATAAGCGCCTACAGCCCCTCACAAAATATTACGCTAAAAAACCTACAAAAACAAAAATAAACATGGTTGACGCTCATTTGAATAAATTTTTGTGCCAAGGACCCTCAGTTGATGGACAAAAAAGGCGTGGTCAGAACTGTGTCAGGAAACACGTGCACCGTGTATCTGTACGACGAAAAACGGGACGTCAGTGTTTCAATTAACAATGTGGACCCTGGTCAACCAGCTAAGCAGGATAAGGTATTCTTCGATCATCTTTCATTTACTGATGCATACTGACTTGATGTGATAATCTGAAGGTAAAAATATCATAACTATTTTGCGTAGATCAGAGGTTTAGGTAGTCACGTCGTGAACTGTAGAGGCATACCTTGACAGAGACGCCCAATTCCTGACTTTTGCAAGACTCCTCAAATCACTTCCACTGATGTCTAAACACAGGTCCATCATCCACGGCCAACAGACTTCAACATAAACAAACAAATTTCCAATTCATTCTGTGGTAGATTTCTGCTCAGATTGTCTAGCTTGCATTGCTGGCGGTTTTAGGGCGCTCGATGAAAATTATGGCGGCACAATTCTGATATCGATTGGCGGAATTTTGAGGTTTTTCCATCTCACACCTATTGCGGCTTCGCCGCCTAACGTTTCAAATCACTTACAAAAGCGCCAGCTACACAGGCGAAGGTTATTCAATGACCAATGGGAGTCGTCTTCTGGACAAATTTAATTGAATGACATCGCGTGACCCTATCTCATTGTTTACAGGTGAAAGTCATCTTTGGAGACGATCGTGAACGCATAGGAACTCTGATCAACATCGACGACCCGGATGGGATTATTAAGATGGAACAGACAGAGCAGCTCAAGATTCTACCGCTCAAATTTTTAGCTAAAATTGGACAAACCGTTTGAGCTCAAATTTATAATCATTATGTTCATTGCACTTCCTTGTATTGTGAAATGGAGTTTAAAATGTGAAATCGAGTATACATTTAAACTTAGGCGATTGGGATCACACAGGAAAGGGAAGTCTGATAAACTGTAGGTTTATTTAGATGTCAGACCGAAATAACCGAATAAAGGTGTTTCTTTAATGAATACTTGTAATTCTTGTTGAACTATCTTAATAAAGTTGTCATTCAGTGAAAGGTTTATGTTGTTATTTATGCTTTGTTTGTCCGTGAGTTTGTTGGTAAGAATTTATTTCAAGTAAACTTACTTTTACAGACGTTACGATTCTTGCTCTGTGTTTTACTTCAGAGTAAGTCTAATTTATGTTACCTTTTGTGATAAGCCGCAGAACGGTTACAAGTAAGAGAACAATTTACACCCGGTAATGCAAATCAAGTTTGGAGTGAAACGGAGGAAAGGAGGATCGGAAGCCTTGGAGAGAAGGGGGCGAGGGATGGTAAAGCAGGGAATAAGAGCGGGAGTGTCTCCGTTTGATTCAGTTTTGGCGGGTGCCAAGTTGCTGTTTTAAATGTTCAAATTGGAATAAATTCTGTCTTCAGTAAAAAGTGAGAACAAATCCGAGAATTCTTCGCTGAATTCACAACAGCTTCACTTGTTTCTTGTCATTATATTTTTTTCCTTTCTTTCTTGAGCCGTTTGATTCAAGAATAACTTCAATAGATCGCATTTGTCAGGGTTTTTTCTTTAATTCAGCCATTGTTCTCTTCGACTCCTGATTGTCTCAGCATATATTGATTAAATTACTGGACCTTGAGATATTCATGTAGCTAGCTTAGTTCTCAAGGTGTTCAACTAAAGTTAAAAGTGAATTGCAATCCATTTAAAGACAATGCTCCTTATGGAAGGGTGAATTACAAAATGTGTGAGGATTTATGACAATTCCAAAAGATTAGAGCCATAAACAAAATAATATTCCACTTTGCGGCGTCTTCTGATTGTTTTGACCTGTTAGCGGTTTGAAGACACGATGCGCATTGGTCACATAAGAACGAGGTAAGTGGGCACATGCACGAGGCATCCTATCGCGCATGCTTCCCTCAATGTAAACAACAGCTTTGACATTACTTTATTTCATTCCTGCAGTTGATGAGGCCTTCTTAGGAGCGGCATTGGAGCTGTCGTTGTTCTTTCAACTCTAAGAATGGCAAAGCTTAAAACTAAGATAGCCATCTTAGCTGTACTAGGTGTTGTTTTAGCAGTGTTTTATCCGAAGATCAAAGCGGTGTACGGGAAACATGTAAAACCTCATGCAGACATAGCCGCGAATGTTGTTAAATTCATCAAAGATTTCCACATTTTTGGCTATCACATCCCGTGGAAATATGTGCTTCCTGGATTTGCCATATTTGTTGCCATTCAGCTGTTTAGGGTAAGTATCAATTGTAAAACATTTTACGGTTTTTGCTCTTTCCTGTAACCGTTTGACAGTACTAGCTTTATAACAACATTTTCATTGAATTGAATAAATAACCCAAATTGAAACGAAGAAAACAACAGTAAATCTTTAATTTCTGAGAATAATGAAGGCAAAATGTGGATTTTTTTAGTGTTGATATTCTGCAAAGATGGAACCCCTAATTGTGTTAATCGGAATGTTTTTGTGCGGCATTGACTAGACGAGCACCTGCTAATAGCGTTGTTGAAGATTGTGTACGGTGTTTACATAATTTTCTCAGTTACGTCGTCAGTCAATTTTCCTGACTGAAATATTTTGTACAAAATTGCCTTGTCTTTTTTAAGAATATGTTCCCAAAATGGTCGGCATTCGGAAATATAATGTTTTATTGGTGAATAGTTAATTTAAAGTTTTTCCTTGGGCAGATATTCTAGGGTGGGGTAGGCTGTGAGGAAAAATGATGTTTTGGAATATGTTTTTTTTGGAATATATTTTAGGATTTAATTTACCTCTCGAATTGAAACGTTAGCTTTGAACTTTTAAGGCAAACGTGAGATGAATTAGAGAAGTCTTGTTCCCATCCTGTTATTTCTTAAATATTACTTGAGTAAACCTTTAGTGAATAATTAAGTACAACTTTTAAATTTGAAGCACAGGCCACACCTTGGATTACTACTAGTGTTTGTGTTTTTGTAGTCAGGACAGGTACCTGAATACTTCCTATGGGTTTGGGAATAATTTACATTTTTGTATTGTACAAAGTTCACTCAAAATGCTTTTAATATTCCATCTTCTGGTTTTGAAAAAATTTTAATGACCTTAAATAACAGAGAATTGAAGGATTTGAACAGAAGCCAATTATATCAAACCTCTTTTTTCAGATATTTTCTAAAATTTTTGTAAATTATGAACAAAGTAATATGTATGATAAGATTACCATGTCAGACTCTCTTCTATAACTGACTTGGGAGTAATTATCTTTTTTTCTGATAATAGAGGAGACGTAGGCTAAAGAAGCTTGCAGAGGAACAGAAGAAAAAAGACCAAACCTTTATGACTGAGGAGGAAGGTAATGAGACAGTTTTCATTGTTTCAACATTGTTTATGGTTTTTTGTTTTAGTTAGTGATTGTAAATCAGTTTCCCTTTTATCACTTTCCCTTACTTCTGAAAACAGTTGTTTAGTGCTAAAATCAGACCTCTTTAATAAAACATTTATGTGATGCTTAAACCCCACCTTTAAAACCCTGTAGGTTTTGTGAAAATTTAATCAACTCTGTGTGGAGTCCAGCAAACTCATCAGGCATTTGGCTATTAATACCAAACAGTTCTGTAGTTGATAACTTTATAATGTAAATGATTTTAAAATTTTTTGTAAATGCCATTTTGCAAATGGTATTTTTTCATAATGACTTGTGTACAAATAACTATTTCATCAGTGTAAATTATGATTCTATGCCAAGCCTGCATTCCCCCTGCTATTCATAAACATGATAAATCCCTTGCATCAGTCAGCAGGTTTGTCCAGTTGGATACAAATTATTGCATCAAAAATGCACTATTCTTCTCTTTGTTGTATCCAAAAAATACTGAGTATGGTGGTGTCTTTTCACTGAAAACTATCTTGGAGATTGTGAAATGTCGTTTTGCATGTCCATTTCTTGAATTTTCATTTTGAGATGTTCAAATCAAATATGTCAAGTTACTTAAAACAGCTATCATGGTTTGTGGTATGCACTTCCAACTTTTTTTATAACCTTTAAATATACTTATATATAAATTTTTTTAATGCATGCACTCTTGATTGATAATTTATTTTACAATCTTTGAATTCATAAGCAGTCACAACCACTACTAACTGTTAAACAATACTTACAGTTAAATTAAGGAACCTTGCTTGTCTACTGCCCTAAGTCACATGTATACTTCTACACACCGGGAAACACTTGAACATCAGACTTGTTACTTTTGCTGGGATTTTAGCTGATAGAGTGGCAGGGTGAATGTATGGCTTTCCTCTAATCAACTGTAACATTAATCCTATCATTTAAAATCCATCTTTTAAACTTGCTGATAATTTTCTCTTAATCTCTCATTGCATTTCTTCCATTTATTTTTATTTGGTCTCCTCGCCAAAGTGGTAATAACTGTCTCATCTCTAAAATTGTACACCTGACTCTTCAAATTTAACCCAAAAAACCATCAGTTTACTTAAAAATTTCCATGTCCTGTCAGCGACACACTTGCAAAGATGGTCAACTTTTAATACTTAAGTAAAATGTCTGAGAAAAGTTCTGTCCCTTTCAGCACGTCAAGTGCATACCACAAACCATGTCCCAAAACCTGAGAGCCTTGACATCAAACCGGCCTGCAACCAAGCAGACCTGTCAATTGTTGGAAACCGTGTACGGACATACTTGTATTGGCCTTCAACAAGCTCAGTTAATGTTTTTGAACTAGCAAGAGCTGGCTTTGTGTTTACCGGTATAGACGATATCGTAAAATGCTTTAAGTGTCAGGGCACCCTTAAAAAATGGAAGCCCGGAGATGATCCTTTGGAGGGTCACAAAGAGTTCTATCCTGATTGTCCACATGTTGTGGCTCTTGAAGAAGTAAAAAAGCCAATTAATACTGAAACCCAACTGGAAGACCTGCTAACTGTTTGTGATGGAGTAAGCCATCGTCTGCAGCAGTTGCGTGCAATTCAGAGTAAGGCAACTGGAGTAGAGCCAGGTATGGAAACTGCTCAAGTATGTTGTCTCTAAGTGAAGCCAGTGTCCCTAGAAATGCCCTGCTGTTAGCAACTGTGATAAGCAATCCTGGACAAAATTTATTGTAGTTTTGTCAGTTAGGGTGAATCAGAACTTTATACCCTAACATCAGTATTCATATTCTCCATAATGTTCTCTATACATTTCCTAATGTGCTGAATTTGTTTAACAATTAAGAGGTTCTTCAGTTGATTCTCCTTTCCTTTACTCTCATGACCTTAATATTTGATTCATGGGTGATATTGAAAGGAGAGTTAGTCACTCTTAGGGATCAAAGGGTTAAGACTGAAGAAAATTTTTTTCCCTTAAACTTCTTTTGTTTTAATATTTACTAATAGTTAATTTCTCGAGCACATATTCATTATTCCACAGCTAAGAAGCATCTAACAGAGTTGCAGAAGCGGTTAGACACTACAGAACGCACAATGCACCTTGTTATGAAACAGATGGAAGCTGTAACTAAGTGTCTGGCTAAAACACTGGCTGACGATCCGGCTATGAGTGGTGATAAATCCTTAGCAGAGATCACAGAGGGACTTGTCAACTTAAAAGAAAGCAATGTTTGATGGGGTTCATTCTGTATTTGAACACTACAGAGCACTTGCACTTCTTAAAGTTCCCCTCACTAGTGAAATAGCCTTTTTAGGAAATGATTGCAGGCATGTACTGTGATTGGCCAGATATGGCAGAGCTCTTTCATTGTCTATAAGTGCAACTATGAAAAATAATTTTGCAAGATAAATTTCCCTAAAAATTTTGGGTACGATAACAAATAGGGATAACAGAAAGAACTTGCCAATTATAATAAAATCACATGAGAAGTAATAATGCCAAGGGTGTCAGATGGCTCCTATTGCTGATGAAAATTAATTTTGAATGAAAAAGGAACTTTTTATCACTGAATACATGTAAGAAATAAGAAAATACACAGAAAATAACTCTTTTATTGTCAAATAATTGGTTATTATTAGCTTGTTGAACATGAAATGAGGATACTGGTTGTCCAAATTTGTGCAAATTCAAAAAAGTTTGAAATAACATCAAATGAGTATTGAAAGGTTTTTGTCAAGTTGTAATGCATCACAGATTTATCTGACTATTTATTTCAAGTTATCTTATTTATGCACAGCAGTAGCTAAGTTATTTATTATCTAGTATGTGTAAAGACTAAACAGTTGTTTATTGAAAATAGACATCATGTAATGATCTTATATTATATAGATATTATTGTATGAAATATAGGGGAGATAACAACTAAAATTTTACCCTTTAATTTTGCCACTTAAAACATTTGGCACTCAGAATTTGTCAGACTATAGGTTAAGTCCATTTTTATTCAAATAATATCAATATGGCCTTGGTTTTCTGAAAAAAAAGGTAGTTTCTAAACATTTTTGAACCTGTTGTCATTGATTGCTCATAGTTAAAGATTTCAAATTTTGGTCCAGATTTTAAATTATAACTTGATGTACAGCTGTTTCAGTTCTTTTACATTTCCATATTTGTCTTAAAAATTGCTGGTTTTGGGCACGGAAATTTTTATGAAAATAAAATATGTTTAAAGTATATCCTTATGTGTGACTCGAAGTACATTGTGGTGTAACTCCTGTTTGGATTGTTTGTGAGTCAGTGATAGCAATCTCATGCTGAGGTTTGTGGAAAACTTTTACCCCTTTCACTTCCAAGATCTCATTAGTAAATCTCTTTTACTGTCTGCCATACAATTCTTATGATGGTGGTTCTCAGAATTTGGTATTGGATCAACTAATAGTCCCCTAGTTGATATTTTTCTTTATTCTCAACATTTGTCTGCTTGACATTGGACTGATGTTGTAAGGAGATGTTCTATTCTGGTTATGGGAGTTAAGGGGTTTAGTGTTTTTTGGGGTAGACTGCTATTTTCTCATTTGACATTGAAAGATTTGGAGAAGTTTATGTTGGGTCAGAGGTAATCCTTCATTCCAAATATCCCTTCTTACAGAAACTTGGATGATGGTGATGTCCACTCAAATTGACACCAGACTAACTTTGGTTGCCTCTGTCAGAGCATATTTCCTTACTTCTGTATACCATTTCTCCTTACCCATACTCCAAAGAGGTGGCTTATTTGAACAGAATTGATGAAAATGATGCAAAAAAAACAAACTTCTAAGAAATTAAATTTTAATGTTGTTATCTCAACTTACACTTTCCATTTCATAGCAATTCAATACATTTAAAATATTTGAAGACATTTTTATCAGATTCCATATTTCATTATTTAATTTTTTTGTTTGATTTCTATTTTCTGATTACATATCAACTATTTGATACTTAAAAATATACTTTGATTTTTCATTTTTGAATGGACAAAAACACGTTTTCTCTTATGTAACAAGTTGTACTAATATAGCATAAATATCAGTTTGAAACTTGAAACCATCAGCCATCAGGACTCCAGACAACTGGCTCTTGCATGCAATCCATGATCAATCCTTCATGATCTAATGGTGCATAAAACTGTTAACCTTTCAACTTTCACCTTCTGATTCATTCAGTAATTTTTCCTACTACATATTGTATCTGCTGTAAAATTCCTTGGAAAGTGGTACTGAGAATTTAGTCTCATTAGGAAAAACCCTGTCTAGATGATGATTTTGTTGATTCTTATCACTTGTGTGCTGGAAAATGTGTTAATTTTGTACAGAGAAGTTACATGTAAATCAGTTCAGAAAGTTTTAAGGGTTAAGAGGCTAGTGCTGTCACTGCTTAATTTGTCTCTGCCTCCCTCTTGAGGACAAAAATTTCATTCAAAATGTTAGAGCTGATGTTCAAAGTTAAACCTAATTGATGCAATCTACTGGTACATCAATTCCAGATTTACAAGAAAAAAAAATCAACTTTCTTTTTTTGGGTTGCAGTAGAACATGAGGTATTTTGGGCTTTGTTTATGGGCAAATGGACATGAAAAGGAGACTCCCTTTATGAAAAAATTGAGACTTGCACCCATAATAATTGGGCTTGAAGAATAAAATGAACCAGGGAAAATTAGAAAAAAAAAAAGGTGAATAATTATTAAGTGTTAATTTGTCGTTAGTAAGATCAGAGAACAGTTGTTTGTGCTTGATGTTAAAAAGGCAAAATCATGACTGGATTCAAAATTCAATCAACACAATACTTTGGTTCTAGTATTGCTGTCACGAATCTAGGCATGCATAATTTAAAAAGCAGAGATCTCAACAGGTTAAGCTTTGAAATGCTTCAAATGTGTAATTCAATGATGCAAAGCATCCCACATTTTCTTGGTTTCCAACATAGCTCTTGGGATGTCACTGTAGTCCAACAAGTCTGCATTCCAAATGGCAATGCCAGTCAAATTTTCCTTAGCAGCAAAATCATACTTCGTTTTCAAACTGTCAGGATTATCAAACCAAACCTGGTGTTTTCCACCCACACTGTCCTCATAGTTGAAAAAGTATGACTCAGAATCTTCATCCTTCTGGGGACCAGAGGATGCTCTGCTGACAGACAGGTCCATAATTTCTGCATACTCAATCTGTCTGCCAGCAGCATCACTGCAGTTTACTCCTCGGAATGGAACATGCTTAATCTTGCAGATCCTGTTGTCAACCAGTTCCAAACATGGGTAGTCATACCCATACCATGGTAAGCCAAGCACCAGTTTCTCTCGTCTGATTCCAAGACTTAAATATTCTTCCAGTGCTGGAAAGTAAGGCAAGAAAAAACAGGTCCTGATATCAGTACAGTTCCTTTGCACAATAAGAAATAAATTTGAAACTTATTTTGATTAGTAAAGGTCTGTTCATATCGAAATGAAAGCTTGCGCTCTTTTTAAGTTACCTTCAATCAAGGTGATGATGTCAGATTGAAAAAACTGAGCTTTAAACATCCAGGCATTAAATGGTTAACATAAAATTCCTTGCTCTACATATCTGGCACATCACCAGTGAAATATACTTGAATGACAAACTTTTTTAACAATGGCTTGAAAAAAATTTGGCCAAAATTTTCCAAGTTGGATTGTGGGCATTCACCCTTCCACATACCCTTTCAAATGGAAGGGGATTGAGGAAGGGTGAATTCGGTTGCTGTAGACAAAAAAAATATGTACAGAATAAAAACTATTCAACCAATTGCAAAGGTTTGAGGGAGTGATTTACAATGTATACAAGAACTTAAATCTCAATTCTCCTCATTCTACAGCATGCTACAAAAATTTTCTCCAATTAAATAGGCAAGACATTTAATTTGTAAAAATTAAGCATTCACCAGCTTCTGTTTGTTTCAAGGGTGAGTTTGCCTTTGCTATGCAATCTCCAGTTTTGATCTGACTCTGCTCATCATATGCCATTACAACAAGAAAATCCACCACTTGAGAAAGAGCTTCTGCATCATAACATCGTCCATCAACACAGTCAGGAGACCACGCAACATCAAAAGATATCTGAAATGAACAATTAGAAACTGATCTACAGTTTCAAGGTAGTTCTAACTTCTTATGTTTACTTACCGGCAATGGGGTAACAGTGAAAAATCTTATGTATTATTGTCAATATCTTTATTATAAAAGTGATGGATTTATATGATTTGACTGCCAATGACTCTTTTGTCACCGCAACTACTTGAGAACTTGCTTCTTGTAGCGAAAAATTTGTCAGCTTGAGATTGTACTGATACTGTACAGAGAAATTCTATGCTGGTCATTCATGGGATTCAAAGGATTGAGCAGTATATTACTATGGACTAGCCCTAATTATGCTCCCAAAAAACTTGGCCTAAAGTGTTTCATTCATCGTGATGATTCATTTCAAGTGATTACCTGTGCATTTTTGACTGCAGCACGGAAGGCTGTTGCAGTTTCATTAACCAGCTTTGTGAGCAGTGTGACTTCCCTGGACCTCTTGGGTATTGGTGATTCAATATCAATATTGACTCCATCGGCACGCCGGGCCAAGGCTTCAGTAGTTAGGTTCTTCACCCACTTTGTCCTTATTTCCTTGCTGCTAAGTTTTTCTGTCGGAAAATTTGCTGCCAAAACAACTCGTACTCCCTAAAAATTAATGCCACAGTAATACATAAGGTATATGACTTGTTAACATTCCTGACCAAATAGCTTGTACCACCATATCTTATTGCACTGCATTGTATCTCAACCCTTGAGGGCATAAATTCTCTACAAAAAATATTGGGAACTAAAATGTTTCAAAAAACACATATCCAAGGTAACCCAATCAAAATTCAACAAGTGCATTTGATTTCTGGATCAAAAACAGTTGGTTAGAAACACAACTTCAGGTTTTTGGCTCTTGTATAGGAATTTCTATTATAACATTTTTCACTTAAAATGCTTCATGCAACGAAATACTTGTGAACAAGCAAGCAAGGAAAAAAAATGTTGCTATTCCACACTAAAGCTTAGCGAGTTTACCACACCATTAGGCTGGACACATGCATTGTTGCTATATCACTAAATCAAATAAAACGGCAAGGAAAACAGCTCGACCTGCCTCACCAAAAGTATATGTATGTATATGTGTACAATGAAATTGAAAAATGAAATTAATCAAATTAAGTAAAGGAAATAAGTTGATCGAATAGAAGAAATCCAAGTTTTCTCAACGTGTTCAACCTTGTTACGGTTAGAGAACCATTCTAACGCTTGGTGATGTTTAGATTCTCGGAAAATTCCATGCAAATGAAGTCACAGCCTGTCATATCCCTCGGAACATGACCCGACAAGTCTTTGTCCTAATAAAACGCTTCCTTGAGTTTCTTATCCTATTTTTTTTTTGGAGGTTTAAAAAACTCCATGGGCAATCAATTAAATAAATCGCTCCAACACTTACTCTCTTGTGAGCTTCGCACATCAGTTCATCATCCCATGGTCGAAATAGTGCAATCGTTGTCACTTTCCCCCAATCGTATTTTCTCCAATCGTTCGGCTTTGTGGAAAACATTAGGAATTCTTTTCCTGGCGGTCTTGAGATTGTGTCGCATAATGACGGATCTTCACAAGGGCATTTTCCGCTAACAACGACAGAAATACCACTAAAAAGTAGGACGACGAAGGCATACCACCAGGCCGCCATGACTGAGTTTGACAGGGTCAAAGTTACTAGTCGAGATTTCAGATAGACAATGGGAGACTGGAAACGAGGAAAGGAATTTTTTTTTCCTGTGTCATATGATCGTCATTTGGTAATGACTTCTCAAGCGTGAAATTTAAGGAAAACAAATGTTTACTCCCAGAAGTCGGCCAAAATTTACCTAACTGTTTACTACGTATTTCCTACGATCTTAGTCGAGTTATATCTAACTGCGCCGCTAAAAGTAAGCATCCTAGCGATTTTAAGAATGCCTTGTTATGAAGCAGGGGTCGAAGGATTCTGGTAACGTCAAGATAAAATTAACCTGATCCTTCCACAAGACTCTGTAATATTATAATGATCCCCCCTAAGAACAAGGGAGGTTCAATTTGTGCTTCGATTGTGCGACTTTGATTATTACCAGCGTGCTATCTGGGGGAGGATTATATACTCGGTGTGTACTAAGCGGATTTGGGCATAGATACTCAAGTTAACCTTTAGTACGCTGCCAAGAGTAATCATGTGACATCTTATCTTTGCACTGTCTTGTTAAAGCTTTGAATTCTCACCAATGGTAAAGTATCATTGGCCGGAAGTTCTTACTTTTAACCATAAGATCGTTAATCGTGTTTTTGACAATGTTTTGGTTGATGGGAGTGAGATCTTTGTCAACTTTTCCAATAAAACAGGTGTTAGAAAGCCGCAAAACTTCCTTTGGGTAGAGGTCGGCCCGCCAAACAACGACTGCCACCAACACACCCCTCCCCTCCCCCTTCCCTAGAATTGCATAATTTCTGATTCCACCCGTCGAGTCTACATGGTTAGTTTGCATTAGCGGTTGTCTTCGAACGTAGTTTCAGACTTCAATCCCGACGGAGGTGCTTTCACTTGACGCTCTTCAACATGAACGGCTATCTTCTATGCATTTTGCCATTGTTCGCTTTACCTAACGGTAAGTGAAT